TTATTATGGAAGGACAGATATCTGGATTGGGCCAAATCTGATACATAAGGAACATTAAGGTCATTATGGATGATTTTATTTGTAACAAAGTAAGGAGCATTGAGGATTTTACGAAGGATTTTGGATTACAAGGACTGTATGCGAGAGGAATTTGAAGGCTTGGTGGAGCCCCATAGCTCAACCCCGTAAGTCCAAATAGGCCTTATTATAGTCATGTAAATCAGTCTTTTATAATTGATTGGAAGGTTAGAGCGTTTGTCTAGTAAGTGTTGAAGTAGTCGGAAACGTCGAGCGGTTTCTTGTTGTTTCAGTCTGGTATGAGGATTCCAAGTTAGACGTTTGTCCAGATGGAGTCCTAGGTAACGGATTTGTTCATCAGGAATAAGTGAGATGTTGTTAAAGGATACTGAAGGACAGGAAGTCATTGGTTTACGACGAAGGGTGAAGGTAATTTGATGGGATTTATTGGAATTTATTTTAATTCTCCATTTCTGACACCATTCTTTCAGGTTTATGATGTGTGATTGAAGGGTTTGGGATGCAATAGATGGGTCGTTATTGACTGATAGGATACATGTGTCATCAGCATATGTGGTGATGACAGATAAAATAATTTAAAACTGAAATTTTTAATTTAACAAAAGCCGAAATAAAAAAGAAATCTGGTGCGCGCATCACACGACTTTTACTTAAAACCTTGTTCTCAACAGAAATAAGTATTTTCCGAAAAAGGGGAAGTGAAAGTCAAAATTATAGACACTGTATTTGTATTGTATTGTATGTATTTTTATTTGTTTAAATACCTTAAATAGACGAATTTTAATTCTTATATCGCTGTATTCTATACAATTAAATATTAAATAATACCAACGATAGCATTTATGAAAACCCCATATGTATATTTACATAATATTGTCGCAGTACGTATTATATTAAGCTCATGTTACGCACTAGCGGATCCAGGATTTAATTTTGGGGGGGGCTTCAGCCCGGAAGCTTTTTTTTCATATATATAACGATAATTACGTTGGAAAAACAGAAATATACTAACTACCTATATGAAATGTTGTTTAAGTGATTCTTGAAGTCCTATTAAATGTAATTAAACGAGCAATAATACTTTAAGACATATTTTTTTAATATTTTTTACCATAAAACATGGTTACATTTTACCATTTTGGGGGGGGGCTTCAGCCCGAAAGCCCTCCCTCCCCCCCCCCCCCCGTAAATCAGCCTGTGATGTTACGCATGTACTCTTTCGGTCGAGCTCGGACGCGCTCGTATTCCTTTGGTTCTTCCATTACAACTAATATTCGTTACGCGATCTCTTATATCTCCTTTAGTTAATTATCAAATTCTTTAATATTTTATATTTAACTATTTTTTGTATCAAAGATTAATGTGAAATTGTTAATTTATTTCAAATAAAAAAATTGATACTTTAGAGGAAGCTAGAATTGAATATTATAATGATAATAGCCATTTAATTTAAGCCCTATTAATCAATGAGAATAAAACCTACATTATATTAAAAACTGCTTAGCAATAAACTGATATACTGAGTTTAATCAAAATCTTTGGAGCTGTTTTTGAGAAAATCGTAAAAATGTGTTAAATCGATTATATAAAGTACCAATTCCGATTTGCCGATTTTAAGGAAAATGTTGGTGTAACATTCAAAGATTATAAAAACTTTATTGTAAATAGAGTGTGAATGTGCTCTCTGAACACCATTATAAATGTCCTTAATTGTGACAGATTGAAATAATTCTAAATAAATCAGTTTAAACAAAAATGTCATTAATTGTGAAAACGCTGAAAATTATTAAAAAATGGTTTATTATTTCCATACAATTTAACATCAAAGTTAACATTACTTTCAATGTAACATTAAATAAAATAAATTAAAAGGGATTCCTGACATTGGTCTATATAATTTCCTTTTTTATGATTAATAATTTGCTTCAAAAACAGATAACATTGCTACAGTTAATGTAAAACTTTCAAAAAATCAAAAACCAAAACAAATGATATAAACACTGCAGTAGAACATACAAAATGTCTTTGAAAGCACCATCTGTTTGCTACAAATTATCCGATTTCAGTGATTTTATTTTTTTGGCCTTTATCATGTTTTGATTAGCTAATTGATAATATTATGGGGGCTGCAATATGGAGAGGGAAGTCCGTGGACACATAGACCTCCACTGTTAAGGCAATATCCAGGACGAGCTTTTACAATTCTCCGTAACAGCTTTATTTTGCTCCGTGGTTAACGCAGTATGTTATTTTTTCAATAATGGTAATTACTTTGGGAAAAAAGAAAAAAAGAAAGAAACTACAAAAAATGATGTTTAAGTGATCATTGAAGATCTGTTAAAAAAAAAAAAAAAAAAGTAATAACATGAACAATAATGCTTTTAGGATTAAATTTAAAATATATAAAAAAAAACTGCAAATTATTTCACAATGGTTTATTATTTAAAATTATAACTGGTAATTATACATCTAAAGTAACATTACCTTCCTATTAACAAAGAAAAACAAATAAAGGGTGATTCCAATCATTGGTCTAAATATTTTTTTTTGTCATCATAAGTAATTTACTAAAAAAATAGTATTACTTAAGTAACACATTCAAAAATAAAAGAACAAAACAAAGGATATAACCTTTGCAGTAGAACATATAAAAAAACGCAACACACAACTCTCACTTACCGCTCTACTTTGAATAGAAATTATTTGCTGGCAATGCTGGGCTATTATAAAATTTCTTGAAGTGCATTTTAAACGGTGCTAAAGCTTAAAGCCCCCCAAAAAGTATATACTTTTTCAGTTATTCGAAATTTAATTTTACTATCGCTCGTTACTTTTTTTCCAGATTTTTTTTTCGTTGAAGTATGTTATATAGATAAATTTAAAGGGTTTCGAGAAAATGTCTTAAGCGAAGTTTCATTGAAATCGGTACATTCTTTTAGGCGCTACAGTCTATAGCAACGCAGATTTTTCTGCATTTTTATTTTTTTTTCCTTTATTAACTTATCAAATTCTTTCAAAAGTTATATGTAGTATTTTTTCATAACTCTGAATAATGCGAAATTGTTAACTTTTTAAAATAAACCATATTAAAGGTACTTTAGAGGAAGACAGACATATATGCACATTGGGCATTTAAGCCCTGTAAAGTGACATCAACGGGGATAAGACCTAAATGATATCAAAGACCACTTAATTATACAATGATATACCGAGTTTGATCAAAATTGTTTGAGCCGTTTTTGGGAAAATTGTAAAAATGTGTTTCAGCGTTCATATGAAGTGGCACTTCTGGTTAGCCGATTTTAACGAAAAAGTTGCTGTCACATCCGGCCCATATACAAACCTTAAATACTTAATATCAGTTTCGTACTACTTTTCGTTTATGAGCTAGACTATTAAAACACACACACACACAGACCATTTTGAGATACTTGGTTATTTGGACTCAGGGGACCTCAAAAAATGTATTTCCGTTAAAAAGATTCGAAAATTTTCACGATCGCAATACTTACCTTTACTATATATTACATATATACGTAAGTGAAAGTAAAAATATCTAGAGACCATATTTTTGCTCCAAATTTTCTGATTTTAACGTTTTTATTTTTTTTAAGGAAATTTCTTAAACTTTTAATTAACCATATAGAATATCGACAAAAAGTGTATACTTCTTGATTTATTTGGAAATGTAATTTTACCACTCTCATAACTTTTTTTGCAGCTTCTTTTCGTTGATGTACGTTATATAAACAAATTTAAAAGTCATCCAGGAGAAGACTTTATATCCAAGTTTCATTGAAATTATACCAACACAGGTTTTTCGTCCGCCATCTTGGAAGAATGTGACCTCTGACTTTAATTTAAATTTAGAAAAAATTGGTCCAGTAGTCTCAGGGAAAAGTCACGGACGGCAGACTGACAAAAAAGTGTTTATTCCATTCTCCAAATTTTACGTACCGTAAAACGTAAAACCTGAAATTTTGAGGGGAGGGGGTTAAATTTTTCATTTTTTTGGACGATTACAATGGATCCTTATTGAAAATAATAAACCATAATGTAATATGTCCTTCCTACGCCTACAACCTTCTCCAATTCAAGTCCTCTGTCCACTCCCTCTCCACAAGATCTCGACCTTCCGACCTTTACATTCCTTCTCACAGATCTGCCTCGTTTCAAAACTCCTTTATTGCTCGTTCTGTTAGTTTCTGGAATTCCCTTCCTATCAAAATTCGACATTCTTCATCCTTATCTACATTCAAAACCCTCCTATTCCAATTCCTATCCCAAAAACAGTCAGATAGTTGCTAACCATTCGAGCTGATTTTAATAGAGAATTTGATACATTTTCATTTTTAATTCTTTTTTCTTAAAAGTGCATACTGGTCTGTCAGTGCAAATAGCTTTAAGTGTCTTGTCATAGTATTAATTGTTTTGTATATAGTTTCGTTTGTTTTGTATATAGAATTTTTACCTTATATTTTTTTTAAATTATTTCTTTTTTTCGATTGATTTTATTTTGACCAGATGTAATCTTTTAATTTTGTTCTATTTTGTAATTCTCAAGGGACTGTGTCCCAGAATAAAGTTATTTTTCTATTCGATTTCTATTCTCTTTCATTCTATAATAAATAAACGTGAACAAGTAAAAGTTTATAAAAATTATAAACAAACCTGAACCACTGAAAGCCTTGGAGGGTTAAGTACTTGTACTTTATAAGAAAGGCGTCTTTATAAAATATTTTGACCAGATGTAATCTTTTAATTTTGTTCTATTTTGTAATTCTCAAGGGACTGTGTCCCAGAATAAAGTTATTTTTCTATTCGATTTCTATTCTCTTTCATTCTATAATAAATAAACGTGAACAAGTAAAAGTTTATAAAAATTATAAACAAACCTGAACCACTTAAAGCCTTGGAGGGTTAAGTACTTGTACTTTATAAGAAAGGCGTCTTTATAAAATATTTTTATTAAATAGACACAAGCATATTTATAAATAATCATTTCAATTCTGGTCTACAACACTTGAACAATCATCTTTCGCAATTTTCATGAGCAATTGAGGTAAACTGAAAGCTTGGAAACACCTGTATGACGTAAACAGTTTCTGGATGTATACGTCGCTCATCAGGCTAAAAAGTTTTATTGAGTGATCTTTCCCCTTCTCGTGGAAAATTCGCCTAAGATTTTCTTCTAGACAGAATGGTTCATAAATTTGATCGCTAGACAAAGCGAAGTGGTGGATGTCCAACATCAATAGTGAAAAGGCTGTTGAGAAGTATACATCTGACTTCCATGAAATTTTTGGGGCCACCAGATCAAAACGCAATGGCACCGATTCCTCCTCTTCTGACTGGTTTTGGGAAACAAGCCCAGTCCCATCATCGTCTATAAGAGAACGTTCTTCGGAACTAGTAGTGTTGGTAAGACTTCTTTTTCTTTTCTTTAGAGCCGATCTGGTAGATCTTTTATAGGGAAGGGAAGAAATCGAACATATCGGAGTCAGTAAACCCTCTTCTTCATTATTAAGATCCGTGATGATTACACTATCCACAATCCGATATACTCCGGCCATTACAATCGTCAAGATGCCATAAGCTATGTTATATTTTTCGTTTTCTTTTTCAATCTGAAAAGTTTCACGGAACAGGTCTTGTTTCCAGCATACGGTTGCACAACCTTCAGCTAAAGCCAGAGCTTTGACAAAACCTTCCCTCGGATCGTAATCTCTGCAAAACGCCAAAAGAAAATCAGTGTAATTCATCAAATTTTGATCGATTTGGAATAGTTTGAATATAAGTTCTTTCGCTTTGGCAATATATAAATCCTGACTTATACTGATCGTTTCTGTACTTTCAAACCATAGAAACACGCAGCTATACTGTTCGTAGGTAACCGTCTCAGTAAGATTCGTATCTAGGACTTCAAAACTCTTCTTCATTTCCAATATGTCTTCCAATGTTGGATAGCCCAAGTCCAAACCGAAAACAATGAAGAGCCTCCAATCTATAATCACTTTATCTCCGTACAATCTATGGACAATATCTTTAATTCTGTCAGCTGAGAGGTCAGACCAATAATGAGGTAAATAACTATGCCCAGTTTCGTGACCGATGGAGGCCATATCTTCAAGAATAAGAGCGAATGTCTGTTCAACAATTCCATAAGGCGCTACATAAACCAACTTATAAAATAAGTTAGTCAATTGGGAAATAGTGAATTTAAAACCAGTTGGTACTTCTACTAAAAAGGATGGTGGCGGAGGAGGGGGATTTGGGTACACTATTACCGATGTATCGATTTCCAGAGCATCGTTTCTTAAAACGACGAGAGGTTGGATTTTAACCTCTTCTTCGACCGCCGCTCTCATCATGTCACAAAGTTTGTCTATATTTAATATCTGATTGTGATAAAGGTTTACGATATCCTGTTTAAATTCTTTAAACGTGTTATCGATTATGTCAACGTCTTCGTTTAGATCAGCGCTTGCCCTTTTTTCAAGCAAATTAATCCTGTACAATGCTCTTTTGCTTTCATTCTCAATAGCAAATGTCCATTCAAGTGAAACCTTATTCACTGTAAAAACATTCGTTTCTGATGCTGCATGAAAATCTTTCGTCAAACGCCTCTGTGTATGTGTAAGATCTTTGGACATTCTTGTTCTGCTGTCACTTTTGTCATTCGCTTTTGAAATATCCTTTCTTTTGTCTGTAACGGCATGAGACCTGCTTTCACAAAATGCCTTCATTTGTAAAATATTTTTCGTTAATCTAGCAATGAGAGCTTTGAGAAGTGAAACGGCAGGATTCTTTGTCGCCTCGTAATCAGTATAATACAAGCAAGTCTTACTGGCATCGAAATCCAACGTCATCTTACTGTGCTTGTCTTCGGTGCCCCCTCTACCTTTCTTCGTCGCACTTGCAGACACAAGATGCCTAGAAACCCTGCGAACAGATTCTTCCTTTTTATCCGGTTTTAATCCAACTCTTGGCAAAATTATTTTAATTAATCTTTCTTCTTGTGGTTTTCCTAAAACGCTGACGCAATAATAATCATCTATTAGTTGCATTGTATCAGTAAAGCGGTCAGTTTCTGCCTGAAGAATCAAACAATAAACTTGCAGTACATGCATCAAGTGGCCTGAAATCCAGTTTTGATTCAATATCAATTGCAAAACTTGTTCGCAATAAAACTTTTTAACATCTGTCATTTTCCAAAGTTCACATTGTAACTTAAGAATGCGATCATGTAGTTCGCTTTTCATGCTGTCCAAAGGCCTGTAGTGGTCGTTGATCTTGTTTAACATCAATTGAAAATTAGTTACAGCTTCGGTCCTATCGTCATCAAGGATCAAGCATTCTTCCGCTTTCTTCCTCACATAGTTTCTATATGGCATCAATCTTCTTTCAACCGTCCTTAGCAATGCAAAACATTTTTTCAAGTTGCATGTGTAAAAATATTCAATACTCTCCCATACAGTTGCTAGAACGCCAACATAAAATTCAGGAATAACAAATTCAGTATATTCCCAATCTCTGTGTCCGGGAAAAATAATTATTTCATCCTCCATTCCTTCCTCCTCTCCTATTTCTTCCAAGAATCCCTCTTCGTTTTCTAAGAATGTTTTTAGAACCCAATCATCCAGCGCATTTCTCTTAAATTTTAAGGGCTTGGGAAGGCCTACCTTCTGATCAGACCGTACAGGTTTTACCATGAGATCAACGCCTTTCTCTAAATTCTTTAAGTATTCATTTTGCTTGCTAGCGGACATATTTAAAATGAAAGTGAGAAGTTTTTTTAAAGTTGTAGTGTCAAGATATTTATAAGGGAAGGTAGAACTAATATCTTGAGAAGCATAGAAGGTTTCTAATGTAACATCCTCTTCCACAATTTCTTCTCCTTCAGCTGATACTTTTTGGAGCAGTTTTGAATATCTTCTGCCAACTTTCTTTTCTCCTTCATGCTGCATGATGACCACTTTTGTGAAAAATGACTCAAATTGCAAAGGTTCGGGAGGTGGGTAAGGCCTTGGTAATATATTTGAACTCTTTAGTTCTAAAAGTTCTTCAACTGAGAAATGGTCTGGGAATTGTGACTCATACTCTTCGTTTTTAGCTTCATATAGACTAGATTGGGACAGTATGCCAGTCATACCAGTTTTTGGCATAGCTTCGTTCAACTGACTTTCTATTAGTTTTTTTATATTCTGAGTTATTCTTGGCATATAAGGAACTTCCAGACCAGACAGCATAAACTCAAGTATTCCTACTTGTGTGATGTTTTCTGGGAAATTAATAAGGACCCAACCATCAACATCCTTCAAATTCTTCAAATATTCTATAATCAAGTAACAAAGAAAAGCATCCGGTAATAACCCACCCGCTTGCAAAATATTGTAGATGTAATTTCCGGTTTCAACAGACTGCGTTTTTTCTTTCGTCAATTTTTCATCACTGGGGTATTGGACAGCCTTGTCAGCATTAGTTTTTTCCTTTACTTTCTCGGCAGCTCCAAACCAGGGTTTAACCCTAGTTTTATCATTTTTAATAGTTGGTACTGAGTTTGCTCTAACTTTATTAGGATGTACGGTTTTAGATGTCTCTTTCAAGGCATCCTGACCTATATATGACCTGTAAGAGTTTAAAAAGTAATTTATTACCTGCGAGATATCAAAGACTTCGATCTTAAATTTTGAAAGATAATGCTTCAACTTTTCTAATGCAAACGTGTCATTTATACGTTGTAAAAATATTTTATAATTATAAATCGGAAGGTTAGCTGGTTCTCCCACACTTAAACCAAAATTGTATTTGAGATCAAGAAGCCGGTGAACTATGAATCCGGTGATGTTCAGCAGTTCATCTTCTTCCGCAGATGTTCTTTTATGTAGACACCAGGGACCAATACAATACATGTAAAGATAAAAGTCATATTCAGACAATTCTTCAAGTCTTTCCTCGTCCAAAATTATTGGTTTGTCTTCGATATCTTCTGCTTTTTTAGGAATTAAATCGTGAGGAAGAAGCCTAATTCCTTTCATAAATAGAAGCTTCAGCTCTGTAGTTTTGTTTTTTGGCATTTTCATTCCATTTTTTTCAAAATAGTCGTGGGTAATCATGGCGAAATCCACTATGTCTTCCATTATTTTTCGACACGCTTTAAGATCTAGTAATTTTTTCAATTTCCTTTTTCCCTCGAATAATCTTTGATGTAGTTCTTTTATTCTCTGTTTTTCAATTTGAGTCCTTTCTTGGTCTTTTATTGCTACGAAGGAACTCCTAAACTTGTTTACCACTTCCAGTTTTTCCGCCATACCCATTACCATATTTCTGGTGTCGATAAACTTCTGATACTTTAGCCTCATTCTTTTCAATCTTAAAGTCATTTGTTTTTCATATTCAGATTGTTTTAAGAGTTTTATAGAAAGTAATTTTTTCAATTCAAGTTCTTGATTATTCAAGATTTTTTTCCAAGCATCTTCCATAGAATATTTTCCCAACTTGAGCTTAAGTTGTTTGTCAGCGTCTGCTTTAAGCCTTTTCAATTTTAAGTATTCTATGTATTCTTCTGGATCACAATTATAGATTTGTTTCTGATTTTCCCTGCCTTCAGGAGATTCCATCAAATCTTCGAATTCTTTAATTTTTGCTTGAGCATCGAAGTGAGGAAATGATGTTTTGTTGTCGTAACATTTATAGGGAGGGAAGTCGTCAGCCATGATTTGTTTTTTAACCTTCTCAGCTCGACGCTTCATGCCTCTTACGAGAAACCTTTTCAAACTATTTTTTTCAGAGCTTTCCATCACTCCTTTCATCGTGTTTAAAAGGTCACGTAAATATTGTTTTTCATCGACGGTATCCGGTACAGCATGCAGGTCTTTAACAGGGGTTACAAGGAATTTGTCAGTCGACTCAGAAAGCATCCTTTGCATCTTCTTACTGTCCATCCAAATAAGGTTTTCATTATTTTCAAGACGAATAAACAACTCGTAAAGAAGCCTCAAACTTGCAGATCCATTCTTATTGACTATTTCTTCGAGGAATTCGTCAGTGATGGAAATTCCTAAAAGCTTGAACCAGACACATAGTTTTTTCAAGTTCGATAATGCGACTTTTTTGCTTACTGTTTCATTGATCAATTTCAAATAATCAGAACTGCAAACGTTATACGTGACCAATATTTGGGCAAAGATTTTACCATCGAAACAGGCATTGCCTAACGTTTCTGGAGTGCATTTGATGTTACAACGAACGGAGTTCAAAAGCCAATTTCCAATCACTTCGGTCATTATATATCTGTAACATTAAGGTTTACATCAGTAGCAAATCCAGGATTTGGAGGAGGTTTCAGCCCAAAAGCTTTTTTATACATATATATATATATATATATATATATATATATATATATATATATATATATATATATATATATATATATATATATATATGTATATATATATATACACATATGTTGTGGAATGAAAATATTTTATATAAATTAATATATATAAAATATAATCCAAACAATTAGGAACTAGAATCTCACAACACATCACCAACTGTAAAAATCCAAAAAACATAAACACAACAGCCTTAGCACATCACAGTATAAAACTGCAGCATAAATTTAACTTTAATAAACCACAGATAATAGGCACAGAACCAAAAAACACCAATAGAAAATTACTTGAAGCAATACACATTACAAAAAATAACAGAACAACAGTCAACTACAAAACAGACACTAAACATTTAGGAACCCATTATACAGACATATTGAACAAAATAAAATTTAATAGAAGTGAAATCACAGACATATAAAATAAACACTAACAACAACAATCAAAATAGTCAGATAAAACAGTTAGATCCAAAGGTCAATTTTTCACTATGGGAGAAACTCAATTATCGGTCAAAAGTAGGATGTTGCTCTAGATGATAAATTTTAGAACATAAATTAGAAAATTGACGATGGAGCACATTATTATTATTATTAAAATTAAGGTAATTACAAATTTATTGTAACAAACATAATACAAATATGTAATGTAACAAGCACAATATTGTAACTTAAAAATTTTTTAGCCTTACATCCACAAGAGTATTGGAATTGCAGTTCTGAAGATGGGAATAAAGGTCCCGAAACGTAAACTGTTTTTTTCTATTCCCCTATGGATAAAGACAATGTGTTAATTGAAATTATATACAAGTGGTGTTTGGCTTTTTACTGAAACTGTGTTTCATTTTAAAGCCTTTTTGAAGTTAGTATGTACATGGAATTTAATGGGATTGAAAGTCTTGTGGTATAAAGACGCTGGGGCACGTCAACTAGCCTGTTAACATGTAACGTTAAAAATATACTCAAATTGTTAACAACTGGAAGTTATTATTGCCAAGCAACTAAAAGAAAATATTTTAAAAAATTAGAAATCAAGATATAGAAAAAATTTCATATAAACAATGGCCCTATTTCTATCATAAAATAACATTTAAGAATTGTGTTTTTATTTTAAGAGAGTCATGTTTTTTGTTGAATAGGAAGTGATAACTTAAAAAATATTTGATTTATGTAAGTAGTCATTACTTCATACTATATATATATATGTATATATATATATATATATATATATATATATATATATATATATATATATATATATATATATATACCCACTTTATAGAGGCTGGGTGTGCCCAGGAGGGTCTCCCGACCCAGGGTCGCCCCACGGCCAATGAAACAGATAAATAAATTTTCTGCCATGAGCCGGGGTTCGAACCTGGGACCTTTAGCATTGGAAGCTCAGTACTTGGAAAAGCTCAGCTTACTCCATAATAAACTAAACAAAATTTCATTTAAACGAAAGTAGAGTTTGTCATTGTTAAAACTATTATTATTGGGCGGACAAACAGAGCTAAATTCCGTTTAAAAACAAATTGATAAATTATTTGTGATCTTTTTTATCAACCTTCGACTGTACTACATTTACCCCACTTTTAGAAAACTTCCATGTTTAATAAGCTTTGAGTCCATATTAATTAAGTTGAGGTTTATTAGGAAAAATTTTGAGATTCACCTCAAGTTGTGTAAAGAAATAATATGATCTTCTAGTCACCTAAAAGTACCAGTGTTTTCAGCAAAAACGACTACAATTCACTATTGCACAGTTATTATTCCTTGTTTTTCTGTGATATGAAATAAACATAATTGCTTAAAAACACATTTAAATCATAAATATAAAAATACTATGTTTTTCACATAAAGTGGATGTGAAATTGCGTTTTTCTTACTCATTTCTGTCATAGGAATCGATGCGTATTTACAAGTGACAAACTTAATGTTTTATGACCAAAAAAAACAAAACATGATAAATAAAGAGTTTATAAAATAATTTTTAATAAATATAATTTTCCATAGGATTTTTTTTTATTTGTTGGGCGCCTGGCTTTATCAGCCTTTCATCTCTAAAGAGATAAATCTATAAAACATAAGGTACCCATTATTTGGCCATTATTAAATATTTACTCTACCATGTTCAGGTGAGAAGGGGTTAGGTTGGATATTTTTATAAAGCAGCAAAAAGGTTAACAGATCTATTTACAAGAAGAAATATTTACAGAATTAATACTATGTACAATAAAAAGAAATAAAATACAAGGAAAAAGAGAGAATTTCAACATAATTACTATATACAATTAAAGATAAATAGGAAGATATTTAAGATAATAAAAATAACGAAAAAAGATACTTATTTTAAATACAATATTATGGCATGCCACATCTAAACATCTAGAAAAGATATTCAAGATACAAGAGATATAAGATGTAAGAGCACATACACATGCTAAAATATGAATTAGTAATCTGCTCAGGAAACAAAAGAGAGAAGAGTTTGTTTTTGTTTTCAGTGCCTCCTTAATCTTGGTTACAGTTTCTAGCGACAATATTTACGTATATATGTAATATATAGTAAGGGTAAGTATTGGGATCGAGAAAATTTTTGAATCTGAGTTTTCAATAGAAATACACGTTGTGAGGTACCCCGAGTCGAAATGACCAAGTCCCGAAAAATGGTCTGTGTGTCTGTATGTTAGCAGTCTAGCTCAAAAATTATAAGTCGTACGAAACTGATATTACTTATTTAAGATAGGTATATGCCTTAGATGTGACAGCAACTATTTCCTTAAAATCGGCTAACCGGAAGTGTCACTTTATATCAACGGTGAAACACATTTTCACAATTTTCTCAAAAACCGCTCTAACGATTTTGATTAAACTCGGTGTATCATTGTATAATTAAGTGGTCTTTAATATCAATTAGGTCTTATCCCCATTGATGTCACTTTAAAGAAGCTTTTCGTTGAGGTATGTTATATAGATAAATTTAAAGGGTGTCGAGAAAATGACTTTAGCGAAGTTTCATTGAAATCGGTACATTCGTTTAGGCGCTACAGTCTATAGAAACGCAGGTTTTTCTGCATTTTTATTTTATTTTTCTCCTTTATTAACTTATCAAATTCTTTCAAAAGTTATATTTAGCATTTTTTCGTAACTTTGAATAATTTTAAATGATTATCTTTTTAAAATAAACCATATTAGAGGTACTTTAGAGGAAGATGTATATGAACATTGGGCATTTAAGCCCTGTAAAATGACACCAATGGGGATAAGACCTAATTGATATTAAAGACCACTTAATTATACAATGATACACCGAGTTTAATCAAAATCGTTAGAGCGGTTTTTGAGAAAATTGTGAAAATGTTTTTCAGCGTTCATATAAAGTGGAACTTCCGGTTAGCCGATTTTAACGAAAAAGTTGCCGTCATATCTAAGGCATATACCTATCTTAAATACGTAATATCAGTTTCGTAGGACTTTGAGCTAGACTGGTAACATACAGACACACAGACCATTTTTCGGGACTTGGTCATTTCGACTCAGGGTACCTCAAAACGTGTATTTCCGTTGAAAATTTAAAAATTTTCTCGATCGCAATACTTACCCTTACTATATATTACATATATACGTAAGTGAAAGTAATACAATGTTTGTAACAGTCGGACTACTTTGTCACGAAAAATATGATAACAATATCACGTCAAAATTTAGAGGTTATTGATATAAAATCCCAGAGTTTTTTGATACATATTACTATCTTCGAATATAAATGACAATTTAAATAATAGAAATATTAAGGTATTAATAAAATAGCTACATACCAACTACTAGACCCTAGTCTAGCCTATTCCACTTTTCTTAATCGATTTTATTTTACAAATTTTATTCAATCATGCTTCAACATTCAAAACTCGTTATCATTTTCCCTTTCCGACTCTCTAACTAGACGTCACGTAAAAATACAATTTTGAGTAAAATAGCTCATTACAAAGAGAATGAAATGCTGAACATTTTCCTCGATTACAGTATGCAGCTCTGATTTTTAATTCCTAAAATATTTTAATCCAAATACAAAGATTAGTCGACTCAAGCCGACTCTATCCGAATTAGCGTTACATATCCGAGCGCGAGTAGCTCAGTTTCATTCATTACCCCCAAAAAAAGATAAAGAAGAAGAATTGTATTTTCAATCTTATTTATCGACTAGCTGATGTACCCATCGTTGACGGGTGTATAGTTAAAATTTGAGAATATTTTTTTTTTCTTTTTTCTAGCAAGTTGTCTTGACATACATACCTGAACTTACTAACAAAATTAAAAACGTGTTCAAAAATTATGACTTAACAGAAATTAAACTCGGACAATATAATAACAAGAAACTAAAGCAGGCACATCACCAACACAAAGGATAAAATAGAACCAATAAACATGAAAAATGTAATATATAAATTAAACTGTCAAAACTGCCCCAAAATCTACATTGGTGAAACATCCAAGCAATTAGGAACTAGAATCTCACAACATATCACCAACTGTAAAAATACAAAAAACATAAACACAACAGCCTTAGCACATCACAGTATAAAACTACAGCATAAATTTAACTTTAACAAACTACAGATAATAGGCACAGAACCAAAAAACACCAATAGGAAATTACTTGAAGCAATACACATAAAAAACAACAGAACAACAGTCAACTACAAAATAGACACTAAACATTTAGGAACCCATTATACAGACATATTGAACAAAATTAAAATTTAATAGAAGTGAAATCACAGATACATAAAATAAACACTAACAACAATAATAAAAATAGTCAGATAAAACAGTTAGATCCAAAGGTCAATTTTTCACTATGGCAGAAACCCAATTATTGGTCAAAAGTAGGATGTTGCTCTAGATGATACATTTTAGAACATGAGTTAGAAATTTGACGATGGAGCACATTATTATTATTAATTTTAAGATAATTACAAATTTATTGTAACAACAAAATTCAAACATGTAATGTAGCAAGCACAATATTATAACTCAAAAAAATTTTAGCCTTGCATCCACAAGAGTATTGGGATTGCAGTTCCGAAGATGGGAGTTAATATCCCGAAACGTCAACTAACTTGTTAACATGTAACGTTGATAATAGAAATATACTCAATTGTTACCAATTGGAAGTTATTATTGCCAATAACCAATAATTGAGAATTTTTTTTTAGATGAATATTGTATTATGGGGAAGGGGTTCATTTCATAACATTGGGTGAGGGGGGGAGAGGTAACTTTAATTTTTAGAAGATTTTCTTCCGATTTCCGGCTAATCCGTTCGGTTAATGATAAAAATGTATACATTTGTTAGGCTCGGGAAGTTGAATAGACACCTTGAACAGGAAGATCGGACAAAGTTAAAAATTAGTGTGTTTTAAGCGGCAACGCGTTACAGATGTTTGGTATTTCGGATTTTTCCCGTTGAGTTGTGATAATTTTTTCCATCAGTTGAATAGTACAACTGTTAAATATGGCTCGCGGTAGAGTAGGTTGGGATGAGAATCGAAGTAACTGCCTAACCGGGATCTCTAGACAAATTACCCAAGAATTCATAACTCTGGTTCTATTCAATATTTTGTTTTCATTTAAAGCCTATGTTTTAAGTCAAGTAAACCTTAATATAATGTCAAAATTTCAAAAGTTTACAATAAGCCATTGCTGAGCTAACCTCTGACAAAATTTCGTTGCAATGCGGACAGATAGACAAAAAAATGTTTTAAAAGTGGATTTGGTGTCTGTAATGTATAAAACGGAAAGATAAAACGGGTTGATTCTATTCAATGTACAGACAAAATCCTTATTTTATTTATATAGATATCATTGGATATATATAAAAACTCCGAAACATGCTGTAATATTAATTCACAGCTGTTAAAATTAATTTGATGAAATGTAAAAAAAAAAAAATAAATAAATAAAGTTATTTGAAAGGCGATTTAAAAGCAATGTTTTGTTGAAACATTAACGTGTATTTTAGACAATAGAGGTGTACGGATATTAGTTCCCTTTCGATACTCCAAGATAGCGGTGGGTTTCAAGATCACACAGATCATGCTGTTCCCAGATATTCGGCATTCATCGGGAATCTGGGAACAGCATGATCTGGGTGATGAAGTAGCGAAATGGAAGTAATATCCGAACATCTCTATTGTCTAAAATACACGATAATGTTTCAAATAAATAAAACATTGCTTTTGAATCGCCTTTCAAATAACTTTATTTTTATTTATTTTTTTTATTTCATCAAATTAATTTTAACAGCTGTGAATTAATATTCAAGCATGTTCCGGAGTTTTTATGTGTATCCAGTGATATCGATAAATAAGATAGAAAAATGCGCTCTTTTAATTATGATAAGATAATTCTATTGGAATTTAATCACTGATAATACAGTAATAACTTACCAGTTTTTAATCACAAAAGCAGTTCTAAAGACTTCCTTCTCACATACAAAATAATTATTATTATAGGTATTTAAGTCCGTAAATTAATTTTTTTAAATTTCATTTTTCAAGTCATATGTTTTTGAGATTATTTACATTTTATATAGCATTAAAAGCTTTCGTACGGCCATCGTTAAAAGAACACACCACTATGTTGTTAAAAAAAGTTCTTATACAAAAGTATAGCTTCATTTCATATTAAACTTTATTGAATATTACTCGTCAAAGTAAAATCCATTATTTCCAAATGCTTTCTGCCAGAATCATTTCTTTGGTTTTGAGGCGAAGAACAGTAGTTGATGACTTCCAATATTTACTCCTTTCTGTGACATTGAGTGAGGGAATGAGAAGGAATATATATGAATATGAGGTTGCGTTGCACTATGAATTGTACTCAATAGTGCAGTGGACAAATTGTTCATTGAAAAGTCTCATAGCCCTGGAGCCAGGGCCCAAAAATCGACCTGATCGCAGGCGAAGGTTTGATTATAAATTATGAAAGTGTATTTTATTCTGAGTAAAAAGAACTTTGTCTGCCGTTCCAGAGCCGCTGCTTTAAAGAATATGAGGCCAGTAATTTGATGATCGAAGCGGAAATCCATTGCGAAAAATGTTAGAAAAGATTTTATTTTTTTAACTTGTATATATGGGTTTAGACATGTAAAAAACAAAATTGCTAATGCAGGCCACCAAGGGAAAACTTTTTATAGCCAAAAAAGTCAGATTTTTTCGATATTTTTTGTGTTTTTCCTCTATAACTCCTAAACGATGCATCAAAACGAAAAGTGTATTCTTTAATAAATTAAAGAACGTTAAATTTTACGTCAAACGAGTACATAAAATTTTAAATTTAGTTACGCGGTAAGGTATAAAACCACGGTCAACAAACGCTGTGTTTTACAAAATTTGTCAAAAACTGAGAAAAATTACTATAAATGGCCCTGTAACTTGGAAATGAGTTCGCTAAGTGGAAAACCCATAGAATCAAAGTTGTAGAGCATCAAATTTTGCGTCCAGTGAGTGTCAACTAATTTAATGTAGGTCACTGGCTACAAACAAAATTTGTAATCTCTCGATGGTTAGAAATTGGTAATGAAGGTAAACCTGATTTTCAATATTTCAACAGTATGCGTGTCTTTTCTACTAAGTTAGTTTTGTTTAGTCTGTCACATGCAGTATAAGCCTCTTTTCCACCTCTCAACAACAAAAGATTTTGGTAAACGATGTGCCCAAAGATTCCGAATTTTATAAAGGACTAACGAATCCCGATTCGAGATATATAATTAGCCTACAATAAAAATGCCAGTACTCACTGACGCAAAATTTGATGCTCTACAATTTTGATTCTATGGGTTCTTCCTCTTAGGGAACTCATTTGCAAGCTACAGGACCATTTATAGTAATTTGTATCAGTTTTTGACAAATTTGGTAAAGCTGAGCGTTGGTTGACCGTGGTTTTATTCCTTACCGCGCAACCAAATTTTAAAGTTTATGCACTCGTTTGAGGCAAAATTTAACGTTCTTTTATTTATTAAAGAATAAAATTTTCGCTTTGATGCATTGTTTACGAGTTATAGGTGAAAAAACAAAAAAATGTTGAAAAAAATCTGACTTTTTTGGCTGTAAAAATTTTGCCATTGGTGGCCCGCGTTAGCAATTTTAATTTTTACATGTCTAAACCAAAAGTTAAAAAAATAAAAACTTTTCTCAAGTTTTTCGCAATGTATTTCCGGTTTCGATCCTCAAATTTTGTTCTAATATTCTTTAAATCAGCCGGCATTTTTGAAAGCAGCAGCTCTGGAAACGGCAGACAAGGTTTTTTTTACTCAGAATAAAATACACTTTCGTAATTTACAATCAATCTTTCGCCTGCGATCAGGTCGATTTGTGGGCCCTGGCTCCAGAGCTATCATATCGATAAACAGTCAACGAAGAAGGAAGAAGCCTGGAAAAAAGGGCCGGTAGATGGCAGCAGCTGGAGAAGCACGCCGGAGAAAAAAGAAGGGACTCCAGGCAAGAGCATGAAGGCGTGACCTGAGAAGAGAAGTCTACTAAACTGAAGATTAAGAATATCAGGCCTATGATTATAACTAGAGAGGGGATTTTTATATAATTGCACCTTTTATTCTCTTGCATGTAAAAACTTCGGACCCGAACATCTATCCGTTTCAGGACCTGTAGAATAACATATTTAAATTTTATATTGCACGTTTTTGGCTTAAATTGCACGATTTTGATTTTTTTTTTTGCATTAAATCGCACATTTTTGCTCTTTTGTGCAAAAGTAGACAATTTATAAATAAAAATGTATAAATGAGTGTATTAATATTTATTTTACTATATTGTTCAAATTAAATTCATTATTAAAAATAGAAAAATATGAGGAAGGTAAATAATTCCAAGTGAAGTAAAAATCGTATTCATTACAAAAGAAACAAGTAAACACAAGTGAGATCTATTCTTGGAATAAAACTTGACTAAAGTATTGGATAATGAAAAGCTGCTGTCCTAGAATTAGCAGCTTTGTTAGTAATACATTTACAGTTACTGTTTTGGCTTGAATCCTCACTCACAGTTCAACACTTCAGTATCACTTCTGGCTTTGAATTGATTTCTAAAAATTTCATTCTTATAAAAAAAAAAAAAATTGTATTGCTGAAAGTAAAATCTAGCCTCCCGTCAAAAATTAAAATCTGGATATAAAAATACCAAATAAAATAAAAATGATTAAGTTCTATACACCTTATGAATCAACCAGGTAATAGGGAATCACTGATAGAAGCTCATTGGGGAACAAATAAGAAAAAAATATTCTTATCAAAGAATTAAATTTTTTTTAGAAAGAACGTAATCCCCAAAAATATTTTTTTAGTGATATAGAAAAACAGCTTCATCACTAATTTTTGAACACTTGAAGATCTCAGATCCCTTCAGAGCATTAGGATAGCTTTCAAAGTGATGAATGTCAAAGCAAAAAAGATGGGCTTGCACTAGCGGATCCAGGATTTAATTTTTTTTTTTTGGGGGGGGGGCTTCAGCCCGAAAGATTTTTTTTTTCATATACATATAACGATAATTAATTTGAAAAAAAAAAAGAAAGAAATTAACTACCTATATGAAATGGTGTTTAAGTGGTTCCTGAAGTCCTATTAAATGTAATTAAACGAACAAGAATACTTTAAGAGATAGTTTTTAATATTTTTTTCTGTAAAACATGGTTATATTTTACCATTTTGGGTGGGAGGCTTCAGCCTGAAAGCCCCTCCCCCTATGTGGGCTTGCATATGACTGGGAAGAAAAGGAAGATTATGGTAGTGGGTACAAAGTCACTGAATAGAAACCTTAATTATTACTGAAAGCCTCTTGGTTGCTATGGGATACTTATTACTTGTTCAGGTTTTAAAAATTAAAATATTGCTTTTTATGAGCCTTTGATGAACTAAAAATCTATGGTAATTTAGATGGAAGAGAATAGTTCTGACTCCGTACAGATTTCAGATAATACAGAAGGAAACTTTTTGATACATTTAATAAAAAAAAAAATCCAGGTATGGCTTCGAAACTCTCAGTAATAGATTTCTATACTCTAAATGAGAGAACTACAAACCAATGCCTTAATGCACCAAACATATTGGTCTTGAGCGATTAAAATAATGGATCAGTTCAAGTTGAAGGATAGCTGTCTTGTTGCTTAACTATTGAACTGGAGGGATATTTTTCAATGGCACAAGCTTATCACTTAATAAATATTTACTTTAAAGTCTGTAGTTGAATTGACTATCTTGGTAATTTTATATTTAAAACACAAAAAAACATGTTTCGCTGACGTGTTACTTGTATTTAGAATATATTAAAGAAAGAAATGGCTGTATAAGTGAGGTTTCACAGAAATATAATAGTTCAGCATTAAAATTGATTCTTTCTCCAACAACTTACCAGAGAGAATCACTTTATTTTATTTAATAGGTTGTATAAAAAACAATGACAATTTTATCAAAATCAAGATTTAAGGACTGTAAATATTTTAATCCTGTTTAATACTTAATAATCCCTTTAGAGCATTCTCTGTGCTTTTTTAATCCTATTCGACTTCTTCAAAGAAAGCCTCAGTTTAGTTATCTGTTTCAAAGAAGAAACATGAGTGTCCTACCTACCAAATTCTCGTAATTTTAAGGCATTACTAGATTAAAGATTCTGTTAGTCGCCATCTACTTTCCATGGGGAAGATGAAAAAGAGCTGTAGACTAGTCCCTTACAAGCTTACTCTTCAGCAATCAGCTAAGAGGTTAGACATTTATGAAAATTTATTCAAAAACCCTTCTGATAAGAGACTCCTGCCTCATCCACGATATAGTCCAGACCTCGCACCATCGGATTACTACTTATTTAGATCCATGGCCCATTTTCTTCAAGGAAAAAATTTGATAATTTTGTGGAAGTGAAAATTGTAATCCAAGAGTTCTTTGACAGTCATTCCAAAGAATGCTATCAGCGTGGGATCGAGCAATTTGCTAGCAGATGGCTAATGACGGTAGATAATAATGGACTATACTTCGAGTATTAATTGTATTTTTTTTCAAAGAAATAATAACACAAATATTTGGTTTAAAACACCATTTTGTTTTTATACACCCTATTATATTGGGTTGCTACAGAACAGCATACTTTTCAATCAATACAATGGATGATCCTCAAAATTAATATAAAAATATACAGTATCACCAATATACATGAGCATGGTAAATAAATTGTTTTCCTTTTTTTTAATAACATTCAATTTCTCTTTCTTTTCCTTCTCTTCTTACACATTTCTCTTATTTTCTTCTCTCTCTTCCTAATCTGATTCATACTTTTTGATAACAACTTACAATAATAACAATAAAAAAAAAAAAGTGCACTTGTAAAAATCTAAATAAAATTAACCTGTTAACTGAGCATGATAAAATATTTCACCGTACAAGAACTATTACTACAATGGACATCATGCCATTTTTCGTCATGAAAATTAGCGATAATATTTTGAATGCATTAAGTTTTACATAGTTCTTATCTATTAAATCCTAGCTTGGTTATAAACGAGTATATTGTTTACATTTTCGCTATCACTCTCGTGTTTTCCCTGGTTAATAATTAAATATATAATTAATTAATAATTAATAATTGGTAAATGGTTGACTGTCGTGGATAATGAAGAGAAGAATAGTTGGGGTGGTCAGTCAAATAAGCAGGCAAAAATAAATGATAATATTTATTTTTACATATGCCAGCGTTTCGACCTGAAGTTCAGGTCATCATCAGGGCTAAGAAAAGAACCAGATAACAAGGTATGAGAAATATAAAAATTACAGTAAAATGAAGTTGTTAGAATAATGACAATAGTAAGAACAAGAGACAAATAATTTTCTTTCTTATTTCAACCTTCTCAGTTTCTCTCATCCTTCCTTTCATTCCTTTTCTCTGTTTTAACTCTTTATTATTTCATACTTTGTCTGTACATATTGATAGACTTTACAACTTCTCAATTTTTTATCTAAATATTCTATTCACTCTATCTTAATTTTACTATTTATTTCCATTTCTTATAAAACTTCATATTTTTCTGTTTTACATTTTATTCTAAGATTCCCTTTACAATACTTATGTCACCTTTTTTGACTCTGTTTACTTCATCATTCCACACTTTGTACCTGTTATTATTATTTGTCTCTTGTTCTTAATATTGTCATTATTCTAACAACTTCATTTTACTGTAATTTTTATATTTCTCATACCTTGTTATCTGGTTCTTTTCTTAGCCCTGATGATGGCCTGAACTTCAGGTCGAAACGTCGGAATATGTAAAAATAAATATTATCATTTATTTTTGCCTTCTTTTTTGACTAACCACCCCAACTATTCTTCTCTTAATTAATAATTAAATTTGTTCAAATAATTTGTCTGCATTAAAGGTTATTTGAGTTATTTATGTTATAAAGTATTTTGTCAAACTAAATAAAATCAATAAGTTAACAATTATTTCCTTTTATTACTTGAGATGTGATGATATTACTCATAATTATGAAGAAAAAAGTTCCCATTGTGAGATGAGTTAAACAAAATTTTATTCTCCTGTTAATAGGTTAATATATATATACAAATATAGTAGAGGAGTTCAATAAATAATATATATATATATGTTGTAATATATACATGCTCTCCCATGAACAAACTCTCCCCCTATCCAATCCCATGCATGTGGTGGTAGATTAGTCCCAGGGAATTGAGGATTATGTTTTCTGCCAACTTTGCTACGTCCTTTATGTCGACTCCAAGGCATTCCATGAAGCTCCTTGTTGAGTGTGGTATCATTCTGCCATCTCTGAACCAAAGACCTCTCATTTTGAATTCTATAAATTCTCTGCCTACGTAATCGAAATAATGCTGGAATTTGTTTATTTTGGCTGAAAAAAACTGGGTAGAGGTTTATTTCATGCAATATAACTAGTTAATTTCTTAATAAACAAATAATAACCAACATTTATAAAGGTGGAAATAAAATAAAATAGTTTTATTTCAACCATATATTAACATCTCAAGGATAAAATTCTTTATTGAGACTGTAGCAATATTTTTTAAAAATAACAATAGGTTTCACAGCCTATAAATGAGAAGAAATTGTAGAAAAAATATTATATTTATTAAAAGTTTCAATTACTGTCATAGAAAATCAACAATAGAAGAGAGTTTCGGTTATTAGCTTATACTGATATATAAAAACAAAATTTGCAATAAATATATTCTATGATATAGAGTCCTACAAGAACTTCACTGTGATAAAATAACAAAAAATCAATGAAATTTCAAAAGATCTTTAGTAAATACTGAAGTAAAAAATTAATACAGATATGACATTATTTCATTTAATATCATATAAAACTATTTACAACCTTAATACAATTTAGAGTATAATTGGAGACTATTTTTTTCCTCTTTTTCCTCGAGGTTTACTCCCACCTGCTTCCTTCTTTTTTTGTTCTTTTTCTTCTTTATTGGTTTTCTTCTTTATCTATATAAAAAAATAAATAAATAATATCTTCTCAGCATTGACAAGTACACTAATATTTATAGTACACGGATTAAGAATTCATGAGTTCTATGGACTAGAAGTAAACAATTATAACATGAAAAGATTCATATGCTACGATTTGACATCCAAAATACTCAAAATTATGCAATACATATTATTCTATTGCATCAGATGTAAGAAAATGCATTATTTTTTAAAATTGATTTTGATGACATTTCATATCCGAAATATTAGATCCAAACTTTTCGAATGCCTTTACAACCTAAAACCAATAGGATATTTCCATGGAAAAAAAATCACATAAATTTGATCTGAAATAGAATTGAGTGATGAAAAATAAATATAAAATTGTGATGGTTTATTAAAAATCTTAATTATAAATGCAGAAATGAATCATAAAAATTTATGTTTTGTTTCTGTTTTTATTGTTATAAGCTAATTTTAACCAATGAATAAAAATTGAAAATCTATGCAAGTACCCAATTCTCTAATACACCAACGAAAAAATAGTTGCACTTTAAATTTGAGGGCATCTAGTATACAATAAATTGATACAATAAAATAATAGCTTTTAATATTACATGAGGAATAAAATAAATATATTTTATTATTTATATTTAAATAAACATGAAAATTATTAATTATTTCTTTTTGCTATTATATTTGTATTACCATTTTTTTTTTTATCTTGAAAACCAGTTAGTACTATTATATCATATCAGACTGAATATTTAAAAAAAAAGTTACAATGCCTGTAAATAATAATTAATTTACTAAAACAAAGATAATCATACCATTATCATAGCATCTTTCGTAACATCATTTTGATCTTCCTCTTCATCGTTACCATTCTCCAAATCCTCTTCTAACTCAGCCTCATCCACAGCTTGTACCCCTCGACCTTTTTTCACAGCAGCATTGATTGAAAATGGTGTGACGATAGGATTTTTGTTATATGTTCTTGTAAAACTTGCTTTCACCTGAATTTTAGAAAAAACCAATTACGCTAGTTTAATATTATAATGTTGGTGATGTTTCCATTATTAAATGTATATATTTAAAAAAGTATTAATTTATATCAGTACTTTGGAACAAGAAGGACCTATATTCAAAATTTTGAAATTTCAGTGAATTGCATGAAATAAATCAAGGTGGGATATACATTAATTATTAAAAGGGTAAATATAATTCTAATGAAAAACTTATTAAAACTAAATTTAAAATAATGAGAAGAAGAATAGTTGGGGTGATCAGTCAAATCAGAAGGAAAAAATAAATGATAATATTTATTTTATCATTTGCCGACGTTTCGACCTGAAGTTCAGGCCATCATCAGGGCTAAGAAAAGAACCAGATAACAAGGTATGAGAAACATAAAAATTACAGTGAAATGAAGTTGTTAGAATAATGACAATAGTAAGAACAAGAGACAAATAATAATAACAGGTACAAAGTGTGGAATGATGAAGTAAACATAGTCAAAAAGGTGACATAAGTACAATACTTATGTCCCTTTACAATACTTATGTCACCTTTTTGACTATGTTTACTTCATTATTCCACACTTTGTACCTGTTATTATTATTTGTCTCTTGTTCTTACTATTGTCATTATTCTAACAACTTCATTTCACTGTAATTTTTATGTTTCTCATACCTTGTTATCTGGTTCTTTTCTTAGTCCTGATGATGGCCTGAACTTCAGGTCGAAACGTCAGCAAATGACAAAATAAATATTATCATTTATTTTTGCCTTCTGATTTGACTGATCACCCCAAATATTCTTCTCATTATTCTCGACAGTCAACTATTTAACCACTATTATAAAATTAAAATAAACAAAAGTTCCAGAAAATAGTAATTGCACACCACACTTCTTTATTATTTTTAATTTAATATTTTCAATGAAGTACATTAGCATCAATGACCACTTGTGAGTGAACTAGTTTTTAAATGAAATCTGGACTGATTTGTTTCCATTCTTGTACCAAGAGATAATTGAAATTGTGCCTTCCGGTGATGTGGTTTTTTTTAACATCTCGGTTATTGAATTTTCAATTATATTTAAGTCTGGTTAATGGGGAGGGGTGTGCAGTTGGTAGAGAAGTTAAATATATATCACCGTTTAGTTTTTTATTGGCTGTAATCTAGGGATTATTGTCCTACTGTAAAATAAACTGACACAGCATTCCCAATATAGCAGCACTTGCTGAAGTCATGGCACAAAATCCTAACATAACCTTCCACATTTTAGATCCTCATGATAGGTACAAGATTTCAAACTTTATAAGAAACTAGCTTTACCCCGCCAAGCGCTGCTGTGGCTTAGCCTGGCAAAATAAAAAGAAAGAAAATAGAAAGCACATAGGAGTAGATTAGTAGCAAAGGATATCTGTCATTTTTAAAAAGTTGGGAAACAAATTTGTCTGTAAAATGGATTCAATTTAAACTAATTCTAATGATTTTTTTTCTCATGATTCAAATTGAACATTTATAATCATCTGAGTGAATACGCCGTCATTCATAATCATCAGAAACAGTCTGAGTTGAATTTATAAAACTAAAATAAAAAATTAATTAAAAATACATATAATAGTATTGACCTACATAAGGAGAATCATATAACTTCTTTAAATGATAATTTCAATTACTGTAGTAATTATAAAATTTTCGATTAATCAATAAAAAGTAAAAAAAAAAATGCTTGCCCACCTTCGGTAGTGAGGAAGCAAAAGGAAACGGCCTTTTCTAAAGAGAAAGTGTAAATGTTTAAAACTCTATAACTCTGCAACGCACCCCTTCCGATTTCGATGACATATTTTTTATTTTGTTAGCAAATCAGGAATCTTTCAAATAAATACGAGTATTATCAATCAAAAATTGTGTACTTTTAAGTTATCGGCAAATAGAATATTGAATTCATCGTAACATTTTTCAGCTTGTTTTCGGGAAAGTATGTTATACACATAAATTAAAAGGGTTTCAAGTGGAAGACTTTAGCCAAGTTTCGTTAAAATCGGTAAAGCTGTTTTGGAGCTACAGTTTATAGCAACACATTTTTTTGCGGCTTTGAACAGAAAAACATTTAGATTTTTATTTTTTTTTACATATATAAAATTATCGTAAGACAGAAGTACTATGCCAGAAACCTTCCCAGGAGTGTAGGGAACAACTTCCCAAAGTTTCATGGCGATCAGTTGAATGGTTTAGAAATGCACAAAAGACAAACAGACGGACAGACATACATTCATTTTTATATATATAGATGGATCTCCACACTAATACATTCCTGTACACGTGTTTTACAGTAACCAAAACGTTTCGCTTCTTTAGTTTCTCATTTCTCCTTTACCAAATAGTCTTTTGGTCATCAGACCCAAAAAAAGGAAATTACTCTTATCACGAAATATCATACTTTAACAAAAACTGATGGGCTTGATGTATTCTCTAGCATAAAAAAGTTGTCTTTGGCAATTTATCTCATTGGTATAATGTTTTTTTGGTCGGAACCCCACCATATAGATCTTAAGAATTCTGAACATTCCTCACAATTCTTGTGCTTATACACACCACACGAGTTGATCCAATCATATTCGCTAGGACACTGCACTTACAGCTGGATTTTTAATCACCTAAATTTTTCATTTTTAGATTCATTCTTAAAATTTCCTTTGCGCTAGTTATTAGCAGTTGTTCCCACATCTCTTAATCAAGTATTTTACTGCTGAAAAATTAAGAACCAGGAAATCTGTTATTTTATGATTTTTGTTGAGTGGTGGCACTCAGTTCACAGGCGTTATCAAGCATACATAGATCTTACATGATTTAAATATTTTAATACTAATAGGAAAGAATAGAATTATACCCAAATAAGTAAACAAACACAAGTGTGTTAATTATGAAAAAGTTTTCAACTGAATGTATACTATTAGTTAACAAGTTTTAACAGTACTTTTTATTGGATAAATTCAAATGAACTTTTGTAATATTTAAATTCGTTAGATATATAGAAAAAATGAAGAGTGCAAGTAATTTTTTGTCCCACTCATTAATGGGAGGATGCTGGACCTTTTAATAATTAATTTTTACCCGATTCTAATTGTATCATGAACTTTACTTAATTTTCAAAATTTCGAAGACTGGTCTTTTTAGTTCTAAAGATAGATAGGTTTCCTACATTTAACAACAACCTTTCATTTTGACACGCACTTTTTGCATGTTAAAATTGTTATGTAAAATTTGACAAACGCATTCTTCATTAATTCCTACAGTTTCAGCAATCGCACGAATACTTAACCGACAGTCAGATCGAATCATATTACCGATTTTTACGATATTGTCGTTCGTTTTAGACGTGGATGGGCGACCCGGGCGTGAATCCTCTAACGTCTTTTCGTCCTTCTTTAAAATGCTTGAACCACACAAAAGTACGTGCATGCGATAAACATTCCTTGCCATACACTTCTTATAATAAATTATAAGTTTCAGTTGCTGCTTTTCCAAGTTTAAAGTAAAATTTCACAACGATTCGTTGATCTTTTATTGCATCCAACATTTTTTCAGCTAAACAACAAAAAACAACTCTAATGCCAACGAAGGCTACAGCTATAAAGATTTGTTTAGATAAAAAAGACGTCCTAAGAAAATCTTCACACTCAACACTAGTAGTTAACAATTGTGATAAATAAAAGGAAGGTTATAAGATGAACTTGTTGTCAATCTTCGGCTATTCTCGGAATTAATAGCGTGATCGAAGTAACTTGGCCAACTCGGCAAATTGGAGTGACATTCGAAGTGTTATCGCGATTTTATGAAAATTTTAGTAAAAATACAAAATTGATGAAGTAATATTTTTGTAGTAGTTTCCTTTTGATACTTCACTAGAAAGTGGCGGGTTTCAAAATCACCAGAGCAAGCTATGCCCGGATTTCCGAGAATAGCAAAAGCAGCCCGTATTGACAATTGTGTTTACATTTTATAGAGCTGTCAAGAATTCCAATAGTTTTTTAGGTTAGGAAACTTAGGTAAAATGGGTACTAAAAGGAAAAAAAAATTGAGACTAAAGCTCTAAAAAGCAAAAGACCTCATGTCCAGAAGGAGCTGACAAAGGAAGATTTCCAGCACTGCTTCAGACAATGGAAGATTGGAACGTTTTAAGGATAGCTCTGTATATAAGTATATAAATAAGTATGTATGGAGTAAAAATAAAATGTTTTACAGCACCAGTCTTATTATTTAATAGCCACACCTCATACATTCTATTTCATAACACAACAGAGTGGTCTGTAATCTCAAACATATTTGAGAAAATAAAAGTTGTTTTTATGGAATTTTTCAATAATATGATCATAATTAATGTGATAAGAAGATATAAAATATAACCTTCGAATCAACTTTGGAAAATGGATCTTGGACTCCTGGCCACGCTGTTAGTTCAGACAGAGACTCAATATCTTCCCTCAGGATGCAATACTCTCTCATGACGGACAGAGATTCTTCTATTCCTTCTGTCCCTTGAAGAAGAGGTCTTGATACTTTTTCTCTCAATGCATAGCAATAGTCAAGGTTAATTCCCTCTTTGCTGCCTGAAACTCTAAAATAATAATAATAATAACATTAATACATTAAAAAAAAAAAATAGAAAAGAAACTTTTTAGGTATTAATTATACAATATAAAAGATAATCAAAGTTAAATGGCTAAATACATTCAATGTATAATTAGAGATTATTCCCCACTATATAGCTTTATTTTTAATAATTACTGATGTTATTATTTATAGTGGTATATTCCACTTGGGCTATTTAGCTTCCGAGTTAAGGGGATGGTTCGTGGGAGCTATGTCTTGAAAGTAATTGAAATATATCTTTAGATGTATACATGAGATGTGTAAATTAAGTAACGAGACTGATTTTTTTACTAATTTATTTGTTGAAAAAAAAAAAATAAATAAATTCACATTGTCTCTTTCAAAGTAAAGTACCTTGGTAAGCCACACAGCGCTAGAGACAATTATTCTATTTCTCATAGCAGTGCTGAAACTCCGATACTAGAATAGCCTTGGTCGGTTAGGGCTGTTTGAATATTCTCCAATGTCCTAAAATGTCACCACTTAAGGTGATTTTTTAATCTTGGGAATAGACAAATGTCACACGGACTCAAGTAGTGTGAATAAGAAGGCTGAGGAGCCACAGGAATGTTTTTACTGGCCAAAAACTGATTGATAGATATCGTGGTGTGACAGGGAGCATTGTCGTGATGCAACACCCACATTATTTTGATGATTGGTCTCACATGTATGACCCTTTTTGGAAATCTCTTGAGAGAGGTTGATTGACCATTTGGCCTTGAAGTATAAACTCTTTGTGAATGATTTCTTGGCTATCAAAAGAGTAAATCAGCATGCATTTGATATTAGACTTGATAATTCTTCCTTTTTCTGAGCTTGGAGAGATTGAATTGTGCAACTCTATGCTCTGTTGCTTGGTTTCAGTGTCATTCTCAAACATCCAAGATTTGTCACCATATGTTCCAGAAAAGAGGGATCGTTTTCAATTGTTATAAAAAAGTCAAGGCACGTTTCCTTTCTGATGTCTTTTTGCTCTCATGAAAAATTTGTCTGAACCATTTTTGCACAGATTTTTCTCATCCCCAATATTTTATGAATGGCTGTGTGAGTCAAATTTAACTCTTCACCAATCATTCAGGCTGTTAAACGACGATCTGAACGCACGAGATCGTGGATTCTGCCAATATTTTCATTGGTTCTTGAAGAAGGCCTTTCTCTGCGAGACTTGTCTTTAATTGAATCTCTTCCTTCTGAAAGAGCCTTAAACCAACTAAAAACCTGGGCTCTTGACAAAACACTGCCTCCATAAGCCTGACACAGAACCTGATAGCACAATGTAGTTAGAAGTTGATGTCACTCATTTTTAGAACACACTAAAACAACCTTTCTCACAAAAAAATTAACTAAGTTAACACGGACAGTGCAACAACTCTAGTGTGCATAGGATGCATATCAGATGTTTACCTGCCTACTCCTCCACGTGCATGTTCTTCAGTGTTGCCAGATTAACACTAAAAAATCAGTCTCATTACTTAATTTACACACCTCGTACTTGCAGCAAAATCACTGGATTAAGGACATTAATGGGAAGATGTGTAGAATTTCAAGGGTCCATTTTAAAGACCATTCCGTATCACTATTAATTCAATGCTATAAAAAAAATTGTTTCAAATTTTACATTAAAAAATAACAGAAAAGATTTTTGTTACTTTAGTCTGGTGTGTGCAAGTATTTCTTGGGCAAATCTGTCTAATTTCCCCCTTCTTGAATTTTTTCCAAGCCATGCAGGAAAATTAATTTGTCCTCCCATGTGACCAGCCAAATACTCACCTGGGAGCAATGAGCTGAAAACCGCCTGAAAAAGAAAAGAAAAAGATGAATATGAAATTAGACCCATAAATAAAAATTATTTATATGTGGCTAAGAACAAAAACTAAGTCAATTGAAACTTTTAAAATTTTAATTTCAAAATAATTTACCTGAACTGGCAATAAGCCCCACGCACTATGACTTCTTATTTTATTGTCAACTAAATCACCATAAGCTATACTTTGAGCAGCTTTAGCGAATAACGCCATTTTTCCTTTCTTTGTTTTACTGGAATTTAATAAAATAGTTAATATAAAAATTAATTTAAAGATATGACTGGAAAAATTATTTTAAAAAATTTCTCAAATACCAGTAAATAATCAAGGTTTTGCCGATTTAGGGATCATCATGTCAGAATAAGATTTAAGATCACGTAAATGTATTCCAGAGACAACAAACCTCACATCAACACCCCCCCAAAAAAAGAGACTATACTAATAGAGATAATACAATATGTACTCCAAGATAGTTCAAGATACACTTTTTATGAGTTTGAATTAGAGAAATCTGAGAGACATAAGACTTTGCTTGGATTCATCCAATAATGGGAAAGTGTCTAAATTCAACAATGAGTTCATCATTATAAATCCATCAGACTCTGAATTTATAGATGGAAATGTACGTCTGTTTATTCATCGAATAAATCACTGATGATCCATCAGTTGCGTCACCTATATCAAATATAAGTCAACAGATATAATTTTGATATTATTTCTGTTTTTAAAATCAATAATACAGTATCTCTTTATTTTTATTTTTTTATTTCTTTCTTATTTTTTATTAGTATTTCTTTTTTTTCAGGTGATTTCATTTTTTATTTTATACTATTATTATTTTATATATGTTAGCCAACTACTAAAGAAATTTAAAATGCCATTTTCAGAAAAACAACTAAACTTGTTAAAATATGGAAATTCTAAATGGTACAGATATATAACCAATAGGAGGGGCAGATATCTGGATCCTCAGAGGGAATATATGGCCTCTGTGACGTGTTTGTGGCCTCCAAATATTTTTGAGCCATATTTATTAATCTAGTGCTAAGAAATAATTAATATTCAATTATATAAGTAACAACAAATTTGGAAATTAATAGAATTAAGTTGAATGTATGTATGTGGGCGTGTGTATTTAGCGACAAATAAAAATAGTAACGGTAAAATATAAAAAAATTGTTGAGGTCCCCATTAGCACTGCCTAGCCTTACTGCGGCCTCTAATGATAAAAAGGATAACTAGGTTCTCCACCTATGACCCAACCTATATTTTTATTTATAAATAGCTAACAGTTATATAGATAATGATAAAAAATGGTGAAATATTTCAAATGACAATAAATTTAAAAAATAATAATAAGTATAAATATGACTTTAAATATAAACTTAAGCTATGAAAAGTCCATTAGGAAGACTCTGTATAACAACGAATACTTCAACAGTAGCTTAGATACCAAATAAAAAGGCAAAAATCTGATGGACAGAACGAATCAACAGAAGCTTTAGAGCAGCAAGCAGATAATTGGAAAGAAATAGCCCAAGATAAAGATGGAGAAGGCTAGTTAATGCAGCAAAAAATAAACAAGGTATATTAGTCAACAGAAAAAAAAAAGAAAAAAAATTGACTTAAGAATAATTAAATATTTATTAATGTTCCGATTTCTTTAAAGAAATTTGAATTTTAAAATACTAAGACTCTTAATATAGAAATTTTGTGACAAACAAACAAAAGTTCTTTGATTAGAGAAAATTCGATTAGTGATTTAAAACAAAAGTTACGATTCTGTGTTTTGTTATCTTCTAGGAGTGTTGACCGTTTACTTGAATCCAACAGGCCGTTTCTAAACTTAGCAATGAGAGATTAGATTTTTTCCGATCACATAAAAACAAGATAGGCGTCCAAAAGGTCTAGAGAAAAATTGTAAGGAGGCATGAAGTGAAAATAATAATTTATTAATTTAATGATAATAATACGTTTTAAACATTAACAACAAAACAAACCTTTCTTCAGAATGCGGTTGGACATTAAGATAGTTTTCTTGGACAAAAAGAGGAGCTATACTGTAATCGTAGAAAAATAGATCAGATTTGTCATATATGGACATATTTTTGTGTTCCTCCTTCGAAAATACCTTACGCAAAACATCCCAGGGGCCCTGAAATGAGTGATTTTTTTAGTTGTGTATCATAGAAAAATGTAGTAATATGAAGTAAAGAAGTATAATTTGAAAAGTAATAAATCATTAAGAAATTAATTAATTAAGTATTTTGTTTTAGAGTATATCGTTGAAAAAAGTATTACCAAAGTAAACTTACAAGTTTGACATATTTGCTAGCCATAGGTAAATTAAGTGAAGCTTGGGCTGACAAAACAGATAAGTGGTTTAAGATGAGCCTTATATCTTGATTGGTACTCGTAATTATATCACTGATAACATCAGGCTTCACTTTCAGACCTTCTTTGAAGCAAACAGACATCATTGCACCCTGAAATAAATATTTTAACATTAATACGACTAATTATATCTTTTAAAATTAAACTACAGACTATTTTAAACGAGGACAATTTTAATATTTTTAAAATGAATATAATTTTTTTTACAGGTTTTCTATATTTCCAAAAGTCTTCTATTTCCTCCTTCTTGGTCAACACACTGGAGTACCAAAAGATAGCATTTTAAGCCCAATCTTCTGTTCTGTATACGCTTCTAATATCCCTGATAACCCTTGCACCATCATCTTCACCTAAGCTGACAATGCATCAATACTATCTTCCCATTTATTTGACATCCGAAAATAATTCTATAAATGGAAAATCAAAATTAACGCTACTAAATTAATCCACGTAAGTTTCTTTCTAAGGAAAGCTTCATGTACATCTATAACCAACAACAACCCAGTGTCTAAAAAAAAGGATATACGGTAACTCGGACAAAAGACTTACTAGGAACATACAATACAAAATTAAAACAAGATCTGACGAGGCAATATATACAACTCTCACATTTTCTGCACAACAGATACTTAACTTCACTTATGAAATAAACGAATAATCTACAACATTATGAGACCAATTTGGACATAAGAAGCACAACTTTGGGATTCAGCAAAACAAAACACAAACAATACAATAGAAAATTCTACGAAAAATTGTTAACGCACCTTGGTATATTTCAAATAATACTATACACGACCTAGACATTTTAACAGTAAAATCTTACATCCATGACAAATACACAAAAGTTTACTCTTCAACTCAAAATTATCTCAATACACTCGTTTTATCAATTTCTTCCTACATTTTACCTGATTGATGCAGATTAAATAGAAAATGGCACAGAGATTTCCTCTATCATTAATAAATAAATATAATATACTCCATCTGCTACTACGCAGTTGCAAATGGAGTAAAAGAATAAATAATAAAATAATTTTGAGATGGGTATTTTTGTTGGCTTTTTTTTATTTTTAAATTAGGAGAATGATTACTAATCAAGATTAGCAGTACAGATTTTTTTAAATTTTTTTTATTCTACTTGCAAAAGTTTCAATCCAAACATTTGAATCACCATCAAGGCAAGAAATTAAAAATTACATTATAAATATAAGATATAGACAGAAGTATATAAATATGCCAAGATAAAAAAGATGAATAGTTCCCATAAATGTATTAAAAAACAAAATAGTAATATAAAGATAATAGTATACCAAGAACAAAAGAAAAATAGATAGTTTTAATAATTCAATTAAATGAATAGTAAAAATAAATAAATAAGAAACACACTGAAAACATCCATATTTTATTAAATTATAAAACTAATTGGAATACGAGAGAGCAGCGGAGCAAATGGAATACATGGAGAGCATTCCCAGAGGTACGAGAAATCAACAAAAAAAAAAAAAAAAAAAAAAAAAAAAAAAAAAAAAAAAAAAAGCCTCATTTTAAAAGAATTATTATGAATAAACAAGAATAACCAGACCATTAAGATTTAAATATTGTTTTTTTATGTTATACAGTTATATGTATTGTAAATAAACATTTATTTATGTAATAAATGTTTTTTCTTAAATAACAAATATACACATATTTTTTAAGGGGGCGCTAGAGCTTATTTTCAGATTCAAGGGAGTGATGAGCACTGTAAGACTCCAATGTTATACATTGAGATTTATTAACTGAAAAGCATATGAATAAAATAAGAAGAAATGCTGAACAAAGGAAATCAAGATTATGTATATCATTCTCATAATTCAAAAATATAATTATAAACTTTTATATTATTATATATATTTTTGAAATTTTCATATTCATTGTATTTAGTTATTTTTATCCCTAAATAAGGACTACATTATGTGCCAAAGCATCATAATTTATTAAAACATTAATTTTTAAATTTCTTTGTTCTAATTTAGACCATCATATTCTCCTCAATTAGTAATTATGATCAACTACTAGTAATTACATTTTTTTTTTAATTATTTAAACAAATCATTAAATTTTAAAATAAACTATAATTATTATTTTTTTAAAAAATGAGATATATAATAGAAATAATATGGAGTCAGAAAACAGTTACCCTTATCTGATCTGCCCGGGGTTTACTGAAACGGAGATCGAAACAGTAGTTAGCAAGACTTCTAATTTTAGGATGGTTGCGGTCATTACACATACAAATTATTGGAACTTTTGCTGATTTGATCAACAATATCAATTCTTGAACTCCTCCTCTATCTTCGTTCCCAGCCATTCCGTCAACTTCATCCATGACCAATACGTGCTTTTTGCTCACTTTAGCACCACTTCCTGTAAATTATACACAATTAGTATTATATGAGAAGGAGTTAGTCGAGGGTGCGGTCAAATAAATAAAAAATTAAAATATATTAATTATTTTAATTTTTGCCGACGTTTCGACCCACTTTGCAGGTCGTCTTCAGGGTGTAGGATGTGGCACTGCGGGAGGCAGCTGAAACACTGGCAGTGGTAATTAGTATTATAGTCTCCTTTAAGAAAATGAAAGCTTGAGATGAAGAGGCTGGTTCAGACAGTGTTGCCAGTTGAGTACATAACCAGGGAAGCTGTGAATCGTCGACACTCCTCAAGAGAATTGGCATCAAGGCATCCTTGCCGTTGAGAACACCGTACTGCTACTTATGGAATTTTTATGTTTCGATCCGATCTGATCATAGAAGAATTGGAGTATGGTTTCCAGCACTTTTAGCACATATGAATTATGAGAACCTATTGCAGTACGTCTTCTCAGTCACTTAAGGTGTAAACTCCATAAATTGAGATTGCTAATCATAATATAAGACATCTTCATAATTATGAAGAGAAGAATAGTTGGGGTGATCAGTCAAATAAGCAGGCAAAAATAAATGATAATATTTATTTTGACATTTGCCGACGTTTCGACCTGAAGTTCAGGCCTTCATCAGGGCTGTCTCCAAAAGTGTTAACTTAAGTGAAGTATTAACTTAGAAGTGTTAACAGAACTTCTCCGTTAAAACTTTTGGAGATAGCCTTGATAAAGGACTGAACTTCAGGTCGAAACGTCGAAAAATGTCAAAATAAATATTATCATTTATTTTTGCCTGCTTATTTGACTGATCACCCCAACAATTCTTCTCTTCATTATTCACAACAGTCAACCATTTACCCACAATTATGCATCTTCATAATTGTTTAGTTCAAATAAGTAAGTTTAAAACTGTATAATAAGATATAAATAAAATTACTAGGCCAAAAGCTACAAACATTAACCAAATATGGAATTCAGGCAAAACAGCAATAATTGAGTTTTCAAATGAAGTTCTGGGATTAAAAGAACAAACAACAAATTCTTCATGGTTTGATAAAGAATTCCAAAAGTCTGAGTAGAATAAGGCTTACTGTCTTATGATACAGCGAAGACACAATAGAAATTCAGTAAATATACTGTTAAGAAAAGTGCAATTCTAGAGCAATGGAGATCTTACTTTGAGGACTTTCTCATCATAATGAAAATTATGATACATAAGGTAAATCTGAATAAGAATAAGGGAAATTGAACCACCAAATATGGATGAAAATCAAGAGGTTCTTCAGCACTTAAAAAATAATAAGGCTTCAGGAGCAAATGGTCTTCCTGCTGAACTCCAAAATCTGGAGGCAGGTAAGCAATAGAGAAATGATGTTTCATAATGATCATTTGGATTTAGTTAAATTTATTGAAATGGGAAGATTTCGTTAGGATACATTTTTTTAATTTTATGAACCAGATGTAATGTTTTAAATAATCTTATGATTTATATTTATGAGTATACGCAAGGCCAAAATTGAGCAGTTATGTATTTTTTAATTTCCCATCGATATTACAAGATAATTTATTTGTAACTATTTATATTAGAACCTGAAGGTATTAAACAAATTTATATAAAACAAATGCTTACCCAAAGCGTAAGACGCAAGTGAATTGCTTGATAAAAGTTCTTTGATTTCTTCTTGAAGTGATTTTTTGCTACGAGTATCTGAGGCATTAAACTCAACCATGTCCATACCGAGCTCCTTGCAAACAAGATGGGCTGTAGTAGTTTTACCTAGTCAAATCAATAATTTCATTAATACCTATAAAATTAAGTTATTGCTTAACATATAAAGAATGGAAATCACTAAAGGGCTAAGGGTGAAAACTTAGAGGGACTTTTTACTGAAGCTATAGTAAAATTTTGAGTCTTAAACTTCGTCACTTCTCCATGAAATTCCATTTCGTTGGATATTTCATTCATCAAAAAACATTGCTTCCGAGAGATCGAAGAGGAATCTATACTATCTTCCTATTATATATTGTATACGTTTAATAAGTTATTACACTAAATTAGAAATATTCAATGCTATATACTCACCAACCCCTGGAGGCCCTGATAATAAAGCAGCTTTGAAATAGGCACCACTATCATCTTTTGCCCATGGACCTATTTAAAATTTAAATAAATATTTTTAGAGATAAAACATAATAATAATATTGAAAAATATAAGTATTCATACAAACTTACTTGGTCTAGGAATCTTCTTTTTACCAGACTGATTATTATACCAATTGGCTAACCATTTAACCAATTTATTGACATTGCTTTTTTCACCTTGCTGACCAATTATCTGTTTCAAAGACGACGGCTTGTATTTTTCCACCCACAGAGAATATTTTGGATCATTTATATTTACCCTGGAATCGACATTATTTTTCTTCAGAGGTGGTGATGGTATTTTAGAACTCAAAGAATTCACAGGGCTTTTAGAATTTTTCGATGAAGTTTCCTTTGATTTATTTTTTACAGGACTTGGAGAAGTAGAATCGGATAATTTTTGCTTTTTGTTTTTATGGCCTTGTTCTTCCTTTAAAACATGCTTTTTCTCAATTTTTTTTTCTGGTGTTGGCTCTACTATTCTTTCTGGAGAAGGAGACATTTCATGAAGTCGGGCATGATTAACAGGTTTTTCCTAGAATCAATAGGAAAAAAATTAAAAACGAAAAATATTCAGAAAAAGTAGACATGTTTCAAATAAATTAATAGTATCCAATATGAAAATTAATAAAATTGGTTTAAAATATATATATATCTGATTTTATTACATAATGTTTTAAGATGATATTATGAAATTAATGGATGTGATCTAATTTTACAGCAATTTTTTCATCAAACATGAATTTTTATCCCCTCTTCATAAAATCTTGGATTCTGAAGAAACAAAATATATTTCTAGAACATATGTGTATTAAATCAACAATTCTAAACACTCAGCGTTTTTGGAAAATAGCCCAAATTTTTTATGAGATAAATGTTCACTGATTGATCTGGTGTGTACAGAAAGAAGAACTTCAATTTTTAAACCTTGAAAAAGTTTTGTAGGCTCAGTCTTGAAATACATAATTAACAATCATGAAGGAGAATTTTCCTTTAGTTATATTTAAAATTTGAAGTTCTACTTTCATTACTGATCAATAACAAATTTATCACTTGATAAATTCTTATTATACACTCATGTCATCCTCAATACTAACATTTCATGATAGTCATTAAGTAAATTTCACAAGAAATTAAGTTCAACCTTAAACAATGAAGAACTTTGAAGAATTTTTGTTTAAGAAATCAGAAAATTGTGCATTTAGTATAACTACATATAATAAAAAATCTGGTGTGTCCACTCACACGACTTTCCTACCTATTTCAGAAAAGTTTTAATATCATTACATATTATTCATGAACACACAAAAAAGAATTGAACTGAATTTATTTTCCTGAAAATTGATCAAACAAAAGATTTGAGTACGATTTATTTGATAAACTAAAGCAATGAAACCGACTTAAGGTAGATCAGTGTAAAAATTTCAATACTTCCTAATATTGCTGATCAAAAACTTTTTGCCATAGCTTAGTATTGTCAAACAATAATTTCTGTTAAAAGTAGAGGAAATAGTGAAGATTGTGTGATGCGGGCAGATTTTCTTACTTTCACTTAGTCATCTTTATTCTCTCATTCACCCCTTTCTGACACCAGGAAATGAACTCGTAATCTTTCATTGGAATAGCTGTAACTTCGTTAATAGTTGTCCAAAATGAACGATTTTTATGTGGCTTTGTAGGGAATTTCATTACCTTTCAAACGACAGGCTTAACGGCGTTTCTTCCGGACTCAGGGGACTGTGAAACGTATAGATCCGTCAAAAACCGCAAGTCGGAAACTTGACCCGATTGCAATACTTTCCTTACCTAGTATAGGTAGGAAAGTAATAAGTTAAAAAAATGTGTAAAAAATAGAATAAGCTGTATCATCGCTAATACTGGTTCGATTCCAATTTTTTTTTTTTTTTTGTTTTGTTGGTAATTTAAATACCTTTCAAAAGTTTTATTATAAATTTTACCGTATAATATATACTTAGGGAGTTAGGCCCCATAACATTTTTCTTTTCTTTATAACTTTTTTTAATGAATTTTTTCGGGAATTTAGTCTATATACGAAAATTGAAAGGACAATGATTAGAACATCATAGAAAAGTTACATCAAAATCGTTAGAGCCGTTTTCGCGCTACAGTCTATAGAAAAACATGTTTTTCATTTATTGCTCACAAGCTATTGCGCATGTAGCAACGAATATCTGTCACAGGCATCAGTAGGCAAAATCCTACAAAATAAAAAAAGAAGCAACAAAATCGGTTCAGTAGTTCCCGGACTCAGAAGACTGAAACGTATAGATCCGTCGAAATCCGCATTTCGGAAATTTGACCCGATTGCAATACTTTCCTTACCTAGTATAGGTAGGAAAGTAAAAAGGGATTTGTGTTGTTTTTATGCAGTTACTTTGTTTTTGTGTAGATAAATAAGGTCAACAATATTAACATCAAAATGTTAATGTTCATTTTTAAATGATAACAGTAGCTAATTCAATTCAATATTTTCGATACTGAGATCGACAAAAATTAAAATTATTTCATATTTTGAAAGGCAATAAAGTAAGAGAATAATAAACAAACAATAATAAAGGAAATAGAACTAACCTTTTCTTCTTCAGTGGACACATTGGAATCTGAAGTCTTATTGTTGGAAGTTTGGCGTTCTTCATTTGAAACCTTATTTTTCAATGGCGATTGAACATTTGATGTTTCATTTTCCAAAGCAGCTGAGCTTTTATCCTCAGATGGAAAATCAGGAACGTCATCCCAATCAATATCTTCAATCATATCCAAGTTAGGATCTTTTTTGCCCTAAAAATATATCAATCTCTAAAAATTTTAACACAAATGGAAAACTTTTTACATAAATGATCATATTCAGTAATTAAGTACCTTCTTCGCTTTTGGTTGTTCGGTCCTCTTGACAGGTGTCTTGCCCAACAGATTGGCAACATCATTTTTTGAAACCTCAAAATATTTTGAAGTTTCTCCATTTTTAGTAGAATTTTTCTTTTTATCTTTCTTCTCTGTTCCAAAATATAAACATGAACTTTAAATATAATGTAATAATGGTTATCATTAATTTATAAAATTAACATTTTTATTTTTTCACACAGTAAGTTAACAAGTAGTTCCGCTACAATTAGTGATTCTCATGAACAATAAATAATATTAATCATTTTATACCAAAACTATTTTTATTCAAAAATTAAATAAAAGAATTAGTTTTAATACAACTAATTGTGGGGTAGCTCAGTGGTAGGGCACTGAGCTTCCAATGCAAAGGTCCCAGGTTCGAACCCCGGCCCATGGCAAAAAATTTATTAATCTGTTTCATTGACCGTGGGGCGACCCTGAGTTGAGAGTCCCTCCTGGGGCCCACTCAGCCTCTATAAAGTGGGTACCCTTAATTAAATAATTAATTAAGGGAGAAAACCTGGCGGTTGAGCATGATCTCGGTCAAATCACCTCCTTGCACAACCGTTGACCTAGAAACAGTACTTTCCCTAAATAGTACTGAACCCCAGACCCTTCATGGGTTGTAGTGGTACAGGTTTTTTTTTTTTTTTTTAATACGCCACAAAAATTAAAATCAAATATAAGATAGTAATGAATCACAGTGGATACCATTGACTGATGATTAAATCAAGAAATTTTATCTTATCACATAATGATTTTTTTCAATAAACAGATGATATCCAATATGAAAGGTAATTCCAATTACTAAAACGAATACAAGGGGAAAATCTTGGCAGAGTACTTCACAACAAGGATCCTACAATGCCTGATTCTGAACGGTATTGGTTAAATTCCCATCTGGGTCAATATTCTTTCTTTCTCGGCTACCTCAATAAATGAATCTCGATAATTCCAGGTAGTACAAGACAACAATCTCTGGGTAGCACGGGCGGATCTATGGGGGAGGCTTTGGCTTTGGGGCTGAAGTCCTCCCCCCAAAATGGTAAAATATAACCATGTTTTGTGGAAAAAAATATTAAAAAATTATCTCTTAAAGCATTATTATTTGAGTAATTACATTTAAAAGGACTTTAGGAATCACTTAACACCCTTTCATATAGGTAGTTAGTTTCTTTCTTTTTTTTCCAAAGTAATTATCATTATTTTTATGGAAAAACAAAGATTTCGGGCTGAAGCCCCCCCCCAAAATTAAATCCTGGATTCGCTAGTGCTGGGTAGCCATTTAAGATTCGCAAGAAACATCACAAGGCCCAATATTCAGGCGTCCCCCTCCCCACAATCCAGTACACTACAGGATTACCTTTATCACATGAGACAGATTTCCTTAACAGTTAAGACTGTCCTCATTTAAAAAACAGAGAAGGTAGAACATAAAAATAATTTACAACTGAAATAGTTTGATAAATATGATTCAACTGCAACCAGTTATTATACAACTAAACATATAAGAATACAGCTTGTTATTTTCCTGAATATAATGATGGTACGAGAGTACACTGGTTAAACAGAACTATCGAATGATTGCAGATTAGCTCTAAACATTGATCCACCAGAACTGGACTGAAATATTTGAAAGTAAAAATTATAATGCAACTAATAACACTATATATAACCTGCCTTTTTCCTTTTTGGGGGTGGATTTCTCTTCTTCAGAATCAGAATCTATGAATACTCTTTTCCTACTTTTTCTTTTTTTGTTAACACTATCCTCCTGAGTGTTCTTGCCAGTTTTTGAATCTGGTTTTTTAGATTCTGGTGTTTTTGAGAAATATGATCGAATGTCCTTTGAGAACAAAACACAGATATAATCACAATTAAATTGAATATAAAAAAAATTGCAAAATAATTGAAAAAATCTTCTGATTACCATAGGCATGTTAGGATCAACAAATTTAACAATTAGGAGCAGAAAGTTCTAGGATTAAGTTTAAAAGAAAACAAGGGAACATTATACGCATTTAAAAATAATTTGTTAACATATTTTTAAATAATACAAACATTGACACTCAACAAGAGTTGAAGGTTATAATCACATTCCCGCCGCACATACCAAGTTCCCAGACAAACAGTGTAACCAAGATATTATTATTTTTTTTCAATAAAATAGTTTTAATAGTTTGCCAGAAAGAATGACTGCATATTTTTAATAAATTTTTAACAAATCAATTTAAGTTAACATTTTTTTCATGGATATAATCCATCAAGAGCAAGAAACTAATCGTTGATAAATTGCCGGTTTATAACCGCTCTGAAAGGTTATTCGTGTATCAGTTTGCAATACAAGCTACTTTTAAATTTAAGATAATAAGATCACTGGTGTTTTTAAATTTCAATCATAAATTACTTCAATACACAAGTTATTTGAAGTTGTTTTAATTTATTTCAGGCCACATAAATATTTAATAAAATATGTCTGTAAGTATTGCAGATTTAATTGTATTTTGTTAATCTGCTTTAATGTTTTTGAAAATAAATTGGGTCTTGCTAGTTTATAAGATTTAAAAGAATTCAAAAGATAGAACTTATTGTCCAATGATTCACAGAAATGGCTTATGTAAATATTTTATTTTGTAAATTTTAATTTAAAAAAATTAAACATTAACTAATTGAGTCTGTGAAGATATGGAACAGTTCAAAGCATTCAATAAACAAATGACCCTTATTCTAATTTGTATCAATCAATCAGTGCTACCTTTAGAATTTCCTTCTGAAATCTCCAAGGAACTGTAATCCTGTTTTAAAGATGTTTTTTTATCAAAATTAAGTTGTGGGAGATTAAGGGCGGTATTTCCTCTGGGGTATCCTAGTGTAAGAATAACCACAGAGAGGAAGTAATTCATGCGCATCTGTCATGTACACCTGGCCCATGGATACCTGATGGCCCGCGATTTTTCGCCTGTATGCCAAAGTTGTTGGACTTCATTGACTGTAAAACACATTTTAACTGAATGCCAAACTTATGTAACACTTAGACTATCTTTTGACTTGACAAATGATTTAAACACCATTTTACAGGACAATACGAATGAAGTTGACAAATTATTTTATTTTTTTAAATGTTTGAAACTGAACAATAGAATTTAGTTATTAATGAAAATAAGGCAATAATGACCCAAGTGGTTGTACTCTAAAAAAAACAAAAAAACGATGGTGGTTTTAAATTAATCATAATGTGATTTGATTTTTTAAAAATCATACGCAATCTATAATCATACGCAATTAAAATACATAAGCAATCTATTTATTATTTGTTTTTTTTAATTAGGAAATCATACAGTTTTATTCATTTTTCTTTTCTAAGAATACTCTGTGTTATAACAGGTATGTGGTTTATATATATTATATTAGCACTTAAGTGCCAACATCAGCTAACTCAAGCATTTTTAGAAAACAAGATTATTGTAAATTAAGTTTTTGAGTTTATTGCGGAACAGTCTGAAATGGCCAGGTGATCATAGCAAGGAGCAAATCATCCTAGAAAACCTCTTAAATGAAATAATGTCTTGTTTTTTTACTATCCTGAAAAATCTTCATAACTGAGATAGCTGGTGTTGCCACTTAAGCGAGGATATTTATGTTTATCAATTGGTACTACCTTACAAGTGTGACAGCTGCATGGCAGCTGGTTGAAGATCACATTAATCACACTGGAGGTGAAATTCCTAACGTTAATGAGAACGATTTATTCCCAGATCTTAGTTATTAATTATGGATGTTGTTTATTCATCTCGTGAGCATGCAAAGTAAGGCCACTTGTAAATTTGGTTTTCAGCAGTTGGCTACTTTCGAAATTTTATTTACAATGTGATCTTACACTCTCCTCCATGTTGAAGTGATATTTATGTAGTCTACCAACTTCAAGTTATACCTTTGAACAAGTTTTTAAGTAGCACTGAGCTCTTTGATAGTATCGGGTCCACCTCTTTAAATTTATATATATATATATATATATACACGTTTTATTGGGTTTATAGTTTATATAAACAATAGAATTTATGAACACTATTACTGGTTATAGGGGGACCAAAAAGAAAGAAAAAGGAAGGAAAGTATCTTAGATTTGTCAAAATATTTAGACAAAGCTATCAGAGTCAAATTTTCTGGCGGAAGAGAAGCTGCTGGTGTATTAAAGGGATATGATCCACTTCTGAATTTGGTTTTAGATGATACAACAGAATATATGAGAGGTATATAACTATCAATTTAATTTGTTATTAAAATAGGTATGTAAATTAATAAATATAATAGGTCCCGTAATGTTCTGAAACCATCTGGATATACGTAAATAATATTTTAATCTGTTGTTCATAAGTCCTAAGGAAGATGTTTATTTATATAAGGTATATGAATAAAGTTAAGTACCAGTTTACTCTCCCAAAAAACATTTTCTTTATTTTTATGATGTACTTTATTGTCCCATCTTCAGACTAGAAAACAAGAAACATTATTGTTCTTTGTATTTATATGTTTTCATGCATATATTTTTATAACTTATAACATCAATAACAGATTTGCCAATTATATCGATATCTCATCTTTCTATCATCTTTTTTTTTTTTAAATAGTTGTCATAATTTTTATAAATCATCCCTAAAAATGCAATAATGTTTTTTGTGTTATATTATTATTTGTATGTAAGTAGCATAGATTCTGTAATGAATTTATTTACCTTAGTTATATAGTTATAGGTTAAAGCAAAAAGATGTTGTTTATAAGGTCAAATGTAATAACTGTGCAAATCAATATATATTGGTGAATCCTGACAAATTATTGCTGAAAGAATGAATCAACATTTTAAAGCGGACCCTACACGGTAATTCATGAATGAACGTCACAAGAAGTGCCAAGATTGCTCGGGATCGCTTTGATCATGAAGACTCTTACACGTTCAATCATTACTTATCATTGCTGATACCAATTTAGCTCAGTTGTAAACAAAGAAACAGCATAGATATGCTTATTTGGACATTGTCATTTATAATATTGGGCATCAAGAGAAAAACGGATATATAATAATTACTTCCTAGTGCCTGAAAATCGTTAGACCAAGGTTAGAAAAATATAAGTCAACTACATACAAAAATCTGAGAAAAGTATTGCGAAAATAATCAATTTCTTAAGAAAAATGGAAAAATTAATGGCAAATAAACACAACAGTTAAATATTTTTTTTCTATAAGTAAATTGTGAAGTTTCCACTTTTTTTTCTCTTCAATTTATTGCCTACTTGACTATTTAAAGAAAAAATAGTTGAAAATGGTTAATAATAATACAGACTAGGGATATAAACAACTATTTACTTTTATGAAATTATTTACTTAATAACGAGACCTAGGTAAACTAACCTATCTACTAGTAAGGTTAGTCTCATAGAAAATCGTTTTGACATAAGTTAGTAAAATATAAGTCTACTACTTACAAAAATTAAGGAAAGGTATTGCGAAAATAATAAATTTGTTGAGGAAAATGGGAAAAGAACTGATAAATATACACAACGTTAAAGTTTTTTTTTTTCTTAAAGTAAATTGTGAAGTTTCCTCATTTTTTTTTTAATTTGTTGCCCACTTGACTATTTAAAAGAAATAGTTGAAGATGGTTTAAAATTAAAAACAAGGGATATGAAAAATTATTTAACTATTTACATATAATGAAAATCAGAAATTTATAATGGTTGTGAGGCCTAGGTAACCTAACCTATCCAATAATATGGTTAGTCTCCGCACTACTTTTACCTCAGTCCCCCCTCCACTTCTCGTGAATGAACCTTTGATTTCCGGATGTTTGGAAATCCGCAGCGCACCACCATCAGTACTTCATTCACTACCTTACACGATAATTCGGAACGTCATTAGTGCAATTCCGAATGACTGTGTAGGGTCCGCTTAAGGATTCAAAAAGTACTAAATTAGACGATAAAACAGTCCTAGCCCACAAACAGTACACACAGAAAAATAATAGAATTATAATAGTACACATAGAAAAATAATATTCATCACTAAACATATTAATAAAGCAATAAATTATAAAACAGATGCAGCTAAAATAGGCTTACGTAATTAACAAATTAAATAAATAAAGCTTCTTGGAATTTGACCCTTGGTGCATGGTTTGATTCAGTGTCTGACTAGGCTCGCCCTAGATTATTCCGAAATATAATTAGGGTAAATAAATATATTACAGAATCTATGCTATTTACATACAAATAACAATATAACACAAAAAAAATTATTGCATTTTTAGGGATGATTTATAAAAATAAAAATTTTTACAATTATTTTTAAAATTAGATGATAGAAAGATGAGATATGGGTAAGATTGGCAAATCTATTATTGATGTTACAAGTTATACAAATATATGCATGAAAATATATAAATACAAATAACAAAAATGTTCCGAAACGCCATAAAATAAATAATTTTTTTTTTTGGGAGTAACTGTTACTTAACTTTATTAACTTGCGATACTTTATTAACTTTATTCATAAACCTTATGTTTTAATCTTTCTTTAATTGATATAAGGGTAATGCGACCATACTCAGATGCAAGTAAACCAATAAAAAATGTGCCATAGCATACAAAGCCAAGGCCCAAAGTAGCAGAGGGACTCTACATGTTATATTTGACTGACATGGTCATTCTGCTGCCATGTTGGTTCTTGTCTTACGCTTCACTAAAGCATTCTAGCTCAATGGATGTGTGTGCTGCTCTGCCGATGTCTCAAATGTGGGCGATGCATAAGTGCAGCACAACAATTTTTTGAAAATTGGCTTAGTCCAAATCACATCAAGCAACACTAACTTTTACAATGTGAAGAGAGATAAAGATCGAGGTTACATATATTTTTATTAAATTTATAAATCCTGCTTGAAATTACTAATTAGACACAATTAGAATATATACTATGGTTTATTTTAGTTGATTTTTAATTAGAATAATTTTTTTTTTTTTAAACTTGTTATTTAAAACACTATGAAAGATAATACAGACGTAAACAAAATTATGAATTCTAGATGTATAGGTAAGCATGTAAATGTTGCTGACGTAAAGGTGGGAGGATATGTTGGGCATTGCATAGGTGGTTTTTGATGGGGTTTGTTGAAGGAAGGTATGTTGGTATTGGCATTGAACCTTTGGTTAACTTAAAATAATAATACTTTTTATTATTATTATTTACGTTATTTCACTATTTTTAATTTTATTTTTGGAAAAAAGATGAAAATTAATTTAATTATTTGATTAACATGTTCACATCAGGGCATAACCACCAGTGGCTCGCATTTCGGTGCACAACTCAAAAAATCAGGTTAAGAAACTAGAGAAAAAAATTGTATATAGTTAACAATTAAAATATTGATAATTTAAAACATTTATTTCTGATACCGATTATAGTCGATTGTTATAATTATAATTAATTATAACTATGTCATTAACATAACTTTAATTCAATAACATCAACATAACCTTAATTCAATATTATATGCATATTATAAATTAGACATGAATAAATTTTCGTTTTATGCTTTAGTTCATTCGGCCCTGTCATATAAAACGGAGAGCTTTAAGTGTAGCTGCCCATGGAAGATGAACATGAATTGCAGTGTCGGTGTAAACCTTTTAATGTTTACCTGAGGAAATTAGATAAAATTTTAAAAACAATTGAACATTAAATTTCTTTCACTATTTTTCTTTTTGAATATTTTATAATTTGTTTTGAAATTTAATTTATCAAAATGGCGCAGAAGTGAGAGAAAAATGTTGGTTTCCCTAAAAGGCACTTCTCTAACTAATGCAATTCATATACAAATTTCCAACTCTTTATTTAGATTCAGAAGGGCTATAAAGATGTGCAAAACTTGACTATGTAAAATGAATTTGGACATGCCGAAATTTACACTGAAATTCATTAACACTGCTCTGCCTAGAAAACAAAACCTCCAATTTGAATTTTATCGAAAGGAAGTATTCAAATGTAATGAGGAAAAAAAATTATAAATTGCATTCCCACTCTCTTTCAAGAACCTTTAATTCATTGTAATTATTATTATTTTTGGGATTAAAATGTAAACAACTGTTTTTAATTATTCTGGTAGCAGTAATGTTAATGAAATAGTATCAATGTTAATAGCATAATAAACCTGCTGGTCCAGGATTAATTGTGTTCCATCATAAAAGTGGTTTAGTAGATTAAGAACATTGTATAGCTTGAGTTTTTTTAAAAAGAATATTATTTGTTGTTTCAGACCCCGATGACCCTTATAAGTTAACTGATGAAACAAGGATGCTTGGTTTGGTTGTGTGCCGTGGAACATCGGTTGTTCTTATATGTCCAGTTGATGGTATGGAGAGTATACCAAACCCTTTCGTTCCACAAGAATCATAAATAATGGACTAATTCTAAGTTTAAGAAGATTAAGTTCTTTCATACTTATGTAAATGAAAAGAATTTACTTTATTTAGCTTTAAAAAACTGTTTGTTTATAAACATGTATATATATTAAAAATCTCCATTTTTATTGAGAAGATAATAAATAATAATTTTCAGTTATTATTTGTTCAATTTCCTTATATACAGTACAGTGGTCTTATTGGATCTTATAACTGAATTGTTAGTGTCGGATTTATGACTTTGGCAAACTTTTTATTTGTCCTTTTCAGTGAAAATCGTTTTTAGTTACATTGTTGCTTTCAACTTTCGTTCGCTCAAGAGGTATAAACAGTACCCAAACAGGTCCTTTTTAGTTGAGGTCAGGGCCTTAATCGATGGTTAGGTAACTTTCATCTATTTCCATACGCACTTCACCATTCTGAGGATTCCATTTATAATGAGATCTTATGCTACTCATGGAAGTGAAGTGACATTTCACTATGAAAATAGTACCACTAATTTTTTTATTAAATTAGTCATTGTTTGAAACATATTACTAATTTTATTTTAGCTATAAAAAAAAGAAAATTGGTAGTATTTTAAGAAACTGCACCTTCGATAACTTTAAAAAGGACTCTTATATTGAATAAATCTGAAAAGTTGAAAAAAATAGACTATTATATAATCACAAAATCAATAGTATTTTTGATAATCCAAAAATTGACCTAATTGTCGAAGTTTTTCTCTATTGTATAATAGGAAAAAAACTTTGATTGGAGACCCTGCCCAATTTTGGGAACTATATCAGCGGCAAAGTCAAAGTATTTTCTTTATTATATTTTTAAGAAGAATGGCAAAGCAGATTTTAATGCCAGTAAGGTGGCATGGTAATTTCAAAAGCTTATTTATTTTTCATTATAGACAAGTCATGGAAACGCCTTACAAGCATTAAATACTTGCTTGGAGTGGTTACAATCTCGACTACCCAAGCATGGTACTTTTAAGGAATTTGCGAGATTGGTGTTTTCTACAACATCAGAGACTCAACTAATCAGTTATAAATATCTATATTCTGTATTACTATCAAGTGGGAATACATAGAATTCAAAAAACTGTAACAGAAGAAGCAGAGCAAAGAAGTAAATGAAGATGAAAAGAAATACACGATATAGTGAGCTGAAAAAAAAAAAATTAATATTATTTTTGAACCACAAAATTGGTTTGAATATGTCTTGAATCTGTTCCGTCCCATTTTCTATGACAGAGAAGTAAATTATTTTGGGTATATATTTATTTATGTGTAGGTAGGATTTTTATGGTACCCGATTTTTTAACAACTCTCTTGGCTCAATTTGCCAGATAATTAGCAAAATTTCAGATGATTTAGGTATATATATCTTTATCACAGGGTGTAAAGAACATTTTGATTCCATTATTACCCTGGTTCAAGATAAGAAATCCCAGTATCTGTTGAATAATAACTTATTTGACTCATTTCAATAAATAAAACACCTACAATTCTTTTCAAACATTCACAAAAACATCCAAAATGTATTTGCATTGTATACAGTATATAGTAAGTTGCAAAGTTAATGTGGTAGGAACAGAATTTTTTTTTTTATACTTGTTGAAAATCTTGGATACCAATATTATCATTTGTGCCTGCAGTTTTGAAATCAACTATATCTCACATTAAAAATAAGAAATTTGAATTATCATAACACGTTAGGGTTTTTGTTGCTCTCAGACCAATGAGTAGCATCTTTATATTGAAAAATGGTTTGATCTACTATATTTCTATTTTCAATCAGCAAAATATAGGTGTTAAAACAATAAATCATCAAACTACTATTCAATTTTTTTTTTATTCATCTTTTAGTTCAGATAATAGTTGTAAATTAAAATCTCCTAATGTAATCCGTCGATGGGTGATTGGAACTTTGAAGGTTATCGGAGTTGATCTTTTCTTCCTGGTCACTGATATTTCTGATGTGTTCTCATGCCACAAAGGGTCGTTGTGGAAGGGATTCACTGGGTACAGCTGAACTCCCCCGCCATCGCTGACACATCCAGTCCAATAAAAGCCATTAACGTCGACTAATGCAACTTCAGCGCTGGGCAAGTTGTGAATATACTTTGAGAGTATACTTCCCAATCCTGGCACTTTGTAGTTTCCTTATATCCATACATTTAAAAAATAATATTCAATATTATAAAAAAACAAATAGATTCACTAAAGCGAATTAAATGTAAATGGTTATATTTTATACAGTAATCTTCACTTTTTATAATGCCGTAGTATGGTACCCTTTTTTGGTTTGCAGGAGCAATGAATTTTAATCAATGAGGTATCAAATGAAAGGGAAATACTATTAAAATATTTCTCATTATGATATTTTTTGACTACCTAAAAATTCGAAAAGGTTAAATGGAGTATAAAAGCACTTTGATCTCTTGACTCTACCTATTCATTTGTTTTTTACTTGTTGGGACCTCTTGGACAGAGGAACAATGAGTAAACAAACACAGAAGGTAAGAGGGTTTTTTGGTTGAAAAGGTTCCAAAAAGGAAGTTAATGTTGAATGATAGTTGGACCTTCAGAAACTCAGACAGGGTTCACAATCCCTTGAATATTGAATAAAACAACCATCATTGCTTTGAATTTTGATTTGTTCATTTGAGATTTTTTGGCACTCAGAGATATTGAGCTCTTCTAGTGCAAGGATTGGCACTTAGTTCCAGGATCTTAAGTAAAAGCCATGATTCTTAAATTTCTATTAAAAGGAACAAGAATTCGAGTCCTTCAAAGTTTTGAAAGAGAAAGAGGAACTCGTACTGAAGGAGCTGACAGAAGAACTGTTTCAGACAATGAAAGAAGAATCTATTTATGGATAGCTGACAGATTTATATTGAAGGTAATAATAATTAAATATGTGTGAATAGAAAATAAAATGTTACAGCACCGATCTCTTTATTTCATAACCTCATCTCGTATTTAACTCTAGTCAAATGAATTTTTTCATGTCAGATTATCTTTTTTTGTTAACTATTATTCTTTCCTTTTTTAATTATTAAAGTTATTATTTATTAACATTTGTGGACTGCTGATGGATAATGCATTGAAATATCACTCCTCCTAACATATTAAATGACATTCTTTCCAGTGGCGTACCTAGACAATTGAGGCCACAGGCGGATCTACAGGGAGGGGGCTTTCAGGCTGAAGCCCCCCCCCCCAAAATGGTTAAATATAACCATGTTTTACAGAAAAAAAGATTAAAAACTATCTCTTAAAGTATTCTTGTTAGTGTAATTACATTTAATAGGACTTCAAGAACCACTAAAACACCATTTCATATAGGTAATTAATTTCTTTAATTTTTTTTCTAATTAATTATTGTTACACGTTTATGAAAAAAAATCTTTCGGGCTGAAGCCCTCCCCCCCAAAAATTAAATCCTGGATCCGCTAGTGATTGAGGCCCCTTAATAAAAAAAAAAAACTCCGTTTAGTAAATAGCCCTTGACGGATTTAATTATTAAGACCTCAGACCATCACTAAAATTAATACAGACGTTTTATTTCAAATTAAAAAAGTATTATTTCATCGTATTTGTCTATTTATATATCATGTTTATTGTTTGCAAAGGTGCTCAGAAGGCGGTTTTGTGGCCATGATGTGCTATCAAAATTTTTAAGGGGAGGCACATTTCGACGGAGCAAAACAAATTTCAAAAAAGGGGAAAAGATGAACCAGACCACAGACGAACGAGAAAGTGTAATTTTATATATATCTACGAATTTTCTAGTTCTATGTTTGATTGCACTGTTGTTAAGAAGATGAAAAAAATAATATTTATTGGGATGGGGAGGGCCGGTGTTCCTGCGCCATCGATGTTGGGTATATATCAGGGCACACCTGATTGTTTTTAATGATCAGTCAAATAATTAGCCATCCAAAGAAGTAAATAAAATATATATGTAGGATAAAGACAACAATTATTGACATATTATTAACTATTGACACTTTTAACTTCAATTTGGTAAAATAAGCGTTTAGATTCATGTATGATTTCAAACTTGGCTCCATTTCAAAAGCACATTAATCAGGCACCGGTTGGCGCCAAGATGAAGTTTCTAGTTGGTGAAAAATCTGCGTTGCTATAGACTGTAGCTCCTAAACGAATGTACAGAATTCAATAAAACTTCGCTAAAGTCATTTTCTCGATGCCCTTTAAATTTATCTATATAACATACTTCAACGAAAAGAAGCCGGAAAAAAAGTTACGAGGGATGGTAAAATTAAATTCCGAATAACTCGAAAAGTTTATACTTTTTTGTCGATATTGTATATGGTTTTTTAAAAGTTTACGAAATTTCCTAAAAAAAAAAGAGCAAAGATATGGTCTCCGTTTTTTTTAATATGTTCTACTCCAAATGTTATATTCTTGGTTTGGTTTTTAAATTTTGAATTTGTTACTTAAGTAATGCTATTTTTTTTTAGCCTATTACTAATGATTAAAAAAAAGATGTTTAGTCCAATAATTGGAATCACCTTTTGTTTATTTTTCTTTGTAACTAGGAAGGTTACTTTAGATGTATAATTGTTTGGAAAAAATAAACCATTGTGAAATAATTTGCAGTGTTTTATTTTTTGGAATGAAGTTACCATTCAATTAAAAATAATTCTCTACAGCCCATTTCTCCTCCTCCCACCGATCACATCTAGAAACTTCACTGATCCTACTATAACATTCTCTATATCGATAGCCACTCTGCAAAAGTCTTTCAGGAAAATTATATTAGGAAGTGAGGTTATGAGCTTTTCTTTTTCATCTTAGCGAGAAGCATATGTAGAAATAAAACCAAAAACGTTATTAAAAACATCACATATTTGAGTTAATATGGAATAAAAATTGAACGGATTACCTAATGTATAAAATAAACGGTTTATTTTGTTTCATAAATAATTTCAACTTATACCCTTTATAGGCTTTTCTAGCGTGGCTCTCGACATGTACTATGGTGTCAGTGAGTTTAATAGTTGTAAAAATAAACCGTGTTTTTACCTTTTCCTTGATATTTTGAATGTTTTATGTTTCCAATGTAAGTTATTCCATTCGGATATTTGACTTTTCCATGGTACATTTTATCCTTGTACCAATTTCCTAGGTAAACTGTTTTGTCATCTTCACTAATGTACATTCCATAACCTGAATGGTGAAGAATAAATATCTTTTTCCTATGGGTTTGTACTTTAATTTATTTTATTTTCAATGTTACAATAAAAAAAAAAAAAAAAAAAAAAAAAACCTTCCTAGCTTGTTGCCAACTCAATCTGTAGATATCCTTAATTTTTTTAATAACTATTCAAAATTATCTTTTACATTCAGAGGCATAGCTAAGAATGAATACACCCGAATGTAATCCTATTTCATATATGCCCATACCTTCTAAAAAAATAATCCATTTTATCCATACTCTGTTGACTGTAATTTTCTTTTCCATTTCTAAATTAATATCTGTCACAGATAAAATTAATAAGTAAATTATGATATATTTATGGTATTTCAGGCATGAGAGAATAGTGCTCAGTATCGGGAGATCACCGATTTTGTTCGGAGTTAATGACCTACATTAAATTAGTTATTACTCAGGGGACGCAAAATTTGATATTCTACAATCTTCATTCTATGGTTATTTTTTTAAATATTTTTTTTCGACTACTGCAGCACTTACTAGACAAACGCTCTAAGCTTTCAATCAATTACAAACGACTCATATATATGACAATAATAAGACCTATTTGGACTTACGGAATTGAGCTTTGGGGCTCCACTAAACCATCGAATTCCTCTCGTATACAATCCTTACAATCCAAAATCCTTCGTAAAATCCTCAACGCTCCTTACTTTGTCACAAATAAAATCATCCATAAAGACCATAATGTTCCATATGTTTCCGATTTGGGCCAATCCAGATACCTATCCTTCCATAACAAACTGCAGAACCATCCGAATCCTCTCGTTTCAAACCTTGCTTCCTCCTCGATCCCTGATAATCCTCCGAGGCATCTGAAAAGAAGATGGCCTCGGGACCTTCTAATATAGAACTTTAATTTTAGTTCTACCAATGGGTAGTTTCTCTTCAAGTTGTACATGTCATGTTACCAATGTCACATTTACTTATTGTATTTTCCAAGTAATACAGTTGTAAATTTCATCAAAATAAAAAAATAAAATTAAAAAAATGTTTTTTTCTCTAAGGGAATTCTCATTTCCATTTTACAGGGCCATTTAGTTTTTTTTTCTCTTGGTTACCCGCGTTAGCAATTTTGTTGTTTTCATATCTCAGCCCATATATACAAGTTAAAAAAAAAAATTTCAGATTTTTCGTAATGGATTTCCCGTTTCGATCCTCAAATTACTGGCCTAATATTCTTTAAATCAGTCGCCATTTTTTAAAGCAGCGGCTCTGGAACGGCAGACAAGGTTTTTTTTACTCAGAATAACATACACTTTCGTAATTTACAATCAAACCTTCGCCTGCGTTGAGGTCGATTTTTGGGCTCTGGCTCCAGGGCTAAAATACCTGTCATAGTATTTTAATACCGCTGCTTATCTACTTTTATTTTTCTTTTCATTTTGATAACTGTTACATTCATATTGTATATGTTGTCTTTATTTAGCTACATTTAATAGAATTAATTAAATAATTCTTTTGAAGTCAATGCTGGCAAAATGATAACTTGAATATCACAAGTTCGAGTCCCGGTTAGTAATATTTCACAAGTGTTTTTATATACGCTTCTGTTTGACCTGGTTGTTTCATCTCTATGTTATACGAAGTTCGCAACGCAATGATGCAGCACACGAAGTGACCATCCTTTCCAAGTTCAATGAGAAATTTTCTCCTTCCCAAGAAATTTTGTTCCTTTCTTCTTAAAAAAAAATCCTATGCCTGCGGAGATAGAATTAAAGAATTGATGTTCACATTCAGTTCAACTTGCCATGTTTCGTTACACGTGTCTTATTCCTTTGTTGAAAGTCTTGTCATCCCCTTCCGGGTATCCCTGGTTCCATTTCCTCGTTGACAAAACCCTTAAAGGTTATTTCAATTATAAACAATTAAAATAAGATAAGTCATTTAGGGATTTCAATCATTGAAGTACATACAAAATTAAGGCCCTTTTCTACTTTAAGCACACCAGTGACGCTATCTTTTTTCCTTTGCGGCTCTCTAACACGACGTCGCATAAAGATATAGTTTTGAATAATAGCTCATTGCAAAGAATATGAAAAGCTGAGCATTTATTTTACTTAGAGAATACAAGTTCGATTTTTAGTTTGAGATACTTTAGTCCATATCTTCAATAAACCTTGTTATCAGTTGTTTTTCGATACTATTTTCACCTCACTAACACGGCGTCGCCTTAAGACACAATAGCTCATCCCAAAGAAGATGAAATGCTAAACATTTACCTCGCTTACAGTATGTAGGACCGATTTATAATTTCGGAGATTTTTAATTCACATGTTCATCCAAACTCGTTCCCTTTTTTGCCATTTTGCATCTCTAACACAGCGCCATGGTCACGCTAAGATATAATTTTGAGTAAGAGCTCATTACTAAGAAGCACGGGCGGATCTACGGGAGGCGGGCTTTCGGGCTGAAGACCCTCCCCAAAAATGGTAAAATATAATTTTTTATGAAAAAAATTATCTCTTAAAGTATTATTGTTCGTGTAATTACATTTAAAAGAACTTTAGGAATCACTTAAACACCATTTCATATAGATAGTTAGTTTCTTTATTTTTTTCCAAAGTAATTATCGTCATTTTTATGAAAAAAAAGCTTTCAGGCTGAAGCCCCCCCCCCCAAAAAAATAAAATCCTGGATCCGCTAGTGCTATGAAGATAAAATTCTAAACATTTTCCTCGCTTACAGTATGCAAGTCTGGTTTTTAGTTTCTGAAACAGTTTAATCCATATAGAAAAACACTTCAATGATTCACTACTGTGCTTAAAGTAGAAAAGAGCCAAAATTATTATTATTATTTTATTTTTTTTTTTTTGCCTAATGCTGTTTACTTTACTGGCTGTAGCCTGCAACCAATTTCTATTATTATAAGAATCTCTAGCCAATCATCTCTTCCACATTAAAAATAATTTTTTTCTTTTTAACTCTTTCATCAATCTCTTGTTTGCCACCTATTTATTTTCTTTTGGAAATTCAGACCTTGTAGACCTTTTGTCGCCTTAATAAGTCTTCTCTGCATATCTCTGTCTATTTGACTATTGCTTTCCAGTTTGCATACAGCCCTACAATATCTTATTTAACACCCTCTATATTACTGCTTTTTGGCCTTCCAGGTCATCTCTTGCCTACTATAGTTTCCTGATAGATTGCTCTGAGCTACATCTCCCTACTATTAAACCATAATTTTCTTTTATTTTTATTAAACGCCTCTGTCGTTGGCTATTAGGCCATTCGGCTCCTGGCAGCCCAATCCAACTCCGCCATGAATCCTTTTCCATACATCTAACTGTACAGCCTCCAATTTATCATTCTCTTCCATCTTCTTTTTAATTGAAAAGATTACCTTGAGGGATGATTCAGCAGCGACAATTATTCCTGATGCAACCTGCCTGGATCTCTGCAGTTTATAAGTTTGATATCCCGGTAATTGGTAGAACTGGATATTTTCAGTGGATGAGCCGGCTTCTACGATCGCATATAAATCAGCATCCTCCTTTTTAATAATCGTCTTTCATTCTGTGAATTTGTCAGCAGTTAGGACACCAGCGGTCCAGAACATAGCCTTAAGCTGTGTGTTGACTGGACCTTTTGGTTTCCTTAATTTTGATGGATTCATATTTTTGTGGATTCTATGATGTTGAACTGTCTTCGCGGCGACAATATTGCTCATTTAGTTATAACCGGAGGGCACGTGTACAATGTACGGACGCGAGCAAAGTTACCCAATTTTTATTAAAGCTTTTTAGTTTAAAGTTTCAACCTTAATTTTATGACTAGTTATATTCCTTGTAATAAATAATCATATCTATATCTTGGAACAAAAACGACCAATGATAAAAAAAAATGGCTCTTTTCTACTTTAAACACACCTGTGAATTTTTGAAGTGTTTTTTCATTAAAATATCTCAGAAACTAAAAATCTGACCTGCATACTGTAAGCTAGGAAAATCTTCAGAATTTTATCTTCTTTGTAATGAGCTATTACTAAAAAATGTATCTTAACATGAGTCCGTGTTAGAGAAGCGAAAAGAGAAAAATAGTGTCGAAAACCAACCGATAACGAGTTTTATTAAAATATGTACTAAGATATATCAGAAACTAAAAATCGGACGTGCATACTGTAAGCACGGAAAATGTTCAGAATTTCATATTCTTTGTAATCAGCTATTATTAAAAAATGGATCTTAACAAGCCTCCGTGTTAGAGAGGCGAAAAGAAAAAAATAGTATCGAAAACCAACTGATAACAAGTTTTCTTGAAAACATGGACTAAGATATCTTAGAAAATAAAAATTGGACGTGCATACTGTAAGCACAGAAAATGTTCAGAATTTTATATTCTTTGTAATGAGCAACAATTATTATTCAAAATTTTATCTTAACGTGGTGGATGGATGGTTAGAGAGTTAAAAAGGGAAAAATGGTGTCGAAAAGCAACCGATAACGAGTTTTCTTGAAGATATGGATTAAAATATCTCAGAAACTAAAAATCAAACATGCATACTGCAAGTAAGGAAAATGTTCAGAATTTTATATTCTTTGTAATGAGCTATTATTCAAAATTTTATCTGAACGCGACACCATGTTAAACAGGTGAAAAAGGAAAAAGATCTCTGGTGTGCTTAAAGTAGAAAAGAGCCAAAAAAATAAATGTATATCAGGATAACAGAGTACTAAGTTATAATGGGAGCTAAACATTAATTTTGCCTTAATGAGTTAAGAACTTACCATGTCTAGTTATCGTTTGCGGAAAACGGACTTTAAAGCCACCGACGTAAACATCTCCGTTCTTAAACCTAAAAACGCTCTTACCCTTATAATTTATTTTCAATTTAGCAACATTGATTTTAGAAAGATTAATGGTTGATTTGCCTTTCAAACCTTTGAAACGAACAGCCTGTTGTGAATCCATTTTAAAATTAATCTACTTCTTTAAAAAAAAATGAAAAATTTGTAAACAATTTTTTAAAAGTGTAATTGTCACAATTGCCACCTGTTTAAGTATTGATTGTTGGCATCATTATTATTATTTCCAGTGCTGCTTTGATATTTTATTGATCTAATCGTAGTTGATGAATTATTAATAAATGTGATCATGGCTACAAGCAAGGCTACCCATCCTCCATTAAGATCGATGTTGCATGCTTTCCAACAAAGAAATTTTATTGCTCTCCCTTATTTAAAAAAGTACAAGCAAAAGTGGAATTGGAAAATTTTTAGAACAGATTACACTTGCTATATCTGTTTCATGTTTTCCCCTGCTTTGAAAGTTTCTCTATGTTAATGAAAAATAAGGTCCCTTCCAAATAGTTTTTTTTTTTCTATTGGCATTACTTTAACCTTTGAATCAACAAGGAAGCTTATTTTCTTTTCTCACCAAATCTGTAATTGAGACTCATTAGTCACCCCAAATTGAATTCGAGTGAACAACCAAAGGTGTCGACAAGTTTCGAATGAAGTGAAAGGGCGCTATACTTTACAGTACTAGATATCTGATGATAAACGTTCTAAAGATCTATGTGGCATATAGTTAGCAACTTTATTTACTATATATATAGGACAAAGTGGAGACGTCTAAACTGGTAAATTTATTTATAGTTTGCGAGTAATCAACAATGATATTCTGACATAACCACTAATACCTGAGCTTGTCATGGAGATCTACTTTCTTTGATGATTCCATCTTCTAATTGCCAATGAATACGGAGTCTGATCTAGAGTGGCTTATAGATTTTACAGCAACTGGTTTACAATCTGGACTAAGATATGCGAACAGTTTAGCTAGTTCTATGTTCGCTGCAATTAGACTAGATAACCTTAGTGGGGCTCTTCTACCACCGAACTTTTATTTTTTAAAAACTATTATTATGATATTTACAACTGTATTAGTTTGAATACATCAAGTAAATGTGTACAGAGGAATATAATCACATAAAACACGCTTGTTGAGAAACTACCCATTGGTAGCACTCTAATAATTTGTCTACATGAGATCACGAGACCATCTTCTTTTCAGACGTCTCGGAGGGTTATAAGGAATCGAAGAAGAAGCAAGGTTAGAAACAAGAAGATTCGGATGGTTATGAAGTTTATTATGGAAGGATAGGTATCTGGATTTGGCTAAATCGGAAACATATGGAACATTGAGGTCTTTATGGATTATTTTATTTGTGACAAAGTAAGGAGCATTGAGGATTTTACGAAGGATTTTGGATTGTAAAGATTGGATATGAGAGGAATTTGATGGTTTAGTGGAGCCCCATAGCTCAACTCCATAAGTCCAAATAGGTCTTATTATAGTCATGTATATGAATCATTTGTAATTAGAGCGGAAGTTTAGAGCGTTTGTCCAGTAAGTGTTGTAGTAAGCGGAAACGTTGAGCAGTTTCTTGTCGTTTCAGTCTTGTATGAGGATTCCAAGTGAGACGTTTGTCCAGCTGAAGTCCTAGGTATCGGATTTGTTCTACAGGGATAAGTGGGGTGTTATTAAAGGATACTATAGGGCGGCAAGTCATTGGTTTACGACGATGGGTAAAGGTGATTTGATGGGATTTATTGGAATTTATTTTAATCCTCCAGTTTTGACACCATTCTTCAAGGTTTGTGATGTGTGATTGAAGAGTTTGGGATGCACTTGATGGATCATTATTAACTGACAGGATACATGTGTCATCGGCATACGTAGTGATGACAGTGTTAGGAAGGGCTGAACACCGAACTTGACCACTAAACTTGAGAGTTCTTTAAGAATGCCATGGCCAATTATAATATCTGCCCACAAATCAGGCAGGACGCTGATCAAACCCGTGAATGTCGAGCGATTATTGTATTTCCAAAAAGGACTTCTCCCGGATATTTTATTCTCATATGAAAAATTATAGATCTTGAAATATAGACATTGTTTAACCAATGAAAACGGTGAGGAAGCTATACTGACCTTACTTGGGATACATTTTTTTTTGTCAATGGCAATGATGATTGTTTTAATGTATTAAATGTTATAACAACTATTGCAAGAAGGAAGATGGTTTAAAAAACCGGTGAAGTTCGATACGATAAACAGCGCACTTTTATTTTTTTTCATTTAACTTTTTAGTTTCACATTTGAATTAAAATGAAAGGTTAAAGCTCCATTAGGCATTATTTTTCATACGAATTAAAATGCTTCTTCAATTTACATCTTGGTGATTATTATAGTATCCAGCAGTTCCTATAAAAAAAAAAGTATATATACAGTTAATATAAATAGATGTTACAGGAAAATATAAACATTCTAAAATTTGGTGATTCTAATAATGTAATACAACTTATATAAAAAATAAGTGTGGAATTAAGATTACTTTTACAGTTTAACACTAAACATACCATAAACGGGTCAAATGACCCATTTTGAACTTTTCCATTGAAAATGCACGTATAATTTTATTGCGTTTGCACATTTGACTTCATGACTTTTTCTAAGTAATTAATGTACAGTTATAAAAATTGTTTTGTTTTGTTTTGTTTATTCTGATTAATCCTTGTTGTATACCGATATCTACCACAACAGGTCATTTGACCCGGAGAGAATTTTTTTGTTTTATGAGATTATCTAGCACTAGCGGATCCAGGATTTAATTTTGGGGGGGCTTCAGCCCGAAAGCTTTTTTTTCATAAAAATAACGATAATTGCTTTAGAAAAAAAGAAAGAAACTAACAACCTGTATGAAATGGCGTTTAAGTGATTCCTAAAGCCCTTTTAATATTAATCACACGAAAAATAATACTTTAAGAGATACTTTTTTATATTTTTTTTCGATAAAACGTGGTTATATTTTACCATTTTGGGGGGCTTCAGCCCGAAAGCCCCCTCCCCCCGTAGATCCGCCCGTGTTATCTAGTCATATTTGTAGTCAGTAAGTTGCACATTCTTCCAAAGACTGTTGCGTAAAGTAGTTCAACGAAAATAGCTCAGAATAATTTCAAGAAATTATCAAATTTTAGATTGAAAATAGCTTTTTAGTGTAAGAAAAAGTGGCAAAAATTGAAAGTCTTGGTAAGTACCTAGCTTATATTTTATTTTGATAGCTATAGTAATACAGATCATTTTTTAACCAGAAAAATGTCGAAGCAAACAAGACAGTACAAGTTCTTAGAAGATATAAATAATATTGGCGAAGAGTTTTCAGAAATTAGTGAAGATGAATTTTCTGAAAATGAAGATATATCAGTTGCAAATAAAAATGAGTTTGATTCTACAGATACTGACGATGAAGAGGAAAATATTGTGAATGTATGTAGTGGCCGAAAAAGAATAAGATTACTCACAAGTTCGGAAGAAAGTGAAGTAGAAATAAATGAAGAAAGTGTTGCGAATGATGGATCTGTTTGGCAACAAATGCAAGTAGGTGGCACACCTGGAAGAGCACCACTGCGATGAACTATGAATTAAAAGTTTTTATTTTTTGCTTTTGTAATAGAAATGCTCAACATACTATTTTGTTTAATCATAATAAATTTAATTTATATTTTTATTTCCTTCCTAACATCCATATTTCATACATTCAACCATGAAACATAAAGTCGAGTCATTTGACCCGCTATGGCAGAAATAGGTATATATTAAGTCTTGGTATGATTAGTGTTATCTATAAATATTTAAATATTTTTAATAACCACATTAAATGACTTTTGAACAAATGTAACTATTTTCAAACCCAGAAATGAACACAAGATTTGAAAGTGAAATGATTTTTTTTTGCAACTTCAGATGCATTAGATGATATGTATTGTTTGTTATTATTGCATAAAGTAACACTTACTATAGATTTTCATGATGTTGACTTTGATTTGAGTAGGATTGTTTCTAATATATATGATATATAAATAATATATATTATATCAATTATATATGTATATATAATATAGATACATATAATATAAAATAAAAATAAAAAATTACAATTTAAATTGAAATAAAAACGGAAAAAATTCTAATATATTCTAATACTCATAGAAATAAAATGGCCGACACATCACTATGTCTACACTGTTTGAACGGTAGCCATATAATTGTGGATGAGCAATAGCACAGGCAGACCTACGTGGGAGGGAAGAGGGGATTTTCGAACTGTTAAAAAAGAAACACCTCTTATGAAATAAATATTAAAACCTATCAGCAAAAGTATTATTACATTCAATAGAACTTCAAGAATCAATTAAGCACCATTTCATGTAGGTAATTAGTTAGTTTCTTTATTTTTCTATCAAAGTTTTAATCATTATTTATAAAAAAAAAAAAATATCTTTCGGGCTGAAGCCCCCTCCCCAAAATTCAATCCTGGATCCCCTAGTGAGCAATAATACCACATAAAGTTATTAAGGAAACTTAAAATTTGCCTCACCTGTAAAGCATGGTTGGTTTTTTCATAATGGTCCATTTTTTCTAAATGCAAGGTTTCCATGAGATCTTTATCTGCGACTGCTTTTCTCTCTTTTTCATAAACAGATTTCATAGCATTTTTCTTTTCTAGTTCAAGGGACGCCTTTTCTTCTTGTAGCTTATTTATGACTTCCTGTAATTCCCTACGCCCTTGTTCTGCCTAAAATTATAATAATAACTTACAGAAACTACGATTCGCTGTTTTAATTAAATTGTCTAAAAATACATATCATTATCACATGTTTCATAGACAATATCGTCGGTTTATTACAAAAAATCAGTGTCATTTCATTAACTTTAATGATTAGATTCGTTATTTTGAAAGAATGAAAAGTAAATTTTATTCGGGGATATTTAGTTTCCTTAAGAATGAGTATAATGAATAGAAAAATTTTAACTATGAATGCAATTACTATCTGCATTTTTTCAATAAATGAGGTCGAAATTAACAAAAAATTATACTAGCTTATTATTGGAAAAATACCAAACCATACAGCGTTATATCTCCAAAATGCAGATAAAGAAAAACCCGCAAAAGTTTCTTCAATTCAGCCGTTATCAGGACAGAAAATAACAGCTAGTTAAACAGCACTCAATGAAATACAATCTCATACTCAAAATTATATTTAGTTCTGCCATAAATACTGTTACAAAAGTCGAACTTTGTTTACATCTTTGGTCATAATTTAGATAATCTTTACCTCTATCAGATTATTTTCTTTACATGTCAGGATAATAATCTCAATTAGTTTGTATTTTTCTTTCGCTCAGTTAACATGGAGTGGAGTGATAAAGAAAACCAAATAGCTGTGATCGCCATACACAAAGTTGGAATATGTAGGTCAGAGATTTTCAACACTTTGAAACCTTTGGGTATTAGCCGTATGTTCTTGTACCGCACTACAAATAAATATAATGAGACCCTATCAGTATGTGACAGACCTCGACCGCACTGGGAGAATGGCAAATGTAATTAGTGCAGTGGTTGCTTGAATTTGAAGAAATCCCATTTGAAAACAGCAAATCATATCTCGGGAAATGGTAATGTCTCGCCTTATATATAGAATAGAATAGAAAAATAATTTTATTCTGGGACGAAGTCCCTTCAGAATAACAAAAAAATACAGAAATTAAAATTTTATATCTGGCCAGATAAAAACAAACATAAAAAGTTAAGATAAAGATAGATCATTAAGAAAAAAAAAATATTGGTTATACATACTATATACAAAATAAAATAAAAAAAATCTATATAAAAAACTCTTGAAACCATACTAAGATACTTAAAACTATGTATAATATATGTTAAATAGTTAATAATATAAATAAACCCTTTTAGAAAAAATAAAAAATACAGGAAAAATAAATGTAAATTCTTCTTAACAGTAAAATCTGTTTCTGTTGACAAAAAAAAAAAAAAAAAAAAAAAGAAAAGAAAGTCGAATCTATAATAAGTATTTAGGTTATGAGCTATATGTGAATATGTTATTATAAATAATATGTAATTTTACATAAAAGGTTAGCTGGTGTCTGACTGTTTTTGGAACAGGAATTGGAATAGGAGGGTTTTGAATGTAGATAAGGATGAAGAATGTCGAATTTTGATAGGAAGGGAATTCCAGAAACTAACAGAACGAGCAATAAAGGAGTTTTGAAACGAGGCAGATCTGTGAGAAGGAATGTAAAGGTCGGAAGGTCGAGATCTTGTGGAGAGGGAGTGGACTGAGGACTTGAATTGGAGAAGGTTGTAGAAGTAGGAAGGATGATTGTTGATGATATGATAGAGGAATGTACCTAGGAAATATTGTCTTCGAATGGAGGGGAAGAGCCACTCTAACTCAGTGTAGTCGTGAGAGACATGGTAGTATCTCGGGGCACCAATTACAAATCTCACGCAACTGTTCATTAATATTTTCAGTCTGTCGCGGAGCTCCACCGAGAGTCCATCATACACCACACAGCAGTAGTCAAAGTGGGGGGAGATGAGAGAGGAAACGAGGAGTCTACGCGTATGTTGAGGTAGGAGATGGCGGAAGCGATGGAATAGTTTGAGGGTAGAAACTGTCCGTCGGGAGATGTGAGAAATATGGTGACTCCAGGAGAGAGTTTGATCAATAAATAGTCCTAAATTTTTTACAGAGGAGCAGAAGGAGATTGGCTGATCACCAAGGTTTAGTATGGGAAAGTCGGTATAAGATCTAAGGAGGGGCTTGGAACCAATGACAATGGTCTGAGTTTTTGAAGCATTTAACCTTAATCCGTTTAAGTTTACCCAGGCACAGATTCGATCTAGGTCTGCTTGGATCTTAGTAAATGCTACCAATAGCTCAGGGAGAGAAAAGGATAGGTATATTTGAGAATCGTCTGCATAAAGGTGGTGGGAACAATGGAGAATTGAGTCATGGAGGTCATTAATATAGGAACTAAAAAGGAGAGGAGATATGCTAGATCCTTGGGCAACTCCAGAGGATAAAGGCAGGTAGGCTGATAGTGGTTGATTAGGAATGGAGACTGCTTGGGTGCGTTGTGAGAGAAAATATTGGAACCAAGAGCAGCTATTGGAGAAGGAGAGTGATTTTAGTTTGCTGAAAAGGATGGGATGGTTAATAGAATCGAAGGCTTTAGAGAAGTCAAGAAGTATAAGGACAGATAATTGTTTATTATCTATTGCAGTCTGAACATCATTGGTAATTTTGATTAAGGCGAATTGTGTGGAGTAGCTGGGACGGAAACCAGATTGGAGAGGATCAAGTTGGTTGGACTTTTCGAGGAAATTGGAAACTTGGGATTGCACCAATCTTTCTAGGAGTTTTGATTGGAAAGAATTGAGATTGGGCGAAAGTCTTCGGGAGAGGATGGATTAGGCTTTTTATTTAAAGGGAGTACAATGGCTTCTTTTCCAAGAGGAAGGGAATGTTGAGTTCTGTAGGGAGAAATTGTAAATGAAAAGGAGAACTGGGAGGATTTCGGGGAGACATAATTTTATCGATTTGACAAGAATGCCATCTGGTCCTATGGAATTGGTGTGGGATTTCATTACTGCGGTTAGTAAGTCAGTCGGGGAAATGTTGGAGAAATAAAAGTCATCATCATTAAATGATGACTCAAATATAATAAGTATATTATAATACTTATGATAATACGCACCTTAGAATGAGTGCATTTCGAAGAATGGCAAGACAAAGGCTAACCATTTCCTTAAAAAAAAATTAGAGTGGATAGATGCAAAGTACTCCTTGGCCGTTACGCCAATGGTTTTCATCAAAAAATTGAATCGCCAAAATGATCGTGTGTACTCACACAGCTCTAAACAAACCCAGAAAGTCATTGGGAGAGTGAAAAGAGGTCATCACCCTTCCTCAGTGATGGTTTGATGGGGAGTTTGCTTCGATAACACCACAAAGCTCCATTTTTGTGAAAAAGGAATTTAAACAGCCGCTAAAAACTATCAGGAAGATATTTTGGAAGCTGTTATCAAGCCTCTAATTGATACTCTATTTGCTGAAAGTCATTGTTTTTCCAGTATGTATTCCACTCCAGCTCAGGTCAACTCAGCAGTGGCTGCAAAAGAACATTCCAGAGTTCATCTCTTCCTCGGATCGACCCTCAGGAAGCACTGATTTCAACCTCTCAAACCACTATATTATCGGCTTCGGTCCGAACTGGAGAGGATGGCATGACACAGAGCTAATCATAACTTGGAAAACCTCTAACAATCTCTGGTCTGAGCCGTTGAGCTCTTTCCTTAAAAAGTGCTGCGTAATGCTATTGATGACTGGCCATGGAGATTATATGTCTGTGTCCAGGCAAAAGGGGGAAATTTTGAGTAATTTCTTTTTTGTTTTACTCTCTGTAGATGTACATTTTATTTTTTAATAAAATTTTTGAAAGAAATAATTTTTCTGTTGAAATCTGTATATATTTCCTTATAACAATATTTAGGACAGGACTAGGTATACTAGAGTACGCGATTGGATTTCGTGAAGTGATATTCAATTAGCTGTTGTTTTCTGTCCTGATGATGCCAAATTGGCGAAACGATGGCTGGTTATTCTTTGCCTTCATTTTGGAGACTTAAGGATGTGTGGTTTGGGAATTTTTTCCGTGGGTCCATCTAGGTACCAACCCAAAACGTCTCTGAAAATTTCATCAAATTCAATGGTAGTAGGAAAAACTAGTCAATATCTATTTGCTTTCCAATTTGATTGAGAAATTGATAAAAATATGTGGCCTACAAAAATATTGGGCCTATTGGCCTATATAACCTTGTTATTTTGACAATTTGAAAGTTTAGATCACGCCAAACGACTAATTTACCTCTAATGCCTTCTTTAACCCATATTGTACGCTGTTTTCAAACAAGGACTTGTAGCACATTATCGTCATCCTTAAATCATCCCTCACTCTAAGTAGAAGGAGGCCCAAAGGTTCATCTTGGATAATCATCTGTCGAGTCACTTCATCTAGAAAATAAATAATTAATAATACAAATACATATATCTATTTTTTGTTTATATTTTTCTTTCATTGAAAATTAGAATGAAAAACAAAATATTACATCGGTAATTTTCAAAATTTATATAACATTAAATTTCATATATTTCTATCAAAATTTTTCTTATTCTATTGGGTTGGCTTATAAGTCCTTTCGGTTTTTCAGGGTGAAATAAAACTTAATCTATTATAGACATAAAATTTATTTTAATCTACAATATATTGACCATTATTTAATATGACTTTTTCCCACAAGTGTATCATAGTAACATAAAAATAAACAGAAAAACCGAAAGGACTTATTTGCCAACCCAATACTTTACTTTGGAGATAAGTCTGAAGATAAAAGAAAAATAATTGGTTATCTGCACGATTTTTTTTAATATGAGCTATAAGAATAAAAATAATACTAGTACCATTTTTTTCTGAAACATATTTGAAATGATTATTGTTAAAGAAAGTGGGTGGAGATAAAAATGAGTTACAAGCGTGGAGATTCACAACGATTCAATCATTGTGGTGAATCGATTCTTATTAATGATTCTTCGATTGATTCTGTTCATCTTTATTTTGTCTTTAAATTAAAAAAAAAACTTTTTATTAGAAAAAAACATTCTGAAATCTCATGGTTAGTTCTGGAAAATTCTTTTTTTTATTTAACTTATTGAAATAAAAGGACTTGGTTCACAAGTATACAAATAAAAGACGGTGAATCTTACAAGTAGCAAGGAAGAATAAATTGTACAAAAAAAAATTGTTTAATTTTACATATTAGATTTTGGGCTGTGTATATAAGCATAGGTTAAAAATGTCCGAAGATGAAATTATCATGGAGTAGATTCCGAAAGTCAATAAATAAGGCAACGATTGGAAGATTTCCTAGAATAAACTCGGTGAGAATCAGTGAAGAACTGAGAGACCTGGGAGAGAGCGATCCAGCGAAGTTATCGAGAATCGACTCGGAACCACACTCCCTCTTCTTCGATTCTCAAGAATTGCAAATAGACCGATTCCGAGTGAATCGTGAGTCTTTCATGTTAATTTCTTGAGAGTATATTTTTTTCAGATTTCGCTTAATGGCAAAAATATGTCAAAAAGAACAAAAACTATAATATATAAAACGATTATGTGGTCTGTTGTGAATCGTGACATAGTCCATGGTTAAAGAAAGCAAAAGGATGCTCCACGTATGGGAAAGGAAAGTACTCCGGATAATTTATGGGCCCAATCAAAGTGGAGGCTCAATGGAGAATTAGGTCTAACCTAGAGGTAAAAGAGCTTAATGGTGAACATGACAGTGTTAGAGCCATTCAACTCAAAATATTGCGATGGTTGGGACATGTGGAAAGGATGGACCTTACAAGAATGCCGAGGAAATGGAAGAGAACTATGGAAAGCCGAAAGATGGAAGAAAACGTGGAAAGCCGCGACTCAGATGGTTGGACGAAGTGGAAGATAACCTGAAGGAGATGGTTGTGAAGCGGTGGAGGTGCTTCGCTGCTGAAAGGGATATGTGGAAGAAGACGTTAGCAGAGGTCATTTAGAGCCCAGAAATGAATGAATGAATGGTTCATTCAGAGGAATCGACTCTTTGATTCGAATATCGATTCACCTGCCCATCTCCATCAAGCTCATTAACTTTGATTATTTTTGAAGGAAGTTAGTCTACTGTTCTACATACCATGGGTGATAAATATTCAGAACGCAGTCTTTTTTTATATTTGCCAACGTTTCAACCCAAACATGTAAGTCATCTTCAGGACTGAAAATGTTTTTGAAAATTACAATCAGACATACTAGTATACAACCGCTAATTATAAATAATAAACTATAGTGATTGATGGTACATGAATCTTAACTAATATTGCAATACACATATTAAAATTAAATATGTAAATAGTTATACAAACTAAAACTAAAAAAATAATGTATATAATCCATTTATATAAATTTGTAATATTTTCTCTTATTAACCGTGGTTTGAGCACTGAGGTTGTTCAAGTACTGACACATTTGGTAGGTAAGTAAAAAGGTCAGGGGGGGGGTGGAGGATTTCCCAGTTGTCCTTTTTCAGATAGCAAAATGTAGGTAAACAAGGTTAGAGGGGAAGAGGGGAAGGTAACATTTATGTTTGTAGAATATACATAATTTGCTGACAAATATTTCAGACGTGTACAATATTTGAGTTATTTCATATGGTTACAGAAATGCGACTATTGACTAGTAATGAAATGAACATAAGCAAAAGGCCTCAATCAATATAAATCTAGCTTAGTTTGATAACAAGTATACAATGGTTAGATAAATAATTTTTATAATAAAGACAATTTCAATGTATTGAAATGATACGTAGGACAATATATTATATAATATTTTAAGAATAACTATATTTATCATAATATAAGTTTGTATTTAAGGATTAAATAGGCTATTGTTTTAAGAGGCGGAAAATATTTCAATATGTGTTGCAGATCTTTTCTTTGTCTACTTTAAAACATTTTCAGCCCTGAAGATGATCCACATGTTTGGGTTGAAACGTTGTGAAAAATAAAAAAATGTAAAAAAGACTGCGTCCTGAATATTTATAACCCATACCTTTGATTATCTTATTGTTTATGTATTTTTATTATTTATACGGTAAAACCAGATCATGGACAATAATAGAAATATCTTTTCATTTTTTCTCTAAACCTGCTGTTGCTGAATGAAATTAGTTTAAAATGAATTTTATTAGCGTTTATAAATGGATGTTTATCAGACCAAAAAGATTAGAGACGCCTGTCATAGAACGAAGATCATGGTGTATGAGAAAGTCATAAGATCCGTAGTCATTTCTAAGACGGATGTTTATCTAAAGCTTCCGGAAGGAAGTTAATCGCTTGGGAGAGAAGGATTTTCCTCAGGTTATAAGGTCCGTTGTTTGTAATTGTAAATGGTAACCAAACCAGATGAATGGGTCATGTGGTGCGTATGTCCAGAGATTCAATTTCCGAACGTTTGCTGGAGGATCGATCAGGAGTAATACGTTGCAAAGGATGACCTCGGCAGGACAAGAAGGATATCCTGAAAAAGATTTGAGTTCGAAGATAGAAACTGCTCGCCCAGGATAGAGGAGAGTGAAGGAAGATTATAAGAGAGGCCAGGTTCTTTCAGAACCATAGCGCCAAGAATAAATAAATGTTATGGTATTTGGTCAAACCTTATTATGAACTGAGTACCATTAAATTTATTTTGAAAATGGCGCATGTATATTTTATAATTACTTATCTTTTACCCATCAGTTCAGTATGGAGACGCCTGCGCGCATCACAGAGACCATTATCCCTGGCATCCTTTTCAGCCATCATGTTATCCAGCCTCTGGGACAACTTGATGACGTCCATACGTTTAGCTCCAACAGGCGAAATCTATTAAACATTTTGGAATAACATCTTGAAACATGGCATGATATTTGAGTCGATTCTTAAAAAAATATATCCATCGTGAAATTATTAGTCACTCTGAAATAAAATTAAAAGGAGAGATGAGTTTTGTTATTCACGAATAAGCAAACTGTTCTAAACAGAAGCTCAAGAATCATTCCATGGATTCTTCACGAATTAAATTTCAACCCTCCAAGGCAAGGGTGCCCTTCTCCCCCTCTTCCTCTAAAACCGATGGCGCATAAACCTCCCCCCACCCCTTCCAAGTTATTTCGTTCCTCTCTTCTTCTTAAAAACAGTGAAAACGAGATTTGAATTTGATTATTCGTAGATTATATACCATTACACATCCTGTGGTCTGTTCCATGATTCCACTTGTTTTTTTATTTGAAACTTTTCATTTTGAAAATTCATAAACCCGTCGAAATGTGCCCCCCTCAAAAATGGAAAACCTCGTGAAAAACTGCCCCCTCATTAATTTTTATGCCGCAACTTGTGCCCTTTTGGACAACCCTGCTCCAAGGATGAATTTGAAGCTTCGCACTGTGGACGAGTAAGGAAAAACCGAAAACGAAATTATTATGACTTTAAGATATGTTACAAACTTATTTTTGATTTCGGTGTATATAGGAGCAATGACAGATCTATCAACTCAAGGAAAACTATCGCCTTTTTCGGGCCCATTCTGCTGATCTGATGGTTGATGTGGCAAATATCTACAACTTGGAAGCTGTACAATGGATTTTTTTTCTTAATTTAATAGATCTGGTTGACTAGATTCACCAGTGTTACCTCTAATCATATAAAAGTTACCAAATTCTATTAAATTCGATTCGTTTTGCCTTTTCTTAGGTGAGCTTTTAGGTACACATTAAGAAGAAGATGTGCGTTTATTATCCAATATTGAATATAAAAAAATAGTCACTGATTTTTAGCGCATTTTACAAAAAGGCTCAATATATTAACCCCAATCCTCACACATATTATTATGATAAGGCTCGAAATCGGTTTTGTACCGAATATTAGTTCCTGTCATGTTCAAATACCATGAATGGAGTACCGTTGGATTCGGAATTTCACGGGGGGTTAGCGAATCGCTTTTGATTTTCTTTCTAAAGTAAATAAAGTCGATATAAACATCTTGCTAGGCTTCGATACTGGAATGGTGGTAAGTCTATAGATCTATACGGGACAGGTTGGGCTTTGAAAATTTTAATGCGTACACCAAGACCTGGATAGTCCCTCGGAATCATCGAGCCCTTCGCTTTTATGCTCAAAAACATACTATTTTCGAGATAATGCAAGACAAAGAGTTCGCATTCACACAACCTAGCGTTAATTGTGGTGCTGCCTTGGAGTACATATAACAATTCGTCGACTTGAGGCCCCTATGATCGAGAGAGGAGGAGTTTACATTGTATTTCAAAAGTGTTTATTTTCGTCAATCAAATCATTTCATCAAATAACCAATTTTGAAGGTTTCCTTCTCCATCAGGCGAGAAAAATAGTCTAATTACACCGAAAAATCAGCCAAACAATTTATGAAAGAAAAAAAACTTTCTTTGAGAATTATTCAAAAATTGCTCACTTTTCCCTGGGTTGTCACACGTACAGAATACATCCTAGTCGATAGCTAAACTGCAATGAGCACTGTTTTTTTTTTTTTTTCTATCTCCCCAGAAACTTTATTAATAAAACAAATTCAATATACAATTATGCTAATAAATAACAGTATACACAGTAACAATGTACCTTACATTACCCGGAGGTATTTTAAGAATGGGATTACGACTGCTGTGTGCATTATGAGTATATTATATGGCTACAATAGTTGTATTATGGCTATAAACTATAATACAACTATTGTTAATCAACATTGTTGTAAATTGTTATTCACTATTGTTAATAACAATTATTACAATTGTTATTACAATTGTTAATAACTAATATTGTTAATCAACTATTGTTATAAACATGAACAAACTATTGTTCACAGTTTGAGATTTCTTGAGATTTTTCGGGATTTCAATTTAACTTTAAGGGGGTTAGTCTATTTCTGCTCGTTGGTCGCTCATTGAGGTTATTGTGGAGCCGAGGTATTTGAATTTTTCTACTCTCGGGAATGATTTTCCTTCTATGCAGATCCTGCTATTGGGGAGGAATTTTCGGCTCATTATTATAGATTTTTCTTGTCTACATTTACTTGTAGGCCGATTTGCTTTTATCAGTGTTGTAGTGAGTTTCTCAATGTCTCCTTGATTAATTCCACGAACTATATCATCTACGTATTCAAGGATTTTATGATTCATTCCGATGTGGACCCTTCCATTTTTCTGTGATGTTCCTCTTATTACCTTCTCTAGGGCTAAGTTCAATAACATCGCAGAAACATCGGTATGTTCAGTTTATATTCTACACTATATTCATTATCGATATTTTAGAACGACTAACAATTAATATCATAAAAGATTTATTAATTACTTCATGTCTTATTTAAATTGTAAACAATATAATTATGGATTATATAAACACAGATTGTTAGGCAGAGATTTAAATTAAAATTATTTAATGAACTTGCCGCCATTTTATCAAAGACCATGAAGGGGACCATGACATCCAGTAACAGGTAATATTCCTTTGGCGATTGTTTTCGGTATAATTCAGGGGAGCAGTTCCAAAAAACATAGATTCAGGTAATAAACATAGCCTGTAACTTTTATTACCTGGAGATGACTTAAGATAAACTAGATGCAGTTACGATAATCCCCTGTTTACGTTCCAGCTCCAGAGAGGTAACAATTACCTGTCTGGAGCTGGAACGGAAAACAACCGTCAAAGGATTGTTACCTGTCATTTGCGATAGATACCCTTTGACAACATACCGACTATTAAATAAGCTATACAATATAATATTTGAATTGTAATTTCTGTCTTACAATTTATATGTAAATGTGTGATCAAAATTGAAAAGGTTTTTGTATTTTTTAAATATATTATACATGTATTAATAGATTTTAATATTTCACTTGATAAATTTTTGATAGTTAGAAAACCAAAATAAGAACTGCACAATATAAAACAAAAAATACATTTGATAGATAAAAAAGAAAGAGTATAACTTAACAATTCCAACTGCAGTATATATAAACATATTTAATAACCACCATCTTCTCGATCGTTACAAGTCCAAACTAAATAAGATTATAAATAAATAATACTACACAGAATCAATAAGATGACCTCCATACTTCAGTTTAAAAATCAACAATAGGAGAGTTCCTGTAATCTCCTGCCCTCCTAAAATAAAATAAAATAAAATATGAAGAAATTCTCTGAAACTTTTTCAAATAGTAGAGAGATTTAAAAATTTAGTTAAAAAATCTGTAAAAAAAAAAAAAAGCTTCTTTTACGTTACTTCTTCAACCAAACGTACTTTACCATGCGATTCAGAATGACAAAGTGAATGAAATATGAATTTCATTCAACTTTTTTTTTGGAGGGGAAGGGTATATGGGACCCTATGTCCAGAGAATTGAGTGTTTCGTCCCACTATGCGGCGCCGCTAGACTCGAGGTTGCTAAGTTAATGACGCCTTAAGAGTCTCGGCCCTGACGGTACGGGGTCAATTTTTTAAGGAATGTTTTACTAAATTGTTAAGACCAGATACCTTTTGATACCACTGGATGCCATTCTCTTCCCATTTACGAGGCGGGAAAACTCCATTAAGCAGTTTCTCTAATGGCGATTCTACTTCCTCTTCTTCATCATCCTGCAACAATATTTTTTTAGAAATTCAATGGCGAAAGTCAACTACATTTTTGAAAAATTTTAATAAGAAATATAATAATTCTTGCATTAACGATAAGAATAATTGTTAATATACTTCTTCATTCTTTATAAGGCATCTATTGACGAAGTTCAGTAAAAAAAAAAGAAAGAAGAGAGAATTGGTTCTTATGATTTTAACTGATTGAAAATAAAGCTGTGATAAACGAAACTTAATAATGGTCCCTGGTGCAGACCCCTTTTTATCAAATTATTAACATCCACCCAAAACGTTGTGAATAGCTTCATCTCATCGTAACCTACATTTCTTTATTTACTAAAATTCTCTTAATTGGGACGTTTTCAATCTGAAGATCGGCAAACTTTGTCTATTAAGTACCAAAAACTAATCAACACAAATTTGCTTTCCAATTGAATCTTAAGATAATTTGATCACGATAACGAGAAAAAAAGGTGACCTACAAAATATGACATGTCAAAACAACGAGGCTATATAGGCCAAATGGCGCAATATTTTTTTTTACTTTCCTACCTATACTAGGTAAGGAAAGTATTGCGATCGGGCCAAATTTCCGATAAGCGGTTTTCGATGGATCTATACGTTTCAGAAACCCCTGAGTCCGAAAAACACATTTTTAGCCATTAGTCTGTCTGTCTGTGCCAAGATTTTCTCGGGAACTAGTAAACCGATATTGTTGTTTCTTTTTTTTATTTTGTAGTGTCTTAACTACTGATGCCTGTGACACAAATTGGGTGCTCCATGCGCAATAAATGAAAAACATGTTTTTCTATAGACTGTAGCGCGAAAACGGCTCTAACGATTTTTATGAAACTTTCATATAATGTTATAATAATTGTCCTTTCAATTTTCGTATATGGACTAAATTCCGAGAAAATTCAGGAAAAAAAGTTATAAAGTAAAGAAAATTGTTTTGGGACCTAACTCACTATAATATGTATTATATGGTAAAATTTATAATAAAACTTATGAAATATAATGAAATTAACAACAAAACAAAAAAAATATCATCGGAATCGAACGGTACAAAGTTATCAAGTTCCTAGATAATGAAAGACTTAAACAAAATATATGACAAGTTTATAAATTATGACCCTTTGCAGACTTATTATTTTTTATTTTTATTAATTTTTTTTGTATTTATTTATTTTCTTTATCTATTAACTTTATTTCATTTTATTTTTTTATTTTATAAGTTCATTTGGTTATTAATTTCAACTCATTTATTGATTTTATTTCTATTTTTTTTAAGTTTATTTATTCATCTATTCTATCTTATTATTTAATTATTTCATTCTATCAATCCTTTTATTTAATTATATTATTTGCTTATTTATTTATTTGGTTATTAGTTATAGTTAGTTATTTATTTAATTATGTTATTTTTATTTATTTATTTCATTCTAGCATTCCTTTTATTTAATTATTTTTATAGTTTTTTTTTATTCTTATTTCTTGGACCAACCATCCAAATAGTATAAAAGTAGTGTTATTTAGTTGATCGGGCGCTGATGACCTGGATGTTTTGCGCCTAGACATCGAAACAAACACATGTTTTATTTTATTACTTTCCTACCTATGCTAGGTAAGGAAAGTATTGCGATCAGGTCAAATTTTCGATATGCGGTTTTCGACGAATCTATACGTTTCAGAGCCCCCTTCACACAAGCCTCACTATTCCGAAACACCGTTTACCCTGTGTTTTGTTTTGAAGGTAATGAAATTTCCTACAAAACTATATAAAAATCGTTCATTTAGGACAACTATTAACGAAGTTACAGCTATTGAATTTCCAATGTAACATTACGGGTTCATATCCTGGTGTCAGAAAGGGGTGAATGAGAGAAAAAAAAGAGCGTAAGTAAGAAAATCTGTTGCCCGTATCACACAAGCTTCACTATTTCCTCTACTTTTAACAGAAATTATTGTTTGACAAAATTAGACTATGGCAGAAAGTTTTTGATCAGCAACATTAGAGAGTATTGAAATGTTTACACTGATCTACCTTAAGCCGGTTTACATTGCTTTAGTTTATCAAATAAATCGTACTCAAATCTTTTCTTTGATCAATTTTCAGGAAAATAAATTTATTTCAGTTATTTTTTGTTTCTTGATGGACATAAGTAAAGATATAAAAACTGTAGGAAAGTACTGTGAGTGGACACACCGGATTTTTTTTCGATTTTGTGATAAATTATCTTACGATTTAAGTGGAAATAAAATGAGTATTTATGAGTTTTAATACCCATTAAATTAATTAACTTGATGAGAAAACGTAATCTGAGAATTTTCGTAGATAAAATTAATAAGTTACGATAAAATGAAGCCATTTTTATCATTTTATCAAACAAGTTTTAGGAAGATGTTAATTATCTAATAAAAAGGTGTCTGTATTTTTGTAAAGGTGTATAATTTTTTTTCTGCTCCTAGGGTGCATTGGCACGATCCCCACAGATATGGGTATCATAATGTTCGATCTACTTTCACCAAAAAAACTTCACCCATTTGAGATAAACTTAGTCAAATCAATATTTCAATTTCAAAACACTCAGAAGATTTCACGGAATAATTTAAGACAACAAACATAAAAATTGATCCACCCGTTCGCTCATAAAATGGTTACATAGCTTTTAGCAAATTGATTAAACACATTTTATTGAATCACAGGTCAGTATTTTTAGCCTAAATTGTTTTAAAATACTCAAAATTTCTCACGGAATAATTTAAAATAAAAAACTATGGAATGGATCTAACCTTCCGCTCAAATCAGCTCTACGAAAATTTTTGCAAATTGGTTAAACACATTTTATTTTATAACGTGTCAGTGTTTTTGGCAATAATTGTTTCAAAACGCTCATGGGGTCTCACCGAATAATTTGAACCATCAAAATTAAAAATCGATTAAGGCGTTCGCTCAAGAAAGCGTTACATAGGTTTTAACCGTCGACCTAAACACACAACCATCGTTTAGCTTCGCTCGATTAATTATTAAAAATTCCGTGGTACAGACCCATTTTTATCGAATTATTAACATCCGCATTAGATACTAAAAACTAGTAAATACTCGTTTCCTTTTTACTTTGATCGCAACATAATTTGATCACCAAATAAATAAAAAAGGTGGCCCACAAAAATATTGGGCCGTTTGTCCTGTATAACCTCGTTATTTTGACATTTTGGGGGTGTAGGTCATGCCGAACGGCTTAGTATTTTTAAAGGCCACCTTTTTTCTCGATTTTGTGATCAAATTATCTTACGATCCAAGTAGAAAGCAAATGAGTATTTACGAGTTTTTAGTACCTAATTAAATAGATAAAGTTTGTTGATCTCCAGATTGAAAACTCACCAATTTCAAGAGATTTCGTAAATAAAATAGTTGTAGGTCACGACGAGATGAAACTATTTACCGAAGTTTCAGGCGGATGTTAATAATTCGATAAAAAGCGGTCTGTACCATGGACTATTGAGTTAACCAATTTTCAGTGGAAATTTATGACGTCATCACTCGCCAGCTGTTTATTAAAATTTTATTCATTGAGCTTATTATTGAAGTAATTCTACGCATTTAAAACCTAAGACGTGTGTTGCAGATTCATTTTCTGTCCAAAAGTTTGAAATTGATTGCATTAAAACAAAATACAGTACCAAAATTAACATTCCAACGAATCAATTACTGGCTTTGTATATTGTGTTTACGAATATTATTCGAAAAATTTATATATAATTCATGAAGAGAAGAATAGTTGGGGTGCTCAGTCAAAAAATAAATTATAATATTTATTTTTTACATATGCCGACGTTTCGACCTGAAGTTCAGGCCTTCATCAGGGCTAAGAAAATAACCAGATAACAAGGTATGAGAAACAAAAGTTTCTCATACCTTTTGTTTCTCATACCTTGTCATCTGGTTATTTTCTTAGCCCTGATGAAGGCCTGAACTTCAGGTCGAAACGTCGGCATACGTAAAAAATAAATATTATAATTTATTTTTTACCTTCCTTTTTTGATTGAGCACCCCAACTATTCTTCTCTTCATTATCCACGACAGTCAACCAATTACCAATTATGTATATATAATTCAGGATTATGTTGAATAAGTAATGACATACCATTTCAGTTTGGCTTTTCTTTTTGTTCCATTTTCGAGGAATTTTCCACTTGAGAAGAGAGTTATCATCATTGAAAAAATTCGTTGGGCAATGAGGAATCAAATCCACTGGTGGATCCATGATAAAACTTAATTTACTGATTCATAGAATAACACATGATATCTCTACTGTGATCACGGTTATATTTTCGATAACTATTTAAGAATCTTCATGAGTTTTATTTTTTTAAATTTTATAAATGAAACATTCAAGTATTTTTACTTTCTCACATAAGGTGAAAAATTTCAGCTCCGAGTTTTCAACTGAAATATACGTATTTTGGATCCTTGACTTCAAAATAACACGTTTCTCAAAATGGTTTGTGTGCGAACAGGGTAATCCAAAAACAAAAAATCGAAACTGAAATCACGTATTTAAGGTAGGTACTTATTTATTAATACCTGCGATGACATCTAACCAACTTCTTCACCAAAATCGACTTGCTGGAAGTGGCATTTTATATCATAACAAAGTTGTGACGTACAAAAGGCACTTTTCTGGCGCCGATTTAATTCATATTAAAAAAATCCGATTCACTAATTGTATTGGATGTGAGCAAAATTTTAAACCCCCCAAAAAAGTTTGAAAATCCTGAAATTCAACCAAGTTTTATTTTGTTGCATAGAATACAACCCTATATACCGAATTTTAGTTCATTTGATCTTAAAAAAGAACTAAGTGGAAACTTCACAATTTAATTTTTTTTAAATAATTTTTTAACTCTTGTGTTCATTTCTCATTAATTTTTCCATTTGTATTAACAAATTGATACTTTCCCTAAACTTTTGTAAGTAGTTGACTTATATTTTTCTAACTTTGGTCTGTCACTAGGAAGTAATTATTATATTTCCATTTTTTTCTTGATGTCCAATACTATAAAGAACAATGTCCAAATAAGCTTATCTATGCTGTTTCTTTGTTTACAACTGAGCTAAAATGGTGTCAGCAATGATGAGTAATGATTGAACATGAGTCTTCATGATCAAAATGATCTGGAGCAATCTTTTTCATTCTTGTGACTTTCATTCACGAATGATCCTGTAAGAGTCACCTAAGATTGCTACTAGAGGTGATGAAATCTATCTGGGGTAGGGAGGGGAGAATTAAACAATATCCATATATTTCACTAAGACTCCCAACTCCCTTTGATGACCTACATACAGTATATTTTTTTTCAGAGAAAATAGGACTAACAACTAATGATACCTTTGTCAGTGGAAGTAGGATTGTTGAAAAGACATTTATATTTAGTCTTGTCAAAAATACCATATTTTTTGTTTAGATCACCCAACAGACCACTTTTTATCATACACTATGAAACACAGGCCTTATCCTTCTCGAATGACGTATTATACCAATGCATTCCATGTTTAAAATATTTCCATGATAAAACTTTCAGGAATTTGTAATCAATGTTCCATGAAGCATTTGACGGCTAGAATTTCCAAAGGAACAAATAATGGCCTCTATTATTATGTATGTCCATATTTTATTTTCAGATGAATCTAAGCAGGTTGTGGGATCTAGGATGATGTCCAAAGAAAAAATCTGCCAACCACTTCATACAACTTTCACTTACCGTTCTACTTTCAACTGAAATTCTTGGCAAAATTGGGTTATGACAAAAAGTTTTTGAAGTACATTGTTAATGGAGCTAAACTGAACTAAACTAAAGAACATATTTGTGATTTTTGGTCATATTTATCAATGAAAAAACTCATTATGGTCCCATCACGATAACATAAACCTTATTTATTATATCGATTGTAGACAAAAAAAATATCATAAATCTATCAGTTTATTTGAATAACATAACTCTAGCCACTGCTGTCACACAGACACAGATACAAATACACACAGACCATTTTGCGAGACTTTTAGATTTGGAAGCAGCGGACTTCAAAAAGTGTATTTCCATTAAAAACTCGAATTTGAAAATTCTCAGGATCGCAATACTTCCCCTTCCAATATATTTCATATATAGGTAGGCTAAAGTAAAAAGCGTAGGTTGTTTATGACAACTGTAATGCAGAATATCATATAAGTACAGTTCAAAATATCTTGCGGGCCACACCATTGGACCATTTATTAGGCTGAGTAATAATAAAACAAAGACTTTACTCTTATATAAAATTGTAATAAACTTTTTCAAATACATAACATTTAAAAATATATTTATACATATTTACAATAATCTTAAAAAACATTTATTATAAAATATTCAAAAAATAACAATTATTTGGCAGTCTTCAGAGATTGATACAACTTGGTACATCTGACTTGGGAACAAAATTCTGTTAAATGATTAACTACATTTATATCCCTTTCATCTTTCTTCATATCGAAAATTGCAACGAGTGTGATTCGCTGATCAATGCTGCTTATAAAATAACTGCATTTATCCTAAAAAAAAAGAGTAAATAATTGAAATAATTAACTAAACCTATCCTTCAACTTAGCCCAATAGTCACTTAGTGTTCAAATATTAAATTTGCTAATACTTCAAGGATGATATGTTTTCCATTCTCCTCTTCAGCATCTAATGTATGCCAGTATTGTTTGAACAGTCAAATTTTACAATCCTAATGAAGTCATGTCAACGATAATCATAAATTTTTACTCAATCAACAATACTGCCGTACATTAAATGGTGTATGGAAGCAAGATTGAAGAGATTGCAGCATAAGATTCATCTTTGGGATTCCCAGGCATACCCATGTTTCTTCCCTATACACCGAGTTGAAGTAGCTTTATGCTACTTCCAGATGGCAATTTCTTCTTGATGTTTTTCTATTCCAAGTCCTCAGAACCAAAAATCTTCCCTTGAAGAAGGGTAGAGCTATCGAAGAAGAAATTCTTCTTCGATAGCTCTACAGCCCTGGGTGGGCCTTGGCGTCCTGAAGATATCATATCATTTCTGAGATACATCCAAAAATATAAAATTTGAATACTATTCTGTTTTATTTGTGACCTGTGGGCAAGGTTGTCGACATTTGACATGATGGAAGGTCAAGTATATGAACTAAATATAAAATAATAACATATCAACTCTTTTTTATCTTGGTGAATAAATATCTTTTTAACCTAAACTTTGCTTTTTAGGTAATAATAAATAATTGATAAAAGCAAGATATATTAAATAATTTAATTATTTACTATTTCTGTAATTTATACACAATGTTTAATATTCCTAAAATTACGGTTATTAAGACAAACAAAAATTTAGCCACCCAAAAATAAATACTGCTATAGGGTGATAACAGATTCCTTTATTGCTTTCCTGTAGTCTTTGGTTATTAGATTTTTAAGAAGTAGTCATTATCGTGAAGAAGACATTTCGGAAAAAGAAGGATCATAGTATGATATTCGAATCATCAGATTAAAACCTTACTTAGGCATCCTCCAAAGTAAAGGAAGGGGAGGGAACAAGGAGGGCGAGAGTGAAGGAAACATTTACCCAAAAGTTTTATTAACTTTTGGTTATTAATGGCACTATATTAACACCTATAGGTTGTTGTTTTTTTTAACTTCTGGGTAGGAGGAAACACTTTCATAAGACAAAGTGAGATTCCTATTCACTAAAAAACCACCTCCGAAAACAGATTCCTCTTCTTTACCACCCCCACGGAACTGCTGTCAAGCATTACTTTGCAGAGAGCAGAAGGGCTTTTTGCCTACTTCTTCTTTGGACATCTTATTAAAGATTTATCATCTAATTTGAAGTGGAGTAAGTAGGCCCCGAAGCAACCATGCCCTATAATAATCTACCTCCCCATGTTTCCGGCATATCCATGTTAATAAATCAGGAATCAGACGGTGGGTCTATCTTCCAGAAGATGAGGAGTTCCTTCGTATCTGCCATCTTTCAAGAGTTCTCCCTTCTTGTGCTGAAGTAGGGAGCAGGGTAGCTGAGTGGGTGAGCAGTTCCAGAGTTCAAGGTCCTAGGTTTGAATCCAGCTGATGACTAGTAATTTTTAATCAGCCATGGGTCTATACTGGGGCTGGGAGACCCTCCTGGGGCAAACCCAGCCTCTATAAATTGCATATTCTTAATTAAATAATTAATTAAGAGGGAAAACCTGGCAATTGAGCGTGATATTGGCCGGTCACCTCTCTGCACAGCCGTTGGCCTTGTAACAGTACTTCCTCACATTGTACTGAACCCAAGTCCCTTTATCAGTTGTTAGTGGTACAGGTTTTTTTTTTTTGCTAAAGTAACCTGTGAGCATTCGGCTCTTCTCATTTTTATATTATTATTTTACGTACAGGTGTATTTAAAGGTACTACTGTACAAGTGTCACTCCACTTTGATGTATAGCAAAAGATATGATCACACTATAAATGAAATCACGAGAATGATCGAGTGTCTCTGAAAATAAATGGAAGTGACGAAATCGTCTGGTAATGCCCCAATATCACTGAAAAGGATCCATTGGGGGTTTGTTTTTCCCTTTAGAGCGAGCACAGTAGAAAGTGGCAATGTAATTAAAGCTAACTAATGTCCCAATTTCAGAAAAACTATTCGGCAGATTCAGTGCTGAGAGACCTAGGCTGCGGTGGACCGCAGTGGTTGGGTGGTAGGCTGCAGGTGACTTAAGGTTCATTGAAGTAGGAAATTGGATGGTAACAGCACAGAATAGGTATACATGGCGATTACTGTTGGAGGAAGCCAAGACCAGCTTGCGGATTGTTGAGCTAGATTAATAATAAATAATAATGTCCCAATTTCAATTGAAAAGGACCACTTAGGAGTTTGCCGAAGTTGTAAATCAAGATCTTAATAGAGTGAGGTTATATTGTGAACATATTAATATTCAGCTAATCTCGGAATCCCATTTATAGAATGATCATGTGATCTTGGTCCACTCGTGTGTACAGTGTGTGTTATTATGCTGAACGAAGCAATATTTGTCCAATTTACAGTTAAGCTTCAGTGACAGATTTAAGAAAAAAAAGCCTAAAAGTATAATTATAATGTTCCATATTTAATACTCAATGGTTGGCCATAAATTATTGAGAAAGGAGATGTGATCCGGTGTGATTGTCATAAAATGACTTAATGTAGTGAATGAATAAAATATTTTTTTCACTATTTTAAGCCCTTTTATGACTGCCACTGCGTACTATCTCCTTCCTCATTTATTATTTCCAAAAATGATCTATGTTTTAAAAAAAGTACAAAATTACTAATATAATCTTCCATAAAATATTTATAAAGGAAATAATACAACGAACTAGCAAATATTTTTTAACATGTTAATTATACAATATTAATATGGCTCCTAATATTACCTCAGCGTTATAAACGCTAACTACTTTATCAGGAAGCGTATATTCTGGACTTCTCTCAGACAAAGCTTTACTAATACCAACCATCCTATCTCCGTATTTCTGAAAGATCAATGAATTTTAATAATAGTTAAATATTACTAGATATAATACAAACATGTTAAAACAAAATCAGATATAATATAAAATTTTAAAAAAATAATTAAAAGAATGTTCTCAAAATGGGGATGATATCCCGAAACTTTAACTTTCATAAATGGGACCATTTTTAACCAATTGTTCATATTATATATTGTTATTATTATAAGGTTCAAAGGAAAAATCTACACTATATTTAAAACAGCAGTATAGATCTAATTTCCAGCACTCAGCAGCAACAGATTTTGATGAATGAACTATCAAACATAGGTAATTTCATTGAGAAGAGACAAATCATAATTTAAAAACTTGATACAATTACAATAAAATTCATCGAAAAATTAGGTTCCAAAACCTGAAGGATCGACGAGACAGAATAAATTGTCTTTTAAATAATTTGATGCGGACATCACGACCACCCAGTATAATTCATTAGAACTATTTAATCATATAATTTTAAAGAACTATACTGAGCCATGTGTTTTAAAGGCCTTAAATATACCATTTTTGAGATAAAGCAGGGACCACGGACCCAATTTTATAGTACCGTAAATTTGACACCTCGGTTGCCAAGAATTTTTAATAATAATTAAAATATCTATTATATATCATGCCACACATTTTTTTTTACGGACGCGCCATATCTTAATTAATTTTTTGAAGATTATCTTCTCTTTCATGTGCGAAAAATAGTTTCATCTCTCCAAAATTAAAATTTCAAGGAAACAATTTAAGAAGAAAATGAAACGTTATTTGCGCATAACTTAAAAAAATTATATAATTTATGGTGGATTACATCCATGATTATTAAAAGGCTGCTAAATTTCCAATAAAGAAAAAATATATATATTCATCGAAATCAAGCCATTATTAGCAAAGATACAGCCTATAATACTTTGTATACATATTTTGGTCTACTATTATGAAGGAACTATTCTAATTAGATATAGAACAAGAATATTAATTCCTCCATTTATTAATACATAGCATTAACTTATTTCTATATTATAATTGTTCGCACAGGGGAACAAGTTAAAATTAATCTCAAAGCCAAAAGATATAAAAAAGTATCCATCGATTAGAAATTAATAAAAAGATTGTTAAGCAGACACATATTATTCTTACGAAAGGTGGATGTGCAATCATGACAAGGTATTGTGATGTCAAGAGCTCTTTGGGCCTGTCAGGATGCTGAAAGCCTGGTCCGGTCCAATTTACTAAACCAGATGGATCAAACAGCAAAAGCACAGATGATGCCATACTTTTCTTTTGAAGATACTGCAATCTGGAAAAATACATATATTTTTAATATCAATGGGATAATGCATCTGTAATGGACATTGTGAAAACGAATGCACTGAACAAATCATTGATACAGTTATTTTCATGCAGTAAAAAAAAATTTATTTTTCCAGGAAGGAATGAGAATAATATTGCAAATTAAACTTTATACATTTTAACTTATTTATATATAAAAATTAAATCGATTTTTGAACCGGATTTTCTTAGCAAGAAAAGACTATAAGAACATTTAAACTTTAAGACGGAAGTGTTGAAAGGCAAACCGTTAACCTTGAAGAGTTTTTTTTTGAAAAGGAATACTACTTTTGAAAACAAAAGGTTAGATATCTGTAAGAATAATATATAGACTGTTAAACAAAGACGTCGACTAACTTCAAGTAAAAGAGATCAATCATCAACTTACAAGTCACCTTAAGACTTGTAGGATGACCAAAACGCAAAAACCAAAAACTTTAACTACTAAAAAGCGAACTCCAGCATTTGTAAAACTTTCGAAGTCAGATAAACCAGAACCTCCTAAGAAGGAAATCCGCGAGAAACCAACATTGCAACCTATCCCTATTCAAGTCACCGCATCTAATGAAACCGCGTCTCGAACCACGACTAACTCACCAAGAAATCAAGAAAAACCTTGCATAATTTCAAAGCCTCCTCCTATTCATGTGAAATCTGTCCAAAATTTTAAAACTTTATGTCAAAGCTTGGCATCTGAAGTAGGTCCTCGAGGATTTTACTGTAGTTGCAGCATTAATCAGACAACTATTTACCCGTCCACTTCAGATGACTATCGCAAAATTATAAAACTATTGCAAACACAAAACGCCCTATTTCATACATACCAACTCCAGGAAGAAAAATGTTTTCGCATTGTTATTAGAAATCTCCACCCTACAACTCCAACTGAAGACATTACAGTTGAACTTAATGAGCAGGGATATAAAGTTAAAAATATAACCAACGCACAACATCCAAAAACGAAATTTCCTTTGCCGATATTCTTTATTGACCTGGAACAACACCCGAAAAATCAAGAGATATTCAAACTTGAATATTTGTGTTATACAAAAATAAAAATAGAAGAGCCATACGTGCGAAAAGAACCACCACAATGCCAAAGATGCCAGGCCTATGGCCATACAAAAGGCTACTGTAGCCTTCCTGCCAAATGTGTCAAGTGCGCAGGACCACATCTCACAGCATTCTGCACAAAACCAAGAGAAACTCCTGCCACTTGTGCCAACTGCAATGGTGAACACCCGGCAAACTTCAAAGGATGCACTGTCTTTAAAACTTTAAAACAACTTCGAAACAAGCAATTAACCAATTATATATCCCCAGAAACCAGAGCAGATGAACAACCCTCCTCTACTCGAACCGAAAATCGTTCTGAATCCACTAATGCCAATTCATTACAACGCCAAACGAATGATGAAATTACTCCATTAGAACAAGAAATGATGAGGGATATTCCTCCATCGGAGCCATTTCGTGAACCAGCTGCCAAAGTAACAGGGAGTTATTCTTCCGTACTATCTTCTAATCCTCCTTCCTCGTCACTTGATATCTCATTGGCTATAAAATCTTCAATAGAACCTTTTTTATCTGACCTAAAATCCCTTCTTTCACCAATTCTGGAACTTCTCACTAAATTAGTCTCTGCTCTCATCTCAAACTCTTCCAATGATTAATCCAACACAACCTTCTCTTAAAATACTCCTGTGGAACTCTAATGGTCTGCTCTTACGCAAAAACGAACTAGAAATCTGTCTAAAAGTACACAACATAAATATTGCACTAATAACAGAAACTCATTTAACTGACAAACAAACATTCAAGATACAAGGTTACGAAACTTACAGGACCGATCATCCAGACCATACGGCTCATGGAGGTACAGCAATCATTGTGGACAAATCTTTAAACCATCATATACTTCCTGCAACCCCAACTAATACCATTCAGTATACCAATATTTCTCTCAACTCACCAAAACTGCAGCTTTTGGTCTCTGCAGTATATATTGCTCCCAACAAAGTTGTCTCTACTGATGAAATGAAGAATCTTTTCTTACCAATGGGGAAACATTTCTTAGTAGGTGGAGACTTCAATGCTAAGAACTTAAAGTGGGGCTCTAGACTATCAAGCACTCGAGGTAAAAGATTACTAAAATGCATTGAGGATCTTAAACTATCTATTATTTCCCCATCACAACCTACTTACTGGCCAACTTCTCTATCAAAATCTCCCGATCTTCTCGACTTCTTTGTTACACGTTCCTTACCACTCCCACACTCCAACATTTCCTCTCTTTTCGATTTATCATCTGATCATAGCCCAATTTTACTAGAACTGTCAAAACACCCTTTCGCAAAATCTAAACCACCGACTTTAATTAATGGCTTCATAAACTGGGACGACTTTCAAAATTACTTGAACAACAAAATTATACTAAATACTTGCATCAATACAGCAGACGAACTTGACGACGCAGTCAACGACTTTACAGAATGCATACACAATGCGATCTGGCATTCGACTACACCAACGAGGTCACTAACCAAAACTGATTCTTACCTGCCTCTGGGTATACGCAATCTCATAAAAGAAAAACGCAGAACTAGAGCTCTGTGGCAAAGAAGCAGATATCCATCACACAAAACAGCTCTTAACAGACTAACCCGAAAACTTCAACAAGAACTGTCAGCATTTAAAAATAACAGTTACAAGGACTACCTAAATTCAATGAACAATAGAAACGAATCAATATGGACAGCAACAAGACGTATACTTAAGACAAAAGATGTTCAATATCCTCTCCGACGGACGGACAATACCTGGGCCATAACAGGCGAAGAAAAAGCTAATGAATTCGCAAAACATCTTGCTCAGGTTTTTGGGACAAATAATATTCAGGACAACACGCACAATACTAAGATTGAAGACGATTTGACAACCCCACTACCCTTATCACCACCTCCGCCAGCATTTCACCCAAAAGACATTTACAAGGAACTCAACCGACTTTCAAACAAAAAAGCTCCTGGCTATGATCTTATCACTCCCTTCATCCTTCGCCACCTACCCCGAAAAGCCATTATCTTTCTTACTCACATCTATAATGCTATCTTACGCACAACTTACTTCCCTCTCCTTTGGAAACTTTCTACAATAAAAATGATACCTAAGCCTTCTAAACCTACCAGTAACCCTTCTTCTTATCGTCCGATTGCACTCTTACCCATAATGGGCAAAATATTTGAAAAATTATTTCTTCTTAGAATAAAGCCAATCCTAGAAAGTCGGGAAGTTATTCCGAATCATCAATTTGGCTTTCGTTCTTACCATTCCACTGTACAACAGTGTCATCGTATAGTAGATGCTATCTCAGTCGCCTTCGAAAAAAAAGAATTCTACTCAGCGATATTCCTGGATATTGAGAAAGCGTTTGATAGCGTATGGCACAAAGGTTTACTGTGGAAAATAAAACCACACCTTCCTTCAACTTACTTTCTGATTCTTCAATCTTTCTTTCTTGACAGGTTCTTCTGTATTACTATTGATTCCTCTACTTCTCCCTTCTTTCCTCAAATTGCGGGCGTACCACAAGGTAGTGTTTTAAGTCCTCTTCTATTTTCTGTCTACACATCTGATATCCCTGAGCACCCTAGCACCATTCTCTATAGCTTTGCTGACGATACGGCAATACTTTCTTCTCACAAAAATCCCACTATCGCTTCAATAGCCCTTCAAAATCACCTGCACGTCCTTGAAAAATGGTTTCACAAATGGGGAATTAACATCAATCCCAGCAAGTCAACTCATGTTAGTTTCTCCCTGAGGAAAATCTCGTGTCCTGCTGTGACAATAGACAATAAACCAGTTCCCTCAAAAACACATGTACGGTATCTCGGACTATACTTGGACAAAAAACTCACCTGGAACATTCACACTAAATTAAAAAAACAAGAACTGACCAGACGATATAAACAACTGTCACATCTTTTAGACTACAGATCTCCACTCAACTTACTAAACAAGCGACTAATCTACACCACTATACTAAGACCTATTTGGACATACGGAGCAGAACTTTGGGGTTCCGCAAAACACACACACATCAACAAAATTCAAACCACACAATCCAAAATACTCCGTAAAATTGTCAATGCTCCTTGGTTTATTTCAAATCACACCATACACAAAGACATGAACATACCAAAAGTAAAATCCTACATACACAACAAATACACAACATTTCACACTTCTACTCTCAATCATCCAAATCCACTCGTTCTATCTCTATCTTCCTCCCTGTTACCTGGTGAGCCTCAAAGACGACTAAAAAGGCAGTGGCCTAGAGATCTGTTGAAAAGTTAAGAAGATATCAGGAATCAAGAAGATATAATTAACGCCAACACATTTGCTTGATGCGTTCCAACGCAGTGGCAAATTTAAAATAACAAAATAAAAAAAAAAAAAAAAAAATATAGTAACTATTATTATATTGCAAAATGGCATTTAAAATATTGTAAATAACTTCTTAATTATTTAATTGCCTTACTTGTACTATTTAGTTGTATAATACTTATCTCTTGGTGTATTGTTATGTTCATGCTGCAATTATCTTATATTTCTAACTAATTTTTAATTTTTAACTCTGATGATGATCTACTTGTCTGGGTAAAAACAATGCCAAACGAAATAAACAAATTTAGACAGAAATTCCTGTCTATACATCATTCTAGATAATTTTCGAAACAATCAACAAAAGATTCCATCTCTAAATTATAGGAAATTAGTATGAAAATTCTCTTACTGATAGATTTACAAAAACAATGTAACTAAGGTAATTCAACTTGAGGCAAAGTGTTTTTCTTTTTCTTCATCCTCAATAATCAAATAAAGCCGAAAGAAAAAGTATATTTATGAGGAACAAAATGCTATAGCAAATATTGTTTTCACTTGGAATACATTCTAAACTTGTGATTCTATCTAGTCTGGATTAGAGAGACTCTATTGGATTACATATTTAGGTTTTGATTAATTTACTTGTATTTTAAATAATGCTTTAAAAAGGTGCAAGTGAGTTTAGATGTGATAGTAAAAAGCAAATGGTTAAAAATGCACATTGTCCAATAAAATTGATAAAATGAAAGATAAGGAGCAATAGATAAATAACAATTATCATATAAACAATAGTTTAGGTGTTTGAGGGCCTGAAGATAAGTGATAACTCAAAATGTTGAAAAAATGAATTGTTAAAAAAAAAAAAAAACCTGTTCCACTACAACCCATGAAGGGTCTTGGGTTCAGTACTATTTAGGGAAAGTACTGTTTCAAAGCCTACGAATGTGCAAGGAGGGGATTGGGCCAGGATCTCGTCCAACTGCCAGGTTTTCCCCTTGATCAATTAAGGGTACCCCCTTTATAGAGGCTGGATGTGTCCCAGGAGGGTCATACTATCCTAAGGTCGCCCCATGGACAATGAAACAGAATAAATAATTTTTCTGCCATGAGCCGGGCCGGGATTCGAGCCTGGGACCTCGAGCACCGGAAGCTTAGTGCCCTACCACTGAGCTACCTCACTCCATCATGAATTGTTAAATGGTTAACAATAAAAATAAATATTTTATTTTATTTGTTTGTAATTATTATTATTTTAAACAGTATTAACCAATTGGCATTTGAAGATGAAATATGACATATGAACCAGCCTCAGATAAAAGATATGAGCAGTTTGGACTATTGTATTGTCCAGATGTGTGAGTGTACAGATTATCAAGATCCTACTGTTTAAAAAAATCAAACAGCCACACTTGCTGCTTTTAGACTTATTGTTGATATTTCTCAAACATATTATTAACACTTTGCTATTTCCCTCTTTGGAATGTGGAATGGTTGTTTGAAATAGGATTTTTTTATAGCACTTTTTTCCGACTGAAAAATAACAAATGTAGTATTAAAACAAGATTGAGCTCTCATCTCAACATTAGAAGTCATATTTGTAAGATGAAGAATTATGCTAAAAAACAATCTACACATGTACGATAATATAGATCCCTTTACCGGCTCATAGGAATCTTGATGAACGAGGTTTCAAATGAAAAGGAATTTATTTGAAAAGTGACAAATCCTAATTTGAAAAGTTAAAACTTTACAATAACTATAATAAAAGTCATTGAAATAATTGAGAGGTTTTAAAACTCAGGTGGTTTCATAAGTCGATGAATCAAGACGAGATAAATTGTGATTTAAAGATTTTAATTTGGACATGAAGAACGTACTCTGGCACCGGGACACGAACTCGTACTTTTTTTTTAAAATTATTATATCTCTCAATGCTATTTCACGATATTATTTTTCTTATTTATTTCCATTATTCATTATCTCAGAATAATCAGACATTTTTCGTCAGTTGTTTCTTCAATACATTAATTCCTTAAAAACAATTTTATTTTTATTTATTTATTTTCTTTTTATGAATGACTACAATAAGTCCTCATTTTCCAATTACTAAGCAAAATAACTATGAATAACAACAATTACGCAGCTAATTCATTCACTAAAAATAATATAGATTAAAATGAGAAAATCAATTTTAAGTTAACAGTATAGTCTGTACTGTAGTTAACAGTATAACTGGCAGATCTTCAGGTCCCGTTGGGATTGGATATTAGTGGAATAAATATTTATTAGATACATTTTATTTATTAATATTTTTCACTATTCTCGCGCCATCTTCAATCTGACATTATTTTCATAAAAAGCGTCTTTGACAACTTAATAGTGGACTCTTATATCTAAGAAACTCAAAAAGCTACAAAAACTCGAATGAAAAATTTCAAATCCGACAGTATATTCATAAAAAGCTCTGGGAACTAGAAAATAGTGAATCTGTATATCTAAGAAGTAAAAAAAGTTACATAAACTTGATGGTCAATCTAAAAATTAGAGAGTATTTCCATAAAAAGAGCCCACTAGGAAATAATGGACCCTCATATTATTAGAAATCCAAAAAGTTACATAATCTAGATAGACGATTGTGAAATTATGTAAACGGCTTGCTAAAATAAATTATAAATTCAATTATTTCAACTTCTATTGAAAAACTCGAATAACAAATAAAAAGATAATAGATAACTTCAGGTTATTTATTATCCAAATGATAAAAATAACTTTTATACATAGTTGTAAAAGATAGTGTACTACAGTATATGCGTATTTACAGCCACTACATGTCAGCATGTGTAAATAAAAATTTTATTTCTAAAAGCATTTTTTGTTAACAAGCCTTAAGGATGACTCGAACATTTTATATATATTTTTTCTTTTTCTTTCAGAATAATAACCATTATAATACAAATTAATAATTAACAAATTAGTAAATACACAATTTGTTAATAAATTGATAATAAGGAAGTTCCATGAAGGTAATACATTGTTGTTGTTTTTTTCAAAATGCATGAAAAGGGATTGTGTGATGGGGGCAATTTCTGACGTCGTAAAAGACGACAACATTCGGCTGTTTTCTGCATTTCATGAACAAGTGTGATCGAAGTGATCGTGAACTAGGCGTAATCCATGCGGAACACATGTACCGAGTACAGAAATAACATGTTTCACTGATGTCACATACATAAAATTCATTAGGAAGAAGGAAACCTATCTAAAGTGTGAATTATCACATGGGTACACATAGTGATATTATAATTACATTAAAATTTGATAATTTTTTAATAAGTCATTAATTAACCTACTTGAGATAAAAATCTGTATTGTGTTTAGAAGAAGTATAATTCCTCATTTCTTGAGCTGCAGTCTGCTGTGAAAGGACTTGATAAAAGTATAAAGTGAATTTGTTCAGAACAGATGACTTTAATTTATGCAGCCATTGGTACAACTGAGGTAAGTGACTTCCTTTCAAGAATGATGCACCGAATCCAAGTTTCCATGACTGAAAATTTATAGAATTATAAATTAAATACAAAATAAAAGAAATTATAGGCCTTAAAAATTAAATTTTCTAAGTTTAAATTATCAGAATCACTTTTTAATATATTTTTGTAACAACATTAATAACCTCCATTTTACACGAGTTACTGACAATTACTTGTATTGTGAGTACAGTGAACATCGTGGTCCTTCTTGCCAATTCTAGAGTTTACCACTTCTTATTTAGCAGAGGGTCAAGATTTATTTCTCAAGAAATAAATACTAACTAACCCAGGTGGTAATAGAACCCACACCAGTATGAACCAGGAACGATAGGACCTCTATGTACTTGACAAAGATTACAAAATCTAAGGTCTATTTGAAGATCCATCTGCAGATTAATTTACAATATTGATTAATATTTTTTTATGTGGTTATTCTCTGATAAATAAATCTTGACATTTCTGTTATGGTTAGTAAGTAAAAGTTATAACTGAAAAAAGTAACAGATTCTAGTTTTAAAAAGATCATTCTTAGTTTCCTTAATCTTCCCTTGGATATGTTTATTTATTAATTTAATAATTTATTAAAACAGTACAAAAATTACTACAGTGGAGTTGAGAAAGTGATTTCAAGTGGTTACATCTCTTAAGACGACATCAACTAATGATGAATATAAATGAAACTATTTATAATTTAACGTTTTGATATAATGTAATTAATAAATTTGCTAGAAAGAAGTTATTTATTTTAAAACAGTTCATTCTCATTAATCCAAGCACAAAAAAAGCTCTACTTGTTACAAGTAAATAACAATGTGAGGTGGATCAAGACTTAATTAACTTGCTGTAATATCTAAATCTGATAGAAAAAATTATTTGGAACACCTCTTTACTTTGCAGAGATTTTTCCCAAGATGTCAATTTTGTATGAGCTGCTTGTAAATGCATAATTGATGGAATAAAATTCCAATTTTGAAGTTCAACATGAGCCCCAAATAGGTGTATTAATATTGCACATTCATTTCTGAAAATTAAGTATTAATATTAATATTAGGTATTTTAAATAAATTATTATTATAAAATACATTTTATTTGTAAATAATAAATGAAGCATAATTCATTTCAAAATAAATTATTATGAATAATGAGGTGTAAGGTAGTCTTGTGGCTAAAGGCTTTTTTGGTTAATCTGGTTTAAATCCTAGTTTGTATATTCTTATAAAGTCGCATATATATTATTTAGACAATTAATAGGTAGGTTTTATGAGATAAAAGATGCTATTTACAGATACCTTCTGAGTAGGTTCCCAAAAATGAATAACTGACATTAATCAGGAAATAAAATAAATTTACGAATTCTTTTCCTTTAGGCACTTAACACACTGCTAGTAGGACAAGTAACAATATGTTGTTGGTAAATTACAAGTAGTAGTTATACGTTTTTTTATATAGATATATATAGTAGTACGAAGTAAAATCATATATGAAACAATAGATTATTGAAAAGATCAAAATAATAAAGATAAATTATCTTAAATCCTTTTCTAACCACAATGCATGACCATCATGGGCTGTTATGGGGCCTATTTATTCAGTTAATGAATGAAATTATCGTCATTTAAGGCAGATCATTTTTCAAACTAATCAGAACGGAACTGCTTAGATTCATTCTTATATTTGTAATTGCTTGTTAGTAAATATTGAGGTAATTATTCCATGTTACTATTACTCTTCCATGGATGGTAGGCCAACATTGCTTCACTCATACTGTACATAAAATGCTGAAAGTAGCCAAGTGTGTCTCAATGTCAGACTTCCATTACCTTAGATAAATTATAAAGAAACAAGTGACAATAAATAAAAATAAAGAAACATTTTATAACGGTTTTTTAAATTTTTAAATCCAACTTCTTGTTTATTTCTGCTATTCCATAAGTAACATTAGAATATTATAATTCTAAAAATTCAATTATTGTATCTTATTACTTACGTGATAATATTTCTAATTGGCTTCAGTATCGGATGCAAAAATGAAAATGTGTGAGATTCAATTATTTGTTCTATTTGATTTTGCAATTCATAATAATTTATATGTTTCACACTCGTTCCTAAGACGTAGATTTTCTCATAACTACCAATTAGAAAGATAAGGAAAACATTGCATAAAATGTACAAATGACAAATTTATAGGGTATAAATATAAGATGAAAGAAAATTTGACACTAGTCAATCTGGTTTAAAAGTGGCTCAAGATCACATTGATTGTAGTATATATAGAACCCCAAAAGTAAGTGATCGTTTGCTCACTAAGGCTAAAGATATTCATACCTTCCCTAGGAATAAATTATAATAAGTATTTGATCATGATTTGTTCCCCCTAACGGGCCATTTCTAGCTTATGGGATAGTTTCTTTTGGGGGTATCACCCAATGTGTAACCAACCTATTTGAGGTTGTGATGGCCGAGCGTGTGGAGGCATTGCCCACTTTAACATTCTTGAGTCTAGCGACACCTTTTTGAATCTGGTCTTGGCTGGTTGAAATTTATATCTTGGCAGACAAATGCAATGAATCTTGAAATTTCCCACTCTAGTTAGAACATGTTTGATTGTACCTCTAGAACAACCCCTCTCCCATCTATCCCATGGCAGGGAAGGAAGTAATATAAAAAAAAAATAGGTTAAAAAAACTGTTATAGCTCAAGAGGAAGGTTGAAAGAAATTCATTTTATGGATCTGCCTTGAAATAAATTACAACCTGCCCAAGCCAAAATCAAATCACAAAAACAAATTCTCCAATGGGTCTTTTTCAGTTGAAATCATGACATTAACAGAGGGTTCGGCCACTTCCAATACACCTAGCCATTTTTGGAATTCCATCTACACTGTGATCATGAGATCTTGTACACACCTATTATGGAGGAGCAACATTTGTAGAGTAGTACCTTTGTATACTATAAAGGATACAAATCAATAAGTTGAATCCTTGCCGTTAGGTATTGAATAAGTTGATTGATGATAGAATTGGTGTTCTGATCAGGGCTATTGGGATCCTCAATTTTATTTAAATCGGTTCTCAATGATTCATACATGGATTTCAGTGAATTCTGGAAATGAAAAAAGATATTAGAGACAGTCAGAATGATCAATTGTATTCATAATAAAAATACTCACATCTTTTCGCAAGAATATCTTCTTTGTTGACATAAAACCTAAATTATGATAAGACTTTTCTGCTTCAATAAAATTTAAGAGTAAAGTGAAAAGCTGTCTAACTTGTAGTGTTCTGATAGCTAGTCTGTTTTCTTTTTCCCTTTCCTATGAATGCACATTTATGGTTAATGAATAATAACTTTGTGAGGGAGTGAATACATAAAATGAATTTCTAATTACCAAAATTTCTCGACACTTGTCAAAATTCATTAATCCTAAATGACAGAAAAATTGAGATAATCTTTTTTCCAAATTTTCTTTTGAGACATCCATATTGTTTTCTGAAATATTCAATCAACTTCAATTTTGATTTGATGTATCTCTAAATGATTTCTTCACATATGGAATTTTATAATGTATTTCATTAAAATATTTACAATCTTGATTCCATACATGGTAACTGCATTTAAGAAACATTCTAAAAGGAGTACATACTGAGAGTTTTATAAATGTTTGAGATAACTTAAAAATAGATAAGATGATAATTGATATGGCTAAAACTCTTTTATTTACAAAACCTTTCCTTCAGGTTATACTAATCTGCAGACAGTATTTTTGAACTGGTAGTACAGAATGGTGTGGTGAAGAGGGGAGGGGAACAATTATCCACATTCTTTGTGGATTTGTTACGTTGAATGGGTAGTACATCATCACTGCATCGGAATGTGGCACTTCAAGATGGCGGCCTTTGGCTTGCCAACTTAGTCTCGCTTAGGTGTCTCTTTATTTCGTTCGATTTTTCATTTCTTTTTCACGTGTTCGAGTCGGAAGTTTTGTAGTGTTTTACCCGACCGTCTGTTATTTCGTCGTGATGCTATGTGAGAGAAACAGTTCGTTTTTAATGAAAACCAGGGATTCCTGAGTGTGGACTGAGATGTCCAGACATTTCGTTCCAGAGATTAATTATCTTAAAGGATATTAAAAACTCTAAAAGCACAAAACTAACGGTAAGGTTCTTATTAGTTAAATGCTGTTTACTCTAAGATATTTTTACCAGTAAGATTTTACTCTTAGTCCAATGGAATGCAACCGTCCTTAGAGAAAATTGCTTATAGAACAGATAGAGTGTTCCCATATTTAACTTTCTGTTGGTTCACACAGCAATTTTATTTTTGCTATTTTCGTTTATATGTCATTTATGTCATAATAGTTTGTGAAATTAAGTGCTGAAGAATATTTTCTCTTCAATAATTTGTATAACAGATAAATTAGGTCTGAGAAATTGATATGTATCCTTCATGTAAAATTGTTTTAGTTTGTTACATTATAGTATATTCTAACATAGTTTTGGTCAACTTTATCTTGTTTCATCATTTGAAATATATTTACAGTTTTTATTTTTGTTTTTTCTAGATAAATGGTGTGAACACAATATGGACTATGTAATCTTTTTCATCGGTAGAACTACAGTGAGAACTTTATTTGTGAAAGTGCCCGTAGTGAACAAGTGTTTAAATTAGGTGGTGTTTCGAAACAGTTGCTAATACATTGCACTTAAGTGTTTTCTAAGTGATGATATGGGATAGACGGGAGGTTTGCCTCCCTTTGTCGGAAAGTGGCATGGGCGCGCCCGAGGGCGGGTCGGCCTAGCATGGGCCAAACGCCCGCCCCTGCCGACACTATGAACTCAGCTCCTGGGAAAAGCACCACCCGCTCTTCGGGATACCATCAGAAGGCGCTAGCAGAGATCAGGAACTCCCTTCTTCCATTCGCTAACTCAGGTAACGAAAATGGTGTGGGGTCAAGCGCCGCCTCAACTATATCAACTCTTTCTACTACAAGTGGTGTCAGTTCTGCATCCTCTGCATCAAATGGTCTTGATAAGGAATCTTTAGCAAGACAAACACTAGTTCAACTCGTCACAATGGGATACTCTGAGGTGAGGATCTTTTTCTTTTTTTTAATTATTTATTGGATCAATGCTATGTTTGTATCTCGATAACATTTGGATTTATTTCCAATCACCAAATAATTTAGTTCTTATCTCCAAATATCTTTATCTACCATTATCATACCTGAGTTTTTCAAATTTATTTATTTTTTCCAGTTATGCTCAATGTTTTCATTTAATTTAGTGCATCTTCTTGCAGTTATGATAATTATTATTGAATTGATAGTTAGGTGTGTAGGATGGTCATCTTATTAATTATGAAATCAAGCTATAATTGATAAGTATTATCAAAATATTATATCTACTTTATACTTGTTAACTTTTTTTTCCCTAAGAGTAGCTTCTTTCGTTCAAGTGATATTTATATTGATAACAACTGAGCAGCTCACCAACTATGCTGTGGTATTTTTATGTTATATATTTTTTAAATACTTCTACGTGGGGTACTATCACTTTTTGGTTTTATCTTTTGTTTTGATTCTTTATAATTGTTATGATTTTCATATTTAAATGAATATACTAAGTACCCTCGTGTAATGTTTTTATCATTAGAGCGATTGAAGGGTAATAGATCAAGTATAAAAGAATAACTGCCAGTGACACTAGTGAAATTGATATATGTCTGATCTGATGTTTAGATTCCAGTTCATCTTATTTCTTGTGTTCTTGATTCAAAACGTTAAAAATGGAAGTAATTTAATCATATATAAATTTGCTTCTTATTATATTTGATATTTAGTGCTCCATAAGTATTTTAATGATAAAATTACTTCATTGATAATGCTTTATTTCTGTCTCTTTATCCCTCTTAATTGTTAAATACCATTGGTTATTATATGAATCCTGTTATTTCAAAAAAAGAATTGACATCATATTAATGTTTTAATATTTCCTTTTTAATCATGATAGTAATCTGTACTAAATAATTATAATGTTTTACTTTATCATTTGATAATTTTTGATGAAGTTGTTTTAGTTTTATTCGTCGGTTTCTTAAATGATATCTTACTCAATAACATTTATATGGTGAATTAACAATATGTCAAAATCTTTCTTTTCATGCTTTTAACCTTTTTGTTTTTGTTATTATTTCTTATGAACTGAAAGTTCAAAGTCCTAATTTCTGGGTGTGTATAATTTTATTTAGTAGTGAAAAAAAAACATTGCTGTTACATGCCTGAATCTGAAATATCTGTTTACTTTTATACCAATTTATCTAAATTTGTTAAAACGTTTTTCTCAGATCATAATATTACTCTAATGATAAATTACTTTCATGTTTAATTTTTTAATTGTCTATATGTTGATCATCTATGAGATGGGATAGGTTTGATTGTAGGTGATTTCTGTTAATATTTCCGTTGTCTCACAAAGATATTAAATTAAATATGTGCATATGTAGTATAACTTTATTGTTCCACAAACTTGATTGTAGCAACTGGTCCATTTAATTCGAAAGAGTAATGAGAAGTAATTCTAAGCAATTTTATTTTATTTAAAAAAAAAAAAATCAAATATGTTACTGTTTACTTTTTTTATATTTTACTCAATTTCAAGTTAATCAAAACTAGTTTAAATTCAAATGAAATTATTTTAAGCCCAGAACTTTTCACTGGTAGTTTTCTGTCATTGCTTATCTTCTAGTTCTTCTCAGTCTGTTATCAATTTTTATTTTTCACCTGGACTTTTCTCATTTTTACATATTTTATAATTTTTATCTTTTAATTTATAATCCTTAAACGGAATCCCATTTAATAAAATAATTGTGAAAGTAGTTGATTAAATGTTATAAAACTTGGTAGTATTAAAAGTTTATTATGCGGTAGTGTTAAGCATCGAAGTTTGGCTGTTGAGGAGGCTCTGGTTCTTATAGGACCGTAATGCCATTGTAATAAATAAGTAACCATCAAAAGATTTTTGTTTTTTCTAAGTATTAAAAGTATGTACTTTAAATTTAATTTAAATATGGATACTTTTTAAAAATAATATATCAGGATTTAGAACAGAAACTCGTTTTATTATTTTTTTATTATTTAAGCTTCAGTTTGTTTCTTTATATGTACATATTAATGCAAAGTGATTTTTTTTTTTTATCACAATCATTGGAATATTTTGTCATGATCTGAGTTTTAGTACAGTAAGATAGTAATATTCAGAGTTTTAGCTTATTATTATGATTATTTCCTAGTTAATCATTCCATATTTCATTCTACTGTTATTATGTGTATTTCCAGTTTTGATTTAACTTATTAAAGTAATCTGTTAAAATTTATTATAATAGACATTTAGCCTGGTCGTTGGTTCAGAATGATTCATTTGGTTACAGTTTTTTTAATAGATTCTACTTTGAAATGTATATAATACAAATATCCTTTAAGGAAACATATGAAATCACAAGTAACTTGTGATAACATATTCTTGATATGATCATGTTTATTCTGAAAGTATCCATTTTAGGAAACATTTTTTTTTTTTAATTTTTGATCAATCTAAATTCAGTCATATAATTACAAACTTTTTTTTATTTTACTGTGTTCTCTTTTTTTTTAATGTTACATATGCAATAAAAACAAAATTAAGCCAATCATTTTAATAATGTATTTCTTATTCTATAAGATTTTTTTATCTCTCCAGAGCTCTTACATTTCTAATTCAAATTCATAATTAAAACTTGTAATATAATGTAATATCTTATTATTATTAATGATATCGCAGTGAGAAAACTTATAAATGATCTGTTGAAATATTAAAATATATATTGTTAACTATAGAAAATAATTTTAAAAAAAACATTTGACTATTTTAAGTTTTAACATACGACAGAATGGATTTATTGATTAATTTATTTTTGTTAACTTAAAGGATGCTGTCTCTTATTTGTTTATTTATTATTATTACTTTATTTTTTAAATGAAATCCTGGGTGAGTATTGTACTAGATTTTCTGTCAACATGTCAGTTCATGAGTGTTGTCGAATTTATGTTTTTCCATTCTTCACATTGTCATTTACAATTCCTTCACTTTTGAAACTTAAGTCCATTTAATTACAAGCTAGATTAGTCCAATTTCATCATTCAAGATATTATAATTTATTTTATTTTTTTTAGATTATAATTGTTCTTAGGTTTCCAATAATTAATAATTTTTGACGCATTTGGTATTGTTTTATATATTGGCATTCTTCCTTAAACTAAATATGAAATCATGCCCTAGCAATATTTTTCACGAATGATCGATTTATCATCATCGTTGTCAAATCTTACAAATCTGGAATTTCCCGTGAAAATGGAAAGTGCCCTAGATACGGATTAGCAACGAGCCCTCTAAAGGATTCGATACGGCTTTGTAAAATGTCCTTTTTTTTTTTTTTTTTGTACGTCGAGGCAAGTTTCCTCATCATAAATTACAATCTTGCCGAATGGAAAAGCTTTATATAATTGTATGGAATATTTCCAAACCCAACTGTGCAATGAATCCGTGGGGGTAATATTCATTTTCGTGGATAGTTTCGAAAGAAATATAATAATAACCTTACTTAAAGATAATCTTTAAATAATAAGTATTAGGAGGAAATTAAATGAAATTTTATCAGAGTGTTGAGTCATGAAAATCTTTTATTTAAATGATTCGTAACCTCTACTTTTATAGCTAAATACGGTAGAGACACTGACGAATATGCAGGGGGTTAGAGGAGAGCTTTCGGGCTAAAACCTTCCAAAATGGAAATATGTTTTGTTTTTTTTTTCGTTGGGTCCATGTTTGTTATCGTGAGTTACTTAAGCTAAATACTTTAAAAATGTAACAATATGTTCTGTTTTTTAAATTATATTGCCTATACAGCTACTAAATATAGTCATGTCTTACGAAAAAAAAATTCTATAAAAGTATTATTGTTCCTACAATTACATTTATTTTTTAATAAAGCTTCGGGAATCATTTCATATAGGTAGTTATTAGTTTCTTTCTTTTTCTTCCATAGTATTTATTGATATATATTTGTGTGGAAAAAAAAAGCTTTCGAACTTGAGCTTCACTCAATATATATATATATATATATATATATATATATATATATATATATATATATCCTGGATACGCTACTGTCGCTACATAGAAAGAATTAGTTCAATATTATTAAAATATAGAATAATATTGAATTTCTATGGTTATTGAATTTTAATATATTTTTTTATTGTACATTTTATAGCACCAATGTAATAAAATTTGTCGTTTTTTTTAACATTTGATTTGAGGTATATTATTTCTGGTGTGCACGATCTTTTTTTTCTATATGTTGTTAAGTGTGTTGGTTATTTAAAAAAAAAAATCATTATTTATTATTTTATGACAAATAAGAAGCCATTAATTGAAAAAATAAAATAAAATTATTTCATCTGTTACATTTTTGTTATATCTTTAGAATATTTGCTACTTTTGAAATAATTTTATATATATATATATATATATATATATATATATATATATATATATATATATATATATAATATATACCATTTTCAGTTTTATTTTAGTTATTTTATTGCATTCTTTATATTAGCTTCATTTCAATACGTTGTTCCCTTTAATTTTTTTTAGCCTATAATATTTTTTATTTATTCAATAAATATTTCTGAACTGAAGGAAATTTGTTTGTTTTTCGCACTTTACATTATACATTTCTTAGTTTATTTGATATTGATAACGCTGTGGAATTGTAAATTTCAATATTGGATTTTTTACATACGTTATTTTAAATTTCATTTGAATCATATAGTGTTATATTTATATATTTTTTTAAAATTTATTTTGAATGATTTAACAAATACACACACTCGACACATTTTGGACTCTATTTTGAATTCGACTTTGATTTGTGAAATTCTCATTTTATTTATTGACCAGTGATAATATTCACCAAAATTTCAATATCGTGGTATTATTTTTTAAATTAATTTTTTCAAGACGTTGATTCTGGAAGGAAGTGAATTAATTAAACACATATTTAATTACATGGAAGATCCATTGTTCGGAATACGGGTCAGTGTGTCATGGTATATGGAGAGATAATAGCTTCAATAATAATGGAATTCGTGATACAGCTGGCATTTTCTTGTATTGATAAATTATTATATATAAATCTATTAATTAATTTTATAATTATCAAAACTCATCTTATTAATCCGCCAGATTAAATTTATTATTTTAGGAAATTTAATTAAATATTGGTTTTTATATTCTCTAAATACTCTTATTAAATTGTTTATTACATCATCAGAGTATTTTTTTTAGAGTGATTGAAATTCCGAGATTTGAAAACGTTGTCTAGAATTTAAATTTATGTATTATGCAGTAAGTATTTTGACTTGGAATTTGGTTAGTGCTAATTTTAATAATTACATTGTGATTATGTTTTATTTTTAAAGATATTTTTTAACCTAGACATTTAACGATTTAATAAAAACTATTTAAAAAAAAAATGCCATTTAATTTTCAAAGAGCCGGTAATTTTCCTAATTTATACAAACCGTTTTCATTGAGAAACATACGGATATAGTACATAAAATATCTTCCATGATCAATTTTCTGACAAACTGATGACAATCGATTATATTAGTACTTCTCTAGTTAATGATAATCGAATTGGTAATTTTTTATTGTTTTGTTAAACATATTTTTATTTTTATTTTCATATTTTTTTTTAAAGCTCCAATAATATCTCATGATCATATTTAGCTTGGAAAGAAGTTTAAATTAGTGTTATATGTGATATTTTGTTTCTTAAATTCTGGCGTAGCGTAATTCAATTCTCCCAATTTTACAGAAAAAATATCATACTTCTTTACTTTATGACCTTTTCCCCTTGATGTATAACATATTTCAACCTCCCAAACTTCTTAAAAATATGTTCAACACAATTATATACTTATACAAAATATGTGTTAAAAAGTTGTGTTAAAATGTCAAGACAATTATTCATTTTTATATTAGAACTAATTATGTGCCTCTACCATTTTTGAGGTTCATAGATTTCCCCTCCTCCCATCATCTTCCCCCTCCCCCCTCAAAAAAAGAAACCTACTAAAATAAATTACATACGATTATGTGGTATCACATTTTATTTATAATTCATAAAATGTTACTACTAAAACAACGAGTTATAAGTTAATGATTTATAACATTTAATGAAGATTTTGTAATTTAATTTTTTCGAAATTAATTGTAAAAAGTCTAATTATACTTTTGATGGATGTAACTATAAATTTTGGCCAATGGCGTCAAGCTAAAGCCTTGTATTCATATTTATAGGTACAACAACTCATTGAGTGCATACAAATTACACAAATTCTTACAATATGTTAAAAATAGTTACACTAACAAATATCTTTATAACGTCTTTAAAAGAATAATGTTCTGATTCCACAAAGGAAAAATTCGTCAAATTTCTCTGTTATTTAATTTTACAAAATGTTATTTGTAATAACATTAATAAAATTTTGTAATAACAATAATAAACGAATTATTCCTGGTTTCAGAAAGTACATAGCTAAAAAGAGTTACTTAATTTAATGGAATTATCATTAATATATTCAGATAGTTATCATTTATTATTAATATTATTAATCGTTTTCTTCTCCAAAAATAATAATAGACTGTGGAACTGTATTGAAGAATTTTGGGAGGAGGGGGAGAGGTAGGATGTGATTTTTATGTTCGTTATAAAACTCCTAGAACTTGATTTAGTTTGATTCTGTCAAGTGTGATCGTTACTGTTATGAAGTACTCGATCATGTTTTTGATTTTGATTTTTTTTTTTTTTTTAATGGTCTCTAGCATTAATTTGTTATGTTATTCGTAAGATAATTTGATCACAAAATGGATTTAAAATATTGAGCCGTTTGGCGTGACGTACACCCCCAATTTTCAAAATAACGAGGTTATATAGGACAAGCGGCCCAATATTTTTGTAGGCCACCTTTTTTTTTTTATCGATTTTGTGGTCAAATTATGTTACTATCCAAGTTGAAAGGAAATGGGCATTTACGAGTTTTCAGTACGTTATTAAATAGACAAAGTTTGCCCCCCTTCAGATTGAAAGCGTCCCAATTCCAAGAGTTTTCGTATATAAAATAGTTGTAGGTCACGAGATGAAACTATTTACGAAGTTTCAGGCGGATGTTAATAATTTGATAAAAAGGGCGTCCTATACCACGGATTATTCTATTAATTGAAAGGATCATATATGAAGTTTTTCACTTAGCCATGGTCTGCGGGATTTAGGTGGATGTCTCAGTACGGCACACGGGTTAAAAAGTTTGAAGACCCAAGACCCCTGATCTATTGAAAAGGTTCATAGATTTAATAGATTTGATCTAAGCCTCCTTGGGCAATTCGGACAATACAGAAATAAAACTTTTTGATATTTTAATACAAATTTATGCAGATATGACTACTGTACTCTCAGCAATAGATTTATATAATATTATTAAGTGAGATAAGTACAAACTAAGGTCTAAGGTTCGAATTCGTTTTAAGCGAGTTCAATAATGAATTACTTGAGGGATGCCTATCAATTATTGCTTGAGTTATAAGTTGTAATGATATTTTCCTGTAGGACAAAGTAATTGCTTACCAAGCAAATTGTTGCTATAATATTCGTGGCTTTG